TAGAGAGTACAGATCCCTGACTCTGAGCTTGCAAACGTTGCCAATTGCAATTGCGAGTCCGACCGTACTCTGACTCGGACAACCTTCGCAATGGTTGTAGTACTCGGCGTTCGACACGGAGTTTCGAATATGATGGACCCCCGTCGTCTGACCCCTGATCCGGTCGGTTTGTCTTGCCCAGCGACCCCAAATACCGTACCAATTGTCCGGTTGGGCAACAATTAAATATTCTTTGACTTGCCCAAAATTTTGAATTGAAAATAAATTCCAATTAAGGATTTGCTGATCAGTTTGTCCCGTTAGAAAACAATATAAATGCATAAATGAAGCTGCCCAAAATCCATGAGATACGAAATTAATTATTGGGGCAAAATCTGCCCAACTGGACAATTGGTACGGTATCCCGTCTCGGGTTGAGTTGGCCGGGTGTCGTACCCGTCTTCTGACGTTTGCCTGGTACGATACAGATCGAACACTGCTTGAAGTTGCCAGAACAAGTTGGAGACTGGTTCAGGTTTCACATACCGTTACCGCCCGTTATCCACCCAAGTAGGTACAGGGAACTTGGAAGGCAAACCGTCGCCGGCCGGCCCGGGAGACTCCAGTCGAACTGAACAAGATGAAGTGTCAGCAACCAGGCCGACAAATCCAACTCAGCGGGCTTGCTTGAACCAGCATCTGACAAAAGCATATTGACACCGAAAAATTTCCTGTCCGGCTCCTGGGCCGACGGCCCGGCCGGAGGCGGGGTCAACCGGCCGGGGCCGGTCGTGCTGACTGATCGAAAAGCCGTCCGACGCTCCTGGCCTAGTACCGTACGGTTTACCGGGGTCAAACTTTCAAAGTAGGTGTAGAGGAAAATGTCCATCCTTCCGCGTCTAGTTCGAAAAGCTGCTTGTTGACATGACGTTTTCGCGGTAAGGCTTTTTATTCGCGATCTATTGGCTAAACCCTTACCATTTCTACTACGTGGCGTTGACTTGGTTGACTCGTCAAGTTGTCCCACAGACTAACCCCAATTCTTTACTTACCGACCCTGACCCCCGACCTAACCTACTAAATTCCCGGGCGACAATCTTACTGTACCCGGCCAGCTCCAAGCTACCCTGGCCATAGCCCGGTAGGCCTATACCGGGTACCAGATACTGGCAACGCTCGCTTGCACTAAAAGCCGCTTGCACTACCCGTAGTCCAACGTGATGATTCCGAACGATTTTATTTCGAATTATTTTTTAACAATCCGACCGGGAAAGTGGAATTATTTATGCTGATTCCGACCAAAATCCGAATGCCCTATGGTCTCACTGGAAAGGGGAGTTTTTGGCTGTTTCTGGCAGTTTTACGGCTTCCGAGGGCCATTTGGGGATTATTTTACCTTTCCGAAATTTCACTTTCCGAATGAGAAATCCGAATTTCTGACTTTCCGAACGCAGATAATTATTTATTTATTCGGAATCATCACGTTGGACTACCGTAGATACACAAGTCCCGGGCACCCAAACTAAAAACCCTAACCAAATATATCACGCGCTCCGCACCCGCACCCACCCTGACCACCAAACTAACCCTACCCGTCCCCCGGGTGCTTATCTTAGTGCAAGCTGCTCTTAGTGCAAGCTTAGCCGAGCGAGCGTTGCCGGAATGGGTACCAGTCCCTTGCAAACAGGAGCTGCAAGTCCATGCCCGAACCACCCCGGTTAGGGAGGCCATTTTCATTGAACAAATGGTGCTCACTGCTCAAGGCCTTCTGATTTCTCTAGCTGCACCATCATTTCGTTCCTCCCATGCCTATTAGGGCGTCGCCCCCTTGTGCTACCTTCTCCACGATCCATCATCATGTCTCTCCTGCCTCTCCACTTCACGTTGGACAAGTAGCAAACTAACAGGTCAAAGAATTTTTTTTGGTCTGCCAACCTGCACTACTTGTGGATCCGCTTATTTTTAGCACTACAATTAGAAAAGGTATCAATTACGTTGACCCGCACCCGGATGCCGACTCAAGGAACAGACCCGCAGGACGTGGGCAGAGGTGGTGGGGGCCCTGTGGGTAAGATTCGTTGGACCTTACTTTTGTGCAGTGCTGTTGGGAAGACGATTGGTTACCTGCTCGAAGCTGCCGTCCACGGAAGGAAGGAAAATGAATCTGGACAAAACTCGGGTGGACTTACCAGATGTGGGGATGTTCCTTTGCAGTGCCCTTGAGGCTGCTGTGGTTTGGGGAGGCCGCAGTGATAGCATTTGGCAAGGTTTTCCTAAGCGGGGTGAGCTTACGCTGAGCATGCTAGTTTCTCACCTGTTGCCCACTGCTTTGGAAGCGAGTGCAAAGTGATTTCTAGGATGGCAAGCTGCCTTATGCAGCTAGCACCTTGCACAAGCAGTTGCCCCTTTCCTTCGATTGTTTTGACTTGTGCATCTTACTTCCCCAGCTACAAACCGTCCTGAAGGAGGTGGGAGGCGTTGTCAAGGATGCCTTTCGTGGTTGGAGTGTGGAGTTTTCCACTCGACACTTTGTTCGCATCTTGGTGAGCAATAATCCCTTCTGAGGCGGGATGAAAATTTTGCATGGCTTGCTCGGAGTCTCCTTCGGAGTCTATCGTAGTGGCGTATGTTTTTGGCGTATGATGTTGCGTCCCAAGCATCGCATGGTTTTTTACCCGTAATTATGCAGGACAGCTTTGGACTTCCTCAAGGTTGAAGATGTGACAGGCACGGGGGGGTCCTTTTGATTTGACAGCTGAGTAGGTGGATTCTCGGGAACATCTGAGACACTAAGAAGAAGAGTGGTGCTTTTATGGGCCATTTTTTTGGAACTTGAGCCCCATTTTGTGTTGATGTGCCATCAGGCGGTGATGCGCGCCTGATAGTGCTCTGTTTGAAATTTTGACTCATTTCCAATTCCTTGTGGAGTCCCTCCGCAGCCTTGATGCCTGTTCGCTTTACATACGTGTTCATGATGACACACGAAGTTCAAGTGGCAGGAATCAGGAATCAACACATCTCTTGTCAGCCTTTGAGTTGCATCCTGGTATGCTGGTATGGAACGTTTTGAATGCTGGCATGAACCGAGACTATCAGGAACCACGCCCTAGCCTTTGAACTCCGGTGTCTGTGCAGGTGTCTTTGAACCCGTCCCTGTCACAGCACCAACAGGAGCGCCTTCTGGTAAGTCCCCCGTTGTAGCATTGCCCCATGTCATGCCAAGGACCTCAAAGCAGGAGTACACGGTTGCGTAGCTTTGTCAGCAGACGACCTCCGTGTGACGCTCTCCGAGTTCTCCTCTGCATAGCGTGGTTTTCGACCTGCTTTCATGAGCCTAAGTCGTTATCTGTTCAGGTTATCAGCCACCGCGCGCTCGATCAACTCTTCTGGCAACAGGGCAATGTCGACAGCAGAGTCATCAGGTGAGCTCTTACACAAGAACACAGCTTCCGGTCCATCATTGTTCACGAAGAGCAGGTTCTCTTGCTCTGAAGATCTGTTTACCTTAAGTTGCCAGACGTATGGTCGTCCCACCAGGGAGCTTAGGAATATTTTCTTAAGTTGCACGATCCTGTTGCAGGGGCATCATTGCAATTGCCTGTCCGAACGAGGACACCGCCAGCCTTTTCAACAGCTTGGTGGACACAATAGCCGGGCTTAGAAGGGTCGAGCCGCCAGAAGCCACCGCTTCGAGCAATGGACAAGGAGGTGACGCCAGTAGCAGTGGAAGCTTTGAACCCTCGGCACCGCCTTTGGATCCTCGTCGAGAGAGAGAGCTGTTTGCTGCGCCAGCATCTTCCAGTCAGGTTAGAACGCACAGCGATGGTCCCCCGTAGTTGAGCTCCAGTTGAGCTCGTAGCTTGAGTAGACTCTTGAGGCCGTTTCATCACTCGTGACTTGGCGTTCTCTTCCTCTGTGCCGTCCTTCAAACGCACTGATCCAAATTTTCAGCGCCTCTGTCTTTGCGTTCCAGTTTTAGTGTTCGTCTCCTACTCTTGTATTTGAAGCCGGTCATTCCTCCTGATCGCGCCTCTTTTCCTGCAGGACGCCCCTTATTCCGAGGACCGCTGCGTTCTGCAAATTCTGAGGAAGTTCGGCATTCAGGACTCCCGATTGCGAGGCATGTCCCCAGCGGTAAGCAGGTCCTGCCTGGACCGTTTCAGTTCGTTCGGTTGTCTGTTTGGCCGATTAAAACCGGCAAGCTCCCAGAGCCTGCTACCTTTCTGAGTACGGGCTTTTTGTTGCAGCACCTGGCATCACTTTTCCCCCTCGGACCACATGGTTCAATTCTGCTCCATCTCCTCCCCAGAAAGGAGAAAGAAAGAGTTTGCGAGTTTCTCGAAAGCCTTTTCTGAATTTTCCGCTCTGGCAGGTCCGGATGGCGGTCCTTGAGGCTTTGACAGGAGACGCTGCTGCAGCGGTGGCAGACCACCTGTTGATGGTCAAAACGGGCGACACAGGGGCGCGCCCTTCCGCGCCTCCTCCCCCGCCCATGTGTAGTATAACCCTTGAACCACTTTTAACATCGGTAAGTATTCGTTCGCCTGCATGAAGCCAAAATGTGAACTTCGCCTGCATCACTGGCGAAGTCCTTCACTATCGACTCCCGTGTTGAGCCTATGGTCTAGGAGTCCAGTTGCACGGACCTTTTTGTTGAGGCCTACAATTATTCGAGGTTTTGGGTCTGGGGTGGCTACGTGCTGAGCATGGAAGTAAAGGGATCCCTCGGTGTTTGCAGGAGGGTGTTATCTCACCCGATGTCCTTGCGATCGTTCAATGGCAGGAAGGGACACGCAAGGCTCACGCGGTAAGTGGCCGCTGCAGATCATGCCAGCTTTGCTTCCGTCGATTGTTGTGGCCCTCAGCTCCTTGACCATGAGTTGGTATACCATCTCAAAGCAGTCTGCAGTCTGCATAGTTATCTGCTATCGTTCCTGCGACCTCCTAGTCCACGAGGTTCAGGAGGTTCTCTCGTAGTCCTTCCTAAGTCCTCTCCTTGGACCTGACCGGGGTGTACTTGTATTTGCAGTATTTGTACAGAGGGTCTGCCCTACAGTCGTGGATGAGTGCTTCCGCGCGACCTACGAATCCCGAGACGCGGTCCCAGATAAGACCCGAGGACTTGTATAGGTTATCGTGAGTCCATGTTGCTATGAGTTCCATACGTCAACAAAGACTCTAACAGACGAATGCTGAGAGCCGGAAGAAACAGCTCAAAGGTACTGGTCCGTAGATGTATATTACAATCGATTTTGGCTCAAGGTCACAGAGCCCACGTTAATGTCCAAGTCACAGCTGTTTATTATGAGCGATCCTTGTTATCTTTAAAGACGGGAATTTTGTGCAGATCAGCCGGATTTTTTTATTAGATCAAGGCAAAGCTGACATGTAGAGCTTCGTCATGGTGCTTCTGTGCAATTTTGTCTTGCGCGGTTATCCTATATTGTGGCTACAGTACTTGTCGTATATTGTGGCTACAGTAGGTGCGAGCTGGTCGGCTTCGACTTTTGTTGCTTAGTTCAAGCGACATCATTCGAAGGGATCTGTTTCAGCCTCATCTAAAAGCGCAGCATCCTAGATGGATGCACCCCTGGATGATTTCGCTTGCGCGATGGTGGTCCAAGGCCCGGCACACCATGATCTTCAACCGAGTTTTGATTCTGCAAAGACATGCGCCCGCGGCCGCCCTGAATCCTTGGCTTCGCGTTTTGAAAGTATATTTGCCACCCTGCGGGGCCCGGCGGCAACCGTCTTGAATGAGGATTTCTCATGTTGATCCCAGATCGAATATTTAAATTGCAGGCCTGACACATGAGCTCGTTGAGCATGCATGCATGCATGGCCCATGGCGTTGCATGCGATGTGGCCATACATGAGCGCGGGGTGCAGTAGAACCGGCCCATGCAATATCAAGCAGCATGTGCGGCGTTTGGCCGCCGCAGTACGGTTTACTAACCCGAAATTGCAAGCATGGAACATGATGGTCTTGTGCATGCAGTCGGCTGCAGATGTAAGGTATAGGATGCATATGTGCATTGTTTTGTCGGGAAGAAATAATTTTAAAGTAAGTACGATACCCTCGATCCAAATTATCGGGCCAGGCATCTTGCAGTGTAAGTACTTTGTATACATTCTCCCGGTGCCTTGAGACGGTCACTCAAATTAGGCCCGCTCAAATTCCTGCTCCGCTGTGCACGCGACATAATGCATGGCATATCTTCTCAAGCCTGCAACCCATCGTCTCAAGACGTAAAAGCAGATAATAAGTGTAACCCCAAGAAGTGCAAACAACATCTGAACTCGTCCTCTCTATCTCTGATCCAATACCCAATCCAATCTAATCTGCGTAAGCTGGCGCCCAGGTGCTCCGAGGAGGCTACGAATACATTGCCCGTCAGCACATATAGCACATATTGCTGATTTCCCTGAACCTGTATATCTGTACAATTAAGTTCTCACGCGTCATAGATTTTCAAAACTTGTCGTATCTTCGTTCGGCAGATGGGGCAAACCGGTACTGGGCCTTGACTGAGCCTGCATGAAGGTAAACTCCCAAATTCAGCGCGGGTTCCACTGCATCGTTGCATAAGAGATTGGTTACTAAACTTCCTCTTGTCACAAAATAGTCAGCAAGCGCCAATTTGGACAAAACTCAAACCTCTTCATTTATCCGCCACAACGAGTATGTCGCACGCTGGTTGCAGCAATCCGCTGTCCATGCAAGCGAAGCGCAACCAAACGCATTTCGGGCCGAGAACGTCAACTCCGAAACTCTACTGGCTACTAAACTGACTCCTTGAATCTTCCAGACCCGCAAGACTGGCTGCTCGTCTAACCTAGAGACACTCACCTGAGTCCGCACGGGTAGCACGTCGCTCGGTGGCCACACGGGTCGAAGATGGTCTCCTTCCGATGGTCGAAGCACACGGCGCAAACATCCCCATCGTCCAGCGGCACCGCACTGCCGCTGGCGCCCGCTCCAGGGGGATCCCCCGGATATGAGAAACCGGGGGCACTCTTCCCCGGCTGTGGCATCGATTCTCCCCCCGGGGAGCTTTCCCCGAGGTTGGACCCCCCCTTCGTAAACTCTGTGGGCGCCGACCAAGGAACATACTGTTGTCCAGGGGGATACGGCGATGGCTGGCCGGACTCTGGGGCCTGCAAAAACCCAAAAGCGCGTTACCCATGCTGCAGCACCTACCAGCGCCGAACGGGGCTTTACAGAGACTCTCACAGGTATGAGCAGGTCAGAAGCGTCCAACGGTGGGGCTGAAAAGTCCACTGGTAAGACAAGCAAGTCACGACGACGGATGAATTGTCCTATAATAACATGCCCCTACAAGAAAAATGCCCTTCCCAACGCGTGAAAAACAGCCTGCCGTTGTTAGAATCGTCCTACAGCACTCTAGGACAGGCCTCACCAAGCCACAATCACGTAACGGTCGACGCTAACGGCAGATTCTTATCGACATTCGCTTTCTACCGAGCTTTCAGGCTTTCCGTCTCCAACGCCGCACCTGTGGCCACGTGTCTGCTGGATCGGACTGCTCATAGCCGCCCCTCGCGGGCGGGGGCCACATCCCTGGAACCGGTTGGTACTCGTCGCTCTCTCTCCGCTGGTGATACAAAGCCCCCGCGCCGCCGAAGATGGACGTCAGCAGCCACGTGCCCCCTGTATCGACGGCAGGAGTAACGCTTGTGACGAGCAAGGACAGGACCGTGTTATAGTTGCCAGCAATTGACACCGAGACGACCTGGGCTATCAGTAGCAGCTTACTCCTCGACAGGAGTAGAAAAAGGCAGCACGTCTCGCAGCTTCGAGTTGCATCCTTCCGGCGAGAATACTTATCTAGCCTTGATTATCAGCAAAGTGAATTAAAGTGGCGATGATGCGTTTTACGAACGTGAGGATAGCCAGTAGAGCAGACGGCACCTCACCAATCATTACCAGGTATGTCATCCATCGAGGACCGTACTCAAGGCGGATGTACCAGACGTCGTCCGCCTGGAACAAAACAGAAAGAGGGCTGATCAGAGACGGCGCACTTCTCAGCACCGAAGAAAATTTCCTCCATAACAGAAGGCGCGCTCCTCAGCACCGGAGCCAGTCATGCTCGTGTAAATGATTGAGAGAGTTCCACAGAAGGAACAACATAAGAGTCCCCGTTGGTACCCTCCTTGCAACGACGTCACTGCTTTCCACATGGCACGGTGGTGACTTGCTCAAACGCATTCATGATCGGAGCTCATTCCTCAAAGGGAATCGGAGCTCATTCCTCGAAGGCAAAGTCCGCACAGAGATGGCCTTGCAAGCATGCACCTGCCAAGGAAACCCATACATCAAGGCGGGAGCATGTACCCCCTCCCGTGCCGCCAACTTACCACATTTGTGTCTGGTGTCACGATGACCTCTGCTTCGTCCGAGCCGTACTCTAGATCGAACGTGCACTCCCCCGAGCTGCAGCTGTGGCGCGCCCGCCGCACGTCGTAGACCTTGCTCTTGACCTCGAAGTTGGTCGTAAACTGGAGCGGATAGCGCGCCAGGTTGCCAAAAGCGAAGAAGTACTCGGTGCTCGAGCGAGTCTTGTACTTGAAGAAACCTTTGCCTGGAGGAAATAGTCGAAAAAGGTCAACGTGAACCTCGCATATGAATGACGGGGGTCCGCTGGAGGTGCAAAAGCTTTCCAAAAGCAGCAGCACTCCCCCTTCGAAGGCAGATTAGGGCTTGTATTGCCGAACGAAACGTCGCCTACCACTCAAACCACATAATCGTGTTCTATGCCCGGAAGACAATACAACTAGCCAGACAAAGCGACAGTGTGCACTCTTGGAGTATCTCGCCATACACTCTCGCAGCTAAGCACATTTCTCTGGTTCATGAAGCACCGTTCGTACCTTCCGCAAAAGTGTGGTACTCTGCGACGCCGAGGTCGCGCGGGTTCTTCAACCAGCGCTGGAAGTTATCGGCCCCCTTCAGAAGGACAAAGTACACGCCCGGCGACTCGACCTCGTACTCGACCTTGATCTCTGAACCCCGGTTCAGCCAAAACGCCCAGTCCTGAAACAGCAGCCGAAGAGCCCCTCAATTGTAAGCCGTTAGGAGTCGACAGCGTTTGAATATAAACCTAGCTCCTTGCCCTTTCACAGGGTACACTTGGCGTCTCAACATCATCTGATTCCCCTATGCAATACGCCTGGCAGCGGAAACTCCAAAAGGTGGGGTTTCAGGTTAATATTTCGTGCAACAAAGAATCAGCTTTCCAAAGAGGTTTCCATTGCTTTTATGAGACGACGCTGACTCCTTGGAGAAGCCCCTTAAACTAAGCTCCAAATCCTTTGCAGTCATCCAGGTACGGTTCGAGACCCTTTCAAACGACGTCAACGGCGACCCTGAATCGGAATCGACAATCCATCGCCAGTAAGCGGCGGGGCGCTTCAAAACATGCAAAGATAATGACCATCTAACAAACAACTTCTCCAGGGCAATCACGGTAGGGATAGTACCTGGTAGCCGTTAGGGGAAACCTGCACCCCGGGGTGGTTCTCCGACCAGTGATGGTCCTTGCTGAGCGTCGGAACGTGGTCGAAATGGTACATCTCGGGCTGCTGCCCCTGACTGCCGCCCCCCAGCGTCACCATCTGTGATGGAATTACTAACGACTAGGTTAAAAAAGAGAAACTGTGGCAGGCCCAGGAAAATGCCTGCGAAGCGAGAGTTGGAGATGATAACGAAGAAAGGCAAGGATCTGTAGCTGACTTTGCGCCATTGAATCGCCATTCTTTAATCTCTACCTGAGTCTCAGTCTCGACCTGATCGAAAATGCACTCCTTGGACACCTGCAAACATCACCAAACCACAGAACCTCACCTCGTCTCGGCGACTACCTTCACTGTGGTGCCGGGTTTCTTCGACAATGAGATTAGTCATTTTTGGTTCCACAACAACTAGCATCGTGAACCTCACCTTGACGGAGCTGACGAACGTTGACGAAACCTGGACGAGCCTGCTTTCGCCGTACCCCAGTTCCATCTGTTGAGGGCCATACGCCACAAAGCAGAGGTACAAGGCGACTGCAAACACATGCAGAAGGTGCACAAACAGTCAGCTGTTGACTCCTCACATAATATTTGACATTCAAAAGTTCTGGCCGCCAACAATAATGGTATTGCTGCCAGCAACCTGAGTTACACCCAAAAGTACACTCGAAACTTTCACTTCGTCCTTGGACGATACCCCTTTCGAATTCGTTGTTCCACAGAGACTAGATTCGCATAGACAAGAAACATGTGCTTCCCAAGCAAATGTTTCCACACAGAGAATGCGCAGTGACAAGAATCATGAAGGGGCAAGAAAAAGCACTCGAAGCTCAAAAGAGGGGTCATAGTGACAAGAAAGCTCTCTCCATGCAAAGCCAATCTTTATCACTGATACCTAGAAGATTCCCAGCCCTACATCAGCGTCTTCTACTGGAAAAAGGGCCAGATATCAGCTCAAAAACCCGGAAGAAACATATATGCCATTCAACTAGTGGCAACTTGGTGATAATAAATAAACACAAGGCACAGAAAAAGGCACACAACTTCGTCGCTCTTTCGATAGAAGCAACTTACACACAACGATCCCAACATTCAGAAAGGGCCGCAGCCAGGTCCACTGTGTTGTGTGCTGTCTGGCCGCCACGCGCCCCGGGGGAACTTGCGGTGGGGGCATGAGGCGGCCCTGCTGTTCGTGGACGTTCCAGTGATACGCGCTTTGTCTGTCCCGGTTCATCCATGAGGACACGGCACCCCCGGCTGCCAAACCTCCAAGTCCTGCAATCCAAATGAAGGCTCTTTCAAAAAGCTCGATGTAGACTAAGAAGCTGAAATGAGGGGTCATCACAATGAGTACGAATAACGGGAGCTACACCGTACACCTGCCTGAAGAATGCATCCGTCAGCCCCCGGGGGAGAAGGGTCAGCAGAGATGATGCAGGCAGTTAGATTTGTGTCAGAAGCGGTCAATGCATGTCCTTGTTTCCTGATCCAATGTCCGCCTACCAAGCTTCTGATGTGTCTGCTTCAATACTCTCTTTATTTTCTGAAATAGAGGGGTCAAAGCACTTTCAAAGGCTGTAGCACCTGCAATCACGGGCATCCATGAGGACGCTCCGTCCCCGCCCCGCTCTTGGTCCGTGTCGGGAAATTGGCCACCCCCATGATGCTGGAAGGTCCGGTCATCAGTAGTATTGTCTGCATATAAATCATCAAAGGTCCCAGAGTCGCCACCGCCGTCATCGTCTCCAAAGCTGCCGCTGCCGTGCCGACCCATTGCGTGGCCAAGTGCTCCGAAGTACGCACTACTGTAGCCGACTCGTTTTCACCTCGCCGCACCCCTGCCAGGGCTCTCCAGCTCCACAACTGTTGCAGCCTGCTCGGAACCAGCGCGTCCCGACTCCCTAGGTGCCAATGCTGTCACTCCGTCACTGTGAGTGGACCAAATGATGGACCTGGGCTAGCTGATCGAGGCGCCCCCATGCCACGTCAGCCTGGCCCCCGGCAAATGGAGTCATGGTGCGCAACCTGTGACTCACACATGTGAAACGTGTCAGCCGGCCAGCAAATGGTATCGTGGCCCCCGCTCTAGTTCCTTGGTGTTGCGTCCTTGGCAGGGCATGGCGAGAACCCTATTCTTGAATCTTGGGCAGAGCCTGAGCAGACAGCCTCGACTCTTCAGGAGCAAGTTCGAACACCAGGGCGCTGGGGGAACAGGTAGACCTCTGGAGGGGTTTGTGGCGGCCAACCGTGGTCTGCAGTAGAGGCAACCACAGAGGGTTCGCGCAGGAGGACAAAGGGGGTCCTGGAAAGTCTTTGCAAGGCGTAGTCTTGTTAGCGATCCGGTGCGGGAGAGTTGCAGGGCACTGGGCAGACAAGTTGGCATTTGTGGATACGATAAGAAGGGGTACTTGAGGCAGGGTGGAATGGCGTCAAGTGTGGCGGTGGCAGGCCTTCGGGCTGGCTCGGTACTTTACAGTCAGAGCACCTCCATGTCCGGGCAGAGCCTCCAGGTACAGATGTCCTTCCTGGTCATACACCCAAACTTCGACCATCTCACTGACGTTGGAAAGAGCAATGTTATTGCATGATGATGTATTGGGAAGTTGTTGAAGTCGAAGCCGTTGACAATGTGGGACCCAAGGACAAGCTATCTGCTCATTCCTCTGAATCTGAAGGCGTTTGCTATTGAGAAGATGCGTCTATGACTTTCTGAGCATCAGGCCTTGTCCACAGGATTGATCAAAGTTCTATGCGGGTTAACATGGTTAAGAATGCAAGAACGGTTGGGTGCATACATGCTTTTCTTGAGCGTCCCCATGACCTTTGTGGGGGTTTGTTGCAAGTTGTGTTCAGTTAGAAGCTTGGCTTGTCTCTTGTGACGTCGCCACTCAAGGACTGCATTCAATTGCTGCTGATGATGGTACACCATTACCAATGTACTGTGGAGATGAGTTCAGGTTTTACACCGACACTTGAATCTAGCCGCTAGCCGTCATTAGCAAGTCCCCCAGCAGCAACTCGGGCCTCTGTCAATCACAGCACTGCTTGTGCTTCAAGATACCGGTTCTCGAAATCCGCTTTTGTGAGCGAAGCAGCAGCAAAGCAAATGCTTCTGTGGCTGGCACTTTTTGAAAGTTCTTTGAGAAGGTGACGGCGTAATGAGCTATGTGATTGGGAGGTAGCATAGGTATTCAGGTTTCAGGGAATATGTGCAGTTTCTCGTTTTTGGTTATTGGCAACCGTCTACTGCTTGGCGCATCATTATATAGGAGCATGTGGGCAACAATGCCTGAGTGTCCGTTTTAGTAGCCAGCCGTTTTCCTTCACTGAACATGTGTAAAGGGGCGTCGATCCCATCTCTACCTGTGCCTGCAATCCTCTGATTTTTGCTGCAAACTCTCTTTGCAGGTTCAGAGTGCGCCCGCCAGAATAGTATGCAGAAAAGCAGACCTTCATCCTAAGCTCTACCAGGATGCGAAAGTGTTCTGCAATGGTGAGCATGTGTATACCGTAACTAGCACGAAGTCCGAGCTGACCGTCGATGTCTGGTCAGGCAACCATCCCTTTTATCAAGGGAGCTCCGGAACGGTAGTGTTGGAGGACGGAAGGGTAGAGAAGTTTAAGCGGAAGTATGCGGCGATGGGGCTCGGAACTGTTGCGGAAGTACCTGTGTTGACTGGACCAAATCCTAAGATGGAGCGGCCAAAGAAGGACGGAAAGAAGGGGAAGGGAAGGAGGTAAACACGTTGGGAGACGTCAACTGTTGGCGCAGAAGTCTGTTTGTTGTTAAGGACCTGCGGCGCAGCCACTTTTTGTTTTCTTGGGACTGGGTTGGACACAGTGTACATCTCAATTCAAAGTCTTCGCTGATCTAGTTTGACACAAGTCGATTGTTGTCAATGATGTCACATCGTACGGTCTTGAGTGGCTGAAGCACTGCGAATGAGTTCATCGAAACTTTGTGACTGCTGTTTAGCTGACTTGACATTCCCAACAACATCTGAAGCAATACAAGCAACACCACGAATGGTGCTGCCAGCGTCCCATCTCGTTCTTGTGGTTTGGACGGTCTTCTGTACCTTTGACTGAACTGTTGCCTAGGCCAACTGTATATGTGTTTGATTCGATACCATCACATTTACAAACCGAAATCTTTGCCTATCCTGTAGCATGGCATTGGTTTGTTTGCGAATGCATCATGCTGCACCTGGCATGCATACTATGCATCGTGCATCACTTATGCAGCCTCATAAAGTTACCAAATAAAGCTGACGGTCAATTCTGGAGGCAAAGACTGCACAACACGGCAATCACGTATTGGTCCCAATTATTGTTATTTGGTGCCCTTGCTGCCAGAAAGGCACTCTGATGGGGCCATGGTGCAACATTGGGGGACTCACGGGGTGTCATGGTCATGCAGACTGCAAGAGCAATGGCATATTTGGGCAGGCCACTTGTATGCTCATGTCTTGGCCCCTAGTTCGACTAAATTGCATGTTTATATTGTACGGTACACCTCAATGAAATTTATCACGAGCAGTGAGGCTCTTTTTGGGGAACGCGTAGGCCCGCGCAAATCAACGACAATGAAGTGGCAGTACAATGCTAGCAACAAGTCAATGCTGTCCGTTTTAAACAAGAAGTAAAGGCCAATGAATACAGGCGAAAGCACAGTCAATAATGCAATGACATAATGTTCTCTATTAGATGATTGTATGTGCGGAGTGTTTAGTGTTTTAGTAAAACCGCTCTGATTAGATTATCAAGTGCACGGATCACATGGGACGCCATCTGTAGGCTCGTTGCATGAAGTATCAGATTCGAGATGAAGGTCGCCGAAACTGATAAAAACCATATACCGATTGCAACATGCTCAGATAAGAAAGAAGCACTTTCAACACAACACTGGATAAAAGAGGCTTGTGATATTGACCGCCACAAATGGGAGCTGGACAGATGCTTACAAAAGGTTCAAGCAACGGCCTTTCAATCCTCTATGCGACATCAGCGATAGTAACCTCCACCTCCACACCGGGCTCAATGCTGATGGAGGTAATCTGCTTGACAACCTCTGAGGGGCTGTGCAAGTCGATCAACCTCTTGTGGATGCGCATCTCAAAGCTGTCCCATGTGTTTGTTCCTGCACAGAAACAGGGAGAGTGAGACAGATGCAAACTTCTGTGACCGCGTGGCCAAAATCGTCTGCCAGTGATACGAGCAGTAGGCCACCGTCTTTCACTAGAAGTGCCCTCTCTGCCATCAGCTGCCATCAACGAGCGGTTGCAAGTGCGGCAAAAGCTAAGCCGACACAGTTGGGTTCTCCCAATCCCACAAAGGAAACCCTCAACAAGCCTGATGGGCAAACCCAACAGGGAACAACCTAGATTGTGTAGACATTAGCATGGACTGAGGTAGCCATATGCCAAGTTCGAAATGTTTCTTCGCATTTTACCCATCTCATCTACCCCTAGCACGGCCAAATCCTTTCCAGCCAAAAGCTGACTGCACTGGCCTCCTCCCTGCTTGACGACCCAACATGGACCACCAGAAGCCAATAATACAGTATCGGTCCACACATGGAGCGTTGCTGACTTTCAACGATCTCTCCCAAACTCTCGGAATCCTTTCAACCGATAGGATGAACAGAAGGAAACATCCACAATACTACTTACAGGGAACTTTGAGCCAGCTAAAACGAGATAATCGTACCTTCTCCGCAAGGCGACTTCCTGGTCGTCACACGCAGAACCTTGGTGGGCATGCGAACGGGCCCCTTCACCCTCAGGCGCTTATCCTTTGCGCCCTTGATGAGGTCAGCGCAGACTGCGCAACAAGAAAGCACCTACTGAGCAACTTAAGAAGAGTTCCAGAAACTCTTTGTGTTTTGGTAAAAAGCACATCACTGACAACTACGTTGGGCGCCCCGGACTGAAAGGTGTAGAAGCTCTGGCGAGCACCATGACATGAGGACGCCAGCCTTCGAGATAACAAACTCCACGAACCTGGCCAATTGTTGATTCTTACAGAGAGAAAGGCAGAAAACCTTGGAGACCTATTTGCTGCCCCAGAACTTGCTATAGATGCTGCCCACCAGGAGCAGTCATGCTCAATATCTCTTTTTTGACGTCAGAACAGATCAACAGAACGACGAGAGTTGCGACGAGAGTTGGCGCCCACCCTTCTCGAGGTTCTTGACATTCTTAGATGTCAGGGTGATACGGATGCGGTGAACAGGCTCTCCTTCCTCCACACCGGGCTTGCCAGCCCCAGGCTTCAACGGCGTGGCCATATCTGCACAACAGCGAACACTTCAACACACCAGCAGATCCTTTACCGCCACTGAGAACCCTCAACAAAGAATCAGCCGCCACACATATCAGAAAACTCAATTATACTTGTAATGGAACAAAGGAGGTAAGATGGGTATAGAAACCACCTACCTGCAGTTCTGATACTCCCCGAGACAGACGCCGCCCTGAAGCGACCGCTTGCTGAGGTTTCTCAAGAGCCTTGCGTGAAAGAGGACGAGCAAGGCGCCTCCCGAACGATTTCAAGCAGGGGCATAAAATCCAGAAGCCTTTTAACGGTGCTGTTTTATGGGACACCCACAGGTCCAAGTCTTAACCGTCGATGAGTGGCCATCTCAATCTGTTTTCCCTCATCGGACGACTTCAAAGAATTTTGCTTGGCAACTTGAGCAGATCGGATGGTTGAAATCCTTCATACGTGCCCCATCTGGTCCGCCCATTAGAGCGGTAACGGTTGTTAAAGCCAACACGACTCCTGCTCTCAAGTCTGGTCAGCCCGCTGACGACCAGACTGCAGATCCAGACTCACGTCGTCACGACTAACTTCTGACAAGATTGAAGGAGTCGGAAAGCTTGCATTTCCAGCACCTCCAGGCGCCTTTCCTTCACATCTTTCCTGTCTGCTTAGATCAACCTGCCTCACAACACTTCTGAGATTTACAAGCGCATAAAGCGCGCTGTCGGGGCCGATGGCGTGCACGTGCACCAGGCTTGCGGGGGGTGCCTCACTGGTGGAGGCTCTGTCAACCTCTGACAGGTTCGGTAGCAGGGCCCAAGCGCAGAGCTCTGAGCGACCTGCTGTGCCCCTGCGACGGAGTAAGTTCCTGGCAGGAGAGGGCAGATGTTGTCCTGCACCTCTGCAAAGTTGCCAGAGCTCTGGTGATTCTGCCAGGAGACAGGGCAGGCGAGAAGCACGGTGTGAAGCAGGGTCATCGGGGAGGGACGTGAGGGCGCAAGCGGCAGTGAAGGACCTGAGCACGGTGCAAGAGGATGTGGAAAAGACAGAGATGGTGTCGGGGGATACATATGGTGTAGCTGCTGAGCTGTCTCTGCCCCGTGTTAGCAGCGGAAAAAGTTTTGTAGCTCCTCTCTACCCGGGTTTCAAATCTAGGTGAGAAGGAGCCCTTGCAAAGTCCAAACCAGATTGTTGACTAAGCACTGAAGTGTTGGCTTTCAGATAACATAGTCCACTTGTAAAAAGGTGTCTCATTCATTGATTCATAGTACTTGATTGGATGCTGTTGTCTGCGGGTGTCAAGTAGCTTTTTGCTTTTGCTTCTCATCCATCTTATCCCCTTTGGTCCCTTCTCTTCAAGTCTTGTGTCCTGTCCACAGATATGGGGACAATGAACCACGAAAAGGGTCCGATATCCTGGTAGAAGCCCTGGAGCGGGAGGGGGTACGGAACGTGTTTGCGTACCCAGGGGGTGCATCAATGGAGATTCATCAGGCCCTGACAAGGTCAGGGTCTATCCGGAACATTCTCTGCCGGCACGAGCAAGGCGAGATCTTTGCGGCGGAGGGGTACGCCAAGGCTTCTGGGAGGGTGGGGGTGTGCATAGCCACATCAGGCCCAGGGGCGACCAATCTGGTAACGGGCTTGGCCGATGCAATGCTGGACAGCGTGCCACTGGTGGCAATCACCGGGCAGGTGAGCAGCATATTCACGCATGTTTTGCCTTTCCTGTGTGACGATGTTGGAACACTTAAAGTTGACCTGAGCAGAGGTTTCTCTGGCCTTTCCGCCTGCCTGTGGTTTTGACATTGTTGGGACTCTCTCAAATTAGTGCCACACAAAAAGGTTTTGGCGGTCCTGATGTAATCGAATAGTTGCTGCTATCACTCCTCTCAAGGTACCGTTTTTACAATGGAAGGTTGTTTCAATTGCTCTAAGTGCACTCCGCTTGCTCCTTTCTCAAACCCCTGCTTTGCTACCTCCTGACTGGTTCGCTGTCTCACTCTCGGCCTTCTCATCACTGCAGGTCCCTAGGAAGATGATTGGCACAGACGGCTTCCAGGAGACCCCCATTGTGGAGGTTACCCGCTCCATCACCAAGCACAATTACCTGGTGATGGATGTGGATGACATTCCACGCGTCATCAGGGAGGCCTTCTACCTGGCGGCCTCAGGCAGGCCCGGCCCCGTCTTGGTGGACGTACCAAAGGACGTGCAGCAGACGATGAGCATCCCGGACTGGAACCAGCCGATGCGCCTCAATGTGATTAACAACAACCTACGTCCTGCTTCTGTCGTGCTTACGGCCTGTGTGCAGAGCTGTAGGCCTGGTTTGAGTGTCATGTCGTGGTGGAAGTAGGGGATATCTAACTTGGGCACAGGGGATCACATGGGGGGAGAAAAGTTTGAATAAGAGGCGCAGGTGCAGCTAGCTTGCATGCATCCTTGGATTGGATGATCTTCGGTACAAGGCCTCAGTGCAAAAAGTATTGGAAGGGCATAAAGAGTGGTTGTGTCGGAGCGCAAGGCCTTGCTGCAGAAAGCAGTGAAAGTCTCAGGAGAAGCGTTTGGCCCCTTTTTGAAATTCATCTGCAGGACCTACATTCCGTCCACACTCTTGTTTCAGAAGGCAAAGGCTTTGTCCTAGACAATGATCGTCCTTCATGGACAAGGGAGACGGGTTGGGTGCCTGGCTGGCCGGGACTCAGAATGGCAGGCCCAGTCTTAAGGGCAGGGCCAGGGACTCCTGAATTAGCAGTTTCAAATGGCCCCACGCCCTTCCCCACTCCCCCGGCTCACCTTTCCTGTCTCTTTGAATCCAGTCGTACATCAAGCGGCTGCCCGGCCTGCCGTCCCGTGACACGATGGCCCAGGTGGTGCGCCTGCTGCAGAGCTCCAAGAGGCCAGTGGTGTACCTGGGGGGCGGCGCGCTGCACGCCAGCGAGGAAGTGCGCCAGTTTGTGGAGCTGATGAAGATCCCGGTTGCGCAGACGCTCATGGGCCTTGGGACCTTCCCGGAGGTGCGTTTTCCTTGTGGTGTGGCAACTACTCCATGGCATGGCAAGCCATTTCTGACGCGCTAAAGAATTCAGTGGTATCTGGAGAACGAGAGAGCTGAAGCAGCTCGGGCTCGAGAAGTAGATTTTTGTCTGCATGCGGATAATGTTGTGAGAATTGACACGAAGGAACTGTTAACAGTCAGCGATGTTGGTATAACATCGCTGAACGATTAGTCAGCGACGTTACACCAGCATCGCTGAATGATAGTTGATGCATGCAACGAGACATCGTCCAGCCGTCAGGTGACTCTGTAGTGGTCCTTGGGCGCGTTTGATCTTGGCAACTGCTCAAAACAAAAAGGGGCTGACGGTTTGTGATTGACACACCTGGCCTATGGCGCTGACCGCTGCTGTGCTTTTTGTGTTGCAGACGGACCCCCTGGCCCTTCAGATGCTGGGCATGCACGGCACTGTGTATGCCAACTATGCAATCGACAAGGCGGACCTCCTTCTTGCTTTTGGCGTGCGCTTTGACGACCGTGTGACAGGGAAGCTGGAGACGTTTGCCAGCAGGGCCAGCATCGTGCATATAGACATCGACCCTGCAGAGATTGGTTAGTTTCACCTTGGCTTTCTGGAGGAAACCGCTTTGCAAGCTGCAAAGCGAGCTTGGTGTGTAACATGTAGTGCTCTCTGTAGTAGAACAAAGGGATTTGATGTGGGGGCTTTTGATGCCTCCGATCTTTGTAAAAATGTCTTCAGTTTCTAAGAGAGCGTCAAGGGGGTTTTGATACTGAGGCCGTGTGATTGTGCCAGCTTGGACGCAGCTTATGACTCCTTGCATGTCATGCGTGGTTGGTAGGTAGCCCTGTTTCGACATACTCTGAGGGAGGCAAGTATGCCAGGTCTTGACTTGCGGTCGTATGCGTTATACACGCGTTGACCTGTAGGGGATGCATATCAAACGTATCCCTCTTTCTGCAGGTAAGAACAAGGCGGCCCACGTGTCTGTGTGTGCGGACATCAAGCCTGCGCTAGCCTGCCTCAACGAGTTGCTCCAGGAGGAGGTTGCCAACGGCGCCGACAAGTGGGACTACGCAGACTGGCGGGCAGAGGTGCAGGAGCAGCGGGAGAAGTACCCCATGGCGGTAAGACTTCCTAACGTTTCTTGTTTTGTGGCCCTCCTTGTCGTCTGAATGGTTGACTACGAGTCTTTGTTACGTTATATCAACTGCCTTGTGGGCCAGCACAGTTGTAGTGAGCAGGTATGTATCTCTGAAGCAGACGTGTCAGAGTCCGACTTCAGCCTCTCCTTTGGCGCCTTGCGTCTTGCCCCTTGTTGGGGAACGCACTGTAAAGCTTGTCATATCCGCAGCTGCGATTTTGCGGCCGTGAGCTTCAACGACCTCTGTCTTTCGAATTGCGCGCGCTTGTGCGCAGTCCTCTTCCACTCGCTTGTTCGCCTCGTAATTTCCTTTGCAACTCTTCTGAATCAAATCTTACGTGTCTCCTTCTCTCGTTTCCCGCAGTTCCCGGTCACGACCGACTTCATCGTGCCGCAGTCCGCCATCCAGACCCTGTACGAGCTGACCAACGGGCGCGCCATCATCAGCACGGGCGTCGGGCAGCACCAGATGTGGGCTGCGCAGTGGTTCCAGTACAATGAGCCGCGCAGGTAAGAGGATCCGTTTTGCGTTGAGTTGAGTCACGCTGAAGTGCATCAGTTTCCGGGCTTGTACAATTGAATAAGCTCAACCTAGAGATAACAACCTCGAGTTAACAAGCTCGACCTAGAGATAACAACCTAGAGATAATAACCTAGAGATAACCTAGAGTTGCTTCGTCCCTGTACTTCCTGCGAAACCCTCAGACCTGTCCATCCGTCTGCCGGGCAAGGATGCATATCAAACGGGGCGTAACCTTACGCGCATGTGGTCCTTGCGTGCAGATGGGTCACCTCAGGCGGCCTTGGCGCCATGGGCTTCGGCCTGCCGTCTGCGCTCGGGGCGGTGACGGCGTGCCCCGACATGGTAGTCGTCGACATCGACGGCGACGGGAGCTTCATCATGAACGTGCAGGAGCTGGCGACGATCAAGGTGGAAAACCTGCCGGTCAAGATCATGATCCTCAACAACCAGCACCTCGGCATGGTCGTCCAGTGGGAGGACCGCTTCTACAAGGTGAGCGGGGCGCGCATGGGCGGTCCGATGGTCGGGACATGTGGTGTATGTTGAGGGCTGGTCTTCGGCTGGCTACCGCTTGTTTGTTGACGGTTTGTTGAGGGTTAGAAGGGCTTTTGCGCACATCCACAGGACATATGTGTAGGTAGATGTCAGCCCCACGGAGGTTGGGTGGCCGTTCGCCGATGTCTTCACACTCACCTGCTGCCATCAGTCTCGTACGGGCCTTTCTTTGAACAACGGATACCTTGTGGAGGCAACGTTGGTGAGGTTCTGTACTGACCGGCACCTTCTGTGCACTTGCAGGCAAACCGCGCACACACGTACCTGGGAGACCCGGAGGCACCCGAGGATATCTTCCCCGACTTTTGCAAGTTCGCCGAGGCGTGCAAGGTCAGTGAGCGTTGTGTGGCAGATCTTTCTTGTCTGAACTTATGCCCCATGGAGTGCGTCGCCGCAGGCCCCCTAATGCTGCGAGGAAGCGCCGTTTTCTTTAAAAACTCTTGTCTTTCAAATATTATCTAAGTGTGTTTCTCTTTCCAGCGATGTTTCTCGCCCGGCTTACCAGAAGTGCGTTTGTGTTTGCAGGTGCCCACGGCTCGCGTGTCGCGGCCCCAGGACTTGCGCGAGGCCATCCAGACAATGCTGGACACGCCGGGCCCTTACCTCCTGGACGTCATCGTGCCGCACCAGGTATGTTGCAATGCCGCCGTGGGCCATATGAATCTGCTTCCGTTGACAGTTCGCCCTGTTCGCAGTTGCCCGTCGTGGTGGATCTGTTTCACTCTGCAAATAGTACCTTTTGCGGAATATTGACTACGTTTTTTGAATAAGCTGCTCACACCGCTGGTTGGTCGGTTGCAGGAGCACGTGCTGCCTATGATTCCCGGTGGAGGGGAGTTCAAGGATATCATCGTAGAGGGAGATGGCAGAAGGAAATACTAGGCGGTCAAATTAGCCAGTTGATCGAGACAATTTTGCTCTGAGCGGCAGAGTACTTACTTGACAAACGGAGGTGATGACAAGGTCGGAAGTCTACGCAGGGAAAGCTTTGGTGCTTAAGACACTGCACCTTATTACTGGATAATTGTCGAAGTTGGGAGGTTGTAGGATAAAAGGAACAGGTGAACTTGGAAACGGTGGGTTCAATGGTAGATGCTGATTGGGAGGCACTGTTTCTTGTGTCGGAAGCTCTAGCTGGATTGCGAGCTGAGGGTTCTTTTCCAAGGAACCAACTTAATATTATCAAAGTAAAGATCAACTCACAGTGTTTGCTCAGCACTTTTGCTAAAGATACATACCGTACTGCTACGTGATTTCGGCAAAAAATAAATAATTATGTGCCCTGCCGAATTTCGCTGGAAAATATTTTGGAGCGATAATGGTCGATAATGGTGCTTTTTAGCAGGTAACACTAGGTCTGCCGAAAGGATAAAACGTTTCATTATTAACTTTTCGGCGTTGAAGTTGCCGAAATCAAATAGCAGTACGGTAGTAAGCTTTCCAGGGAGTGTATGTCTGCATAGTGATTGCTTGGTGCATCGAATTTATTATACCTAGCTCTCTAGCTACATAGATGCCCAAATTTGGGCCGCTATATGTAGCTAGAGCTACTACAATTTCAAGCCTGCCGCCCTCGTATATCGTATCCCATTTGTGGTACCGGCCATATGTTATGCTGTCACATGCCGCATGGGCCTATAGCAGTGTCGGTGCACGGCGAAAGGGATCGATATGGATGTTTTCATGACAGCCATCATTGCCTACATATGCATGCCATCATGATGTCGTGACATGCATGCATATGGCCGGTTGCCCGGACGCGTTTTAACATGCATGCACGAAGTCATGCAGACATCATGCCAGGCAGATACCTGTGATGATTAGCACCCATGTCAAGCTCGACCTAGACAAAATAAAAGTTCGACGCTTGATGTAATTGCTGCTGCAGTTGCTCAAAAGGATCGGCGTATGCTTTTCTATCGATCCATCATTCTTTATTGGACAAGCTTTCACTTTCATGAGCGGACTCGCTCTGAGTCCCACAAGAGCAACACATTGATGCAAATCGTCAAGGCCCATGTTCGTGCCACATTCGAGTCATTCTCACCCGATACCTTGGATAATCTGTGCATTTTTATAAGTTACCTACCAGTGCCGGTGCCCTTCACTAGATCACATATCCCAAAGTTATCGGTAACCTTGCGGCGGTGGTGGCGGCCACGTCCCAGGCATCATGTACGCCCCCTCCGCATGAGGCTGAACGTACGGCCCGGGTGGCTGCATATAGGGGAATGGCGGGGGACCAAGCATAACCGGCCCCTGGTTTTGGTAAGGTGGCGGGGCATAAGGGCCAGGATAGAACTGCGGCCCCGGACTTACCTGGTATTGAGGCTGGGGTGGAAGCAGCTGGGGAGGAGGTGTTTGTTGATTGGGTGGTTGATATGGATAGGCCGGCACTGGGGTGAAGTCACCATTCACAGGCGGTGTGGACTCATGACTCTGTGGTGGCATGTGAGGATAAGGTGGGTTAGGTGGGGGAAGTAACACCGGTTGAAAATGGTCGAGGTGGGGGGGCTGTGGCGGTGGGGCGAAGTACGGCCCGAACTGCCCCCCCCCCGGGGGCCAACCACCGCCTTGCACCCCAACCGTATTTGCAGCCTGCATTTGCTGCAGCTCCTGCTGCTGGAGCCGCTCCCGGTCGGCCCGCTCTAGTTCCTCCGCCACCCTGCGGTCCGCCTCTTCCTTCTGCCTCCGCGCCTCCTGCTCCGCCTGCTGCTCCCGCCACAGCCGCTCCTGTTCCGCCCGATCTCGTTCTTCCTGGGCGGCCCTCTGCGCGGCCAGCTCCGCGATGCGCCGCTGCCCTTCGATGACGTCACGCTCGTAGCGCTCCCGTTCCTGCCGTCTTTGCTCCTCTTCCTGCCGAAAAGGAATCGAAGCGAAGTCAGACTTGGCCCCCACCTAGGAATGTCCGGCATCGGTCCCGCAGTTTTCGTCCCAGCAGTAACATGTCGGACGCTTCGCAGGCGCTAGCTTCTAACCGACAATCCTCGATGACAAGAAAGAGCAGAGTATGCCTCAGTCGGAACGAAGACTGTCTCGGCTGCCAACCTTAATGTTGTTCCACCAATCGGTTTCATTGGCAGTCAACCGTTATAGACCAAACGCTTGCCAGGCGGCCTCCTACGATCACCGACGATTGGGAGCTCCAACATCAACCTTTCGTATGCAACGGCCGACTTCCGACCAAATATAGAAGTGCAGACAAAGAAGACGTCAGCATGTTCGCACGGACAAGCCACAGTCACCTGGCGTCGCCGTTCCTCCTCAGCTCTCACACGCTCCTGTTCCGCGCGTTGCCTCTCCTCTTCCGCCCTCCTTCTTTCATCCTCCATCCGTCTCCCCTCTTCTTCCTGCCGTTTCCTCTCCTGCTCCTCCCACCGCAATCGCTCGGCCTCTTGTTCCTGCTGCGCCTGCTCCGCTTGCTCGGCCGCATGCCGTTCCGCCTCTGCTGCCTTTAGCTTGGCATCGCGCTCCTCTAAAAAGGGCTTCAGCTTGGCTGCCTGGAAGGCAGATTGATCGTGATTATTGTTTGTGAGGTGTCTATCCTAAGGGAAAGTACGGCAATATTTGGTCAGGCAAGAGACCAATCACCAATACATCTGCGTACCAAATGCGTGGCGATGAAAGACTAGGAGATGAAGATTCGACCTTAGAAGCGTTTTGGCTGATTTTCAGGGAGAGCTAAGAGTCTTGGGCTCCCATCTTGCCAAAAGCATGTACGCCGTGTTATCGGAGAAATCGCAGACAGTAGCTGAGTGCTCACTTGTTGTCTCATTGAATTCGACGACAGACGCTGGGGCAAAGGAAATTGAAAAGAAACGCGCCGAGGGCCACGTACTTTGACTTCCTACTCGCAGCGAGCGGCTCACGGAAAACCATCAACGAGATGAGCAAACGGTGGGTCCTACCTTTCTGGAGAGGGCGCGGTTCAGGTACTGTTCTCGAGCGAGCCGACGAACTGTCTGCAAAAGGATAGAAAGGTACTGTTCACCATTTGTGCATATGCTGCCCATATCGGAGCATCCGCGAGACCACTGGCTCAGGATGATGCGCGACCAACAGGACGGAAGCAGAGTGATTCCCGACTTGAGCAAAGCCATTTCACGAAGGCCTGGCGTTAGACTAGACGTTCTTGACTAGCAGTTGCGTGGACGAACGACATCCGGCTTCTAACCAAAAAGACGAACAGCACATGCATCTCCAGTAGTGCTCACCTTGAGGTAGTCTTCGACCTTGACCTTCTCATCCCGCAAGCTTTGAAACGCCTCGTCCGTGGCATCTTCGTTGTCTGCATCCTCAGCCTCTAGTTTGGTCAACCTGCGAACGAAAGAATCTAACTCAAGTCTCCGCATGGGCAATGACGACGAACGCCTAAGAACGCTTCGGTGTGAGGAGGATGCATCGTGGATAATCCACAGAGGACGCTTCCGATTTCAGGGGCGGAGTTGGCTTCTGCTGGAAGCAACGAGGAGGTGAAAACAGGGAATTCACGAGTTCGTGCTCGGCTTCTTGCGGAAGTCAAGGCTTCGTCAGCAGTCCATCAGTGGACGAGGTAGCAGCTGGATACACTTCAAGGAACCCAGGATCACGAAAGCTGACTGATCGACTAAGACGTGAGCCTAAAAACGGAAATGGCTCATGCTCACAATGTTTCCACTACGTCGAGAGCAAGAGCCAGCTCTTCCTGGGTCGGTTCTTTCGGATCCCAGGCCTGCCTAGCCGCTAGTTTGCTTTCCGCGACGGCTGCCGGAACCACAGGTGCGATGGTGGGCTTTTGAAGCGAGAAGGACGGAGACAAAGATGCGGCAGAGGCGAGCGCCTGCTGCGCTGCGCTTCCAGGAGAGTACAACGGGGGTTCCATGCCAAAGACACGGGCCATCTGCAAAGGAACACAAGTCTACTTTATTCTTTGTAATTAAGAAGAGATTCATCCGGAAAATGTGTTTGTCCCCGCAAACGTTCTGCACTGGAACGCACAGTCTACCTTATTCTAGTACTCAAGAAGAGGTTTGTATTGACAAACGTGTTTATTTTCATCAGAGCATTCAGAGGCCACCAGCTGTCGACTAGTGTGACCAGCACATGCACCAAAGTGGACCCAACCTCCACTGGTTTCAGTTTGTCAATTGCGACCCTTCTCCTTCTGATTCCGACATCCTTCAGTTACTGTTAAGCTTCCAGTTTGCTCTAGTTTCTCGCTTTCCTCCCGTTTTTCACTTGCACAAAGCATCCAGACTCCCAACGGTTCGCAGGCTCACCAGGTCCGCTTGGTCTTTCATGGTTGAGTGCTTGGGGTCCCATCTCGCTTTTTCAAACCGCGAGAAGTTGCATAGACCTGTCGGGGTGACTACGGTGTGCTGTGGCTTCAGCACGAGACCATTCTTTTGCAGAACATAGCAGGCTGGGGGGGAGACCGGAAAGCCTTGTGGGAGCCGGATGCTGACCTGTGGCACACACATGGGCCGATGTCAGGAACACTTGGGAGGCGTGTATCCTCAGCTCATAAAGAAAAAGGGACTTAGAAAGAGCACTAGTTTCCAACTTCCCGCTTGACAAGGAAATGGCTTAGAAGGGGGGAGCCACTCTCTGACTTGAACAAGCGTATTGCCTTTGTAGATTGTAATATATCCACAGATTGAGTCTCCTCTTGTTCTCTTCACACTGTCTATATGCTGTCCGTTGCCCAAGCGCCTTCTGCAGAGCCTTGGATTCCAACCAGTTTATCTGAAGTTCTGAACTAAGTAGACACCATGTGAGAGACTTACTGGGATGTTGTACAGCTTGTCCCGGTAGCTCATAGGGATTGTGCCCTCCAATGCCAACAGTGCCATGTTGGTTGGCTCGCTCGTGCTGCCATCAGGGGCGTAGTTGTCCAAGCGGAGGGCCAGGCCGCGGTACTTTTCCAGACACTGAGTGATCTGCTGCTCAATCTGCTTTCTGGCGACTCTACTGCAGGAAGCCACGGGGTGCCTGTCATCTTCTTCACTTCTGGGTCACCATGAACGGAAAGACGAGAAGCCGGTGCGAGGCAAGGAGTATTTACATTCAACATATCCCTTTGGTAGTGAGAATCTGGCCACACGCAGTTCATCGGAAGGAGTCCTACAGATTGGTACAGCGAATTTGAGAGAGCACATAACAAAGACACAAGTTGACAGTAGTAGTTTGACAGTAGCTACTGCTTCAGCTTACCTGTATGCTGGCAGCCCCGGCAAAGTGTCTCTAATGTACGAGGCGGACTGCTCCAGGAAAGCCTCAAGAGTAGCCATCGGTCTTGCTGGCCACACCTGCTGACGGGTCCCCTGCTTTGCTACAGTCTCTGAAACGATCTCCTACAAGCATATAAACTCATTTTGAGCCAAATTCGCATGAAGCCAAGAGGGACCGCTCTTGTTTCCACAAGGGCAATCCTGAAGCTTATTTTCGGCCTCTTCCTTGCTGTTGGTCTGCAATGACAAAGTCAGATGAGATGAGAACTTTAGAATGAGTCTGAAGCTGCTGCGGAAGGCGCCCCTCCTGCGTGCAGCAGCGCATTCAGCTCGGCTCCAGCACACTATCTGCTGGGCCAATTGTAGACTCTCGAGGCAACCAGGACTCCGAGGAGCTTGCCCACTGCTTCCACCAAACGGGCGCTTTGTTCAACTGATGAAGCCAGAAAGTTGTTCGGGAAATGCAGCGCACAAGCCACTCCCTCTACTACCGTAGTCCAAGGTAATGAATCCGAATAAATAAATAATTATTTGCATTCGGAAAGTCACAAATTCAGGTTTCCCGTTCGGAACGTAGAAATTCGGAAAGGTTAAATATTTCTAAATTGGGCCTCGGAAGGCAAAAATCTGCCCAAATCTGCCCTAAAATGCGTCTTCAAGTATGAACATAGGGCATTCGGATTCTGGTCGGAATCCGCATAATCAATTCCGCATTCCTGGTCGGATTGTTGGAAAATATTACCTGGAAACTCCGTTCGGAATGATCACGTTGGACTACGGTACTTAGCCACTCAAGATGTGAAAGCGCGACTGTCACAGAGCGCTAATTGGGTCAAAATCTGTAACCCAATTGTAACCCAACATCGAAGCGCCGTTATGCCGTTTTAAGAAGCGACTCGTATGCCGCGAAGTCGTTGTATCAAATTCCGACAAGCTCCTCGACGGCACCGCCGTTGGACGTCACTTTAATAGGAACGATAACTGCTTCGTTAACCCCGTATAAAGAGCGCATTCACATACTGCAGTTGGAAACTTGTCTTTCGATAAGTTTCGAGGCAAGCATGCACCTTGAGTTGTGAGTAATACTAAAACTGCACAACTTGCAAGAGGAAGTGAAAAGGTGCGCCTGAGTTGCAGCTAGGGGGCGCAGTCTGTTGTGGTTTGTGGCCAGCAGCCCTTTGCCTGAGCGATCCTCGACGCCCTTGAAGGACCGGTGTTGTTTGCACGCCCAACTTTGTGGACAAATTTTTAGAACCGTTGGTTGCACCAAAGACATGGCGGCTTCGAAAGTCGCGAGCTTCTCTCAAAACCTGTGCAGTATTCGCCCAGATGTGGCACATGCTCGTTTGAGCAAGGATAGGAGTTGCGGTGCAACATGGAGCCCTCCAGTTATTCCCCGCACATTCCAACCCCCAAAAGCTGCTCTGGGTTTGGCTCTCGAGTCAAGCCTATTCGGTGGCTCGTCTCTACATCTTTGCTCGGCAAAGAGCACTGCATTCCTGGTGAGCTGCACAATCTGTTTCCTTCTGTCACCTTTGGCAGTTTCGTCTCATTCGTTCGATTTTCTGGTTGCTGCTTTCAGCAGCATTGGCTACCCCTCTTTTCGCTGGTAGCAAAAGTTCCGTCAAGGCTTGGTCAGGAAGGCGATTCTCGGAAAGTTGGTAATGGTGCAGCATTCAATCCAGTTTGTGTCCTGCAGGGCGCCAGTCTCACTCGGTTGCAGCAATGCCAGGGGCGGCCCGGCCCAGGCTCTCGGCGAGGGGGTGCCTTGAGCACTCAGGCGGCAGTCTTTGACCAGCTGTCAATCAGCTTAGAGAATGCATGGAAGAAGCTAGCAAATGAAGGTAGGTTTGTAATGTGACAGCTGTGTCTCATAACATCGTGAACGGGCGTAAACGTCTGTAGAGTATTCTCGCTGGTCGGTCTCTCTTTCCAGGCAGACAGCTGCAATTGGGTTTTTGCAGCTCTCTTTGAAGCAATCTGCGCCCAAGGTTGGGTCATTGGACTGACCGAATTGGATGCAAAGGCATACTCGTTTTGGAACGAACTGCAAGCCAGTGCCTAAGTAGCAGCATCACAGGGTAGAGTCCCCGGCGAGTAACGTTCATTTGGTGCTTGCTGTCTGCAGACAAGATCACATCGGACAATATCAAAGAGCCCATGAAAGAGGTCCGGAGGGCTCTTCTGGAAGCAGATGTCAGTCTGCCCGTGGCTCGTCGTTTCGTCACGAATGTGCAGTCCAAGGCAATTGGCCAAGAGGTGGCGAAAGGAGTCAAACCGCAGCAGCAGCTTATCAAGGTGCGTAACTTCAACCACTTCCGGTACAAGGTTCTGTTTGACATTTTGTGAAGAAAGAGCAGCTGGTGTGGTGCATCATGCTTCCCGTCTCTCTCTCGGGGCTCTTCTCGTTGGCAATGTTGTGCAGTTGGATGCGGTGCTTCTTACTTGTGACACATATTGTCGTCTGGCCTCAAAAGCAATCAAATACAAGTAGTGAAAGCTTTCAGTAATGCACTTTGAGCTTCTTCGAATCATGTCATACTCTGGACTTCAGCCACAATTGTCTTCTTTTGTTCCTGGCAGGTTGTGGCTGATGAGCTCAAAGCACTGATGGGGCTGGAGCTTGCCCCGTTGGTGTATTCCCGGATTGGTCCCACTGTCATCCTTCTGGCTGGGTTGCAAGGAGTGGGAAAGACCACGGCCGCGGGAAAGCTGGCTCTCTACCTCAAGAAGCAGGTGAGATATACTGCGTCAGATCTTTCTAGGAAGTATGATGAAGCATCGAGTCTGTAGTCAAGTTACGTGCTTCGACCGTTTGCAACCTTTACAGCATGACATCCTATGGTCAGCTTGACTTCCCTTCACACATGACCATGGACAGCAGGTAGAGTTGTTCAGTGCTTCTCGCTGCAGCAACATTTTTACTCAGGCCCGTATCTGCATTCTCACGGAGTTCGAGGGTTCTCCGTTGATCCATTCTAGGCTCTTCGATCTGTTGCCATTGGCAAGGTGGCACAAGGTCAAATCGTGCCTCTGATTATGATGAACATTTTCCGGGCTGAAGGCAAACCTTTTGTGTTGGATGCAGGACAAGAAGGTTCTTATGGTCGCCACGGACGTGTACCGACCCGCAGCCATTGACCAGCTCGTGACGTTGGGAAAGCAAGTGGACGTGCCAGTCTTTGAAATGGGCACCACCGCGAAGCCACCCGAAATTGCAAGGAAAGGCCTGGCGGAGGCCAAGCGGATCAAGGCAGACGTTGTTCTAGTGGACACAGCAGGGCGGCTGCAGGCAAGTGTTCTGCATAACAATAGCCCGGCCCCTGCTTAAACCTGCGTGACTCTGAAGTTCTGAGAATCCTTTGTAGGTCTAGGGGCTTCTTTAAGGTGGACACGGTGTGCAAGCAGGGAACTCTGCAACAAAAGTTTCCGTTTTAAGTTTGTTGAAGCTCATTCGTCAACATCAACCAGGACGTTGACATCAACCAAAGCACGTCTAGAGGAGCCCACAAGGGTCCCGGTTCATAAAATGAAGAAAGAATACTTCCGCCACATCGTGAAGCGATCTGTTTCAAAGCCTTGTTGTTGAAAGTCTGGTAAATAGTGCGTGCTGTTTCGGGGTTGCGGTAGACTTTGGTCTCAGTTTACGGTACGAGCTTTTCAGAAAGACATCTGCTGAGCGGTGCTTCTGTTCCGGCGCAGATCAACAAGGACATGATGAATGAGTTGAAGGAGATCAAGAAGGCAGTGAAGCCTACCGAGATTCTTCTTGTGGTGGACGCCATGACGGGACAAGAAGCAGCCGGTAAGCTTCTCACTGCAAACCCTGGACCACGAGGAACAGCGAGTGAGGAGATGGAATGGAGGTCTCAGGATAGGACTTTGCTTGAGTCCGAATCCTGGGATCTTGGAATGCGTAGAGTACGCCTCGTCTGGATTGTGTTCGCTTGTGGCTTCCTTCCGGGCTCTGCAGTGAGATTCATACCATCGACTTGGTTTGTGGGAGACCTACTTTTTGCGAGCTCCAAGCTGTGTGATCCGCGGATTCCGCTTGCTTTTGACCGCAAAACCTGGCAGCACGGATCTGGCGACTGAAAGCTGAACGTTGGCTCAAATCTAAGCACTGGGCATAGTAGACTCTGTTACTTGTCGGGCTATCCAAATGAGCCGTCTCATGCTGTGCTCGCTGGACTGCAGGCCTGGTGGCGTCGTTCAACCAGGAGGTGGGGATCACTGGGGCGATCCTGACGAAACTAGACGGAGATTCACGGGGTGGCGCTGCGCTGAGCGTCAAGGAGGTAAGGCCAACCTGATCCCAGCCTTCCGGTGTACTTCCGAAGTCATGTCACGTCGATGCCTCTCTCGGTCGGGAGGATTCGTCCACGTTATTCTGAGTATGCCGCAAAGGTATGGGCACAGAGCTCTGGAAAAGATTGAATGAAACTAGCGGTTTCAACCAAACTCATGCAGCGCGATCAAATTGCGTCCCAGGCCTTCCAACGGTCGGGCCGTCCTTGCCAGCTGATAGCAGCTCAAGTTTTCATTAGGGGTCGTTGCATGTCAAATTTTGATGATTCACATGCATCCGCGTAGTCCGAACAAAGTCGTCGATTCGGCCTGCTCCTGCATCTGAGAGCTTGATGTTGAAACCGGAAGTTTTTCAAGTCACTCTCGTGCAGAACGCCACCTTATTGAGCGTGCCCCAAAAAAAATTGGCTCCGAAACGACGCGCATCTGGATTTTGTTTGGGTTCAGAGCCCTGCATTGTGGGCGGACCTTGCGGCCGACCCTCAAGCTGCATGTTTGAAAGGCTGCGCACTTCTTTACTTACTCCGCAGCCTGCGAGCTTACGCTTTGTCGCTGACAGGTCTCTGGCAAACCGATCAAGTTCACTGGAGAGGGGGAGGCCATGACTGCGCTGGAGCCGTTCTACCCAGAGCGCATGGCGCAGCGCATCCTGGGTATGGGCGACGTGCTGACGCTCGTGGAGAGGGCCGAGGAAGCGGTGAGGGAATAGCTTGGGACGATTATTCAGTTCATCACTGGTTCGACTAGACAAGAAAAGATGCACTCGACTTTGTATTTCGCTACTCCCAGAGCTCTTGACCCGCTGGGCTTGCTTAACGGCTCTGTCAGCTTCCTGCTATCACCAGACCTTGCTTGAAGGGCAACGACTATGCTGAGTCGACGTTTAGATTCGGATCGGCCTCGATCGACAGATTGCTGGCAAGTTGTTGATGGTAGTTGATGTGGGTAAAGGCATTTCAGTAACTTTGTACCGATAAAAAAGGAGCAGTGCGTGCTTCCTTCACCGGTCACTCTACTGCGACTCTGACTACAATGCAAGGCTATACGCGAGTGGCAGTCGAAATGCTGGCGGGTAAAGAATCCCTTTTGTATCCGCCAGCCATGGAGATGAATCCAACTTCTGATGTTGATTCATATCAGGTAGATATTACGTCGTCCAAAAGTTGTGGCTGCACAGCCGGTTTGCTTGACACTACACCTGTCATTTGCTCGACCTTTTTCCAAGGGACGGTGTCGCACGAACCCTTGTTTTTAATTCGAGCTTGAGATGGAGTCCCCTTGCCCTGTTTCCATTCCCTCTTTCGATATGTTTTTGTTTGTCGCTGACGTGTTGTCCATACTGCTTCTGTGCAGATGATGACGGAAGAGAGTGCTAGAATCGCAGAGCGCATGATGTCGGCCAAGTTCGACTTCACGGACATGCTCAAGCAGACAGAGATGATTGCGCGCTTCGGCTCCATGTCCGCGTTCCTCAAGCTCATGCCCGGGATGAACAAGTGAGCCGCCTTTTTGCATTCAACGTGTTTACCGCACGCAATTGTGGTCCCTGTTTCTGGTAGACTGCTTGGTTTGTTTGCCCTATGCTTTCTTCAACATGCTGCAGAGATCATCTTATCCGCATGAGTTAATGCACTTGCGGCAGGGAAAAAGCTTGTACCCGGTAGGGCTGCGCCAGCCGGCTGCTTGATTGTAAAAGGTATCTTTGATCAATGCACGCCGTTAACAGATCTGGAAGAGCTTTCATATCTTTGGGCGTAAGTCGTCTTCATTCTTTCCCCTGCGATTCGCGTGAAAGAGATCCACCCACTTTCCAGACAATCAAACCAGATACTTCAGAAGTTTTCCCGCTGAACGGGGGGACTAGCATGGGTGTGCCCTTTCTTGGGGAGGTTCGGGTGCTGACGATGATTCTTCTAATGCAGGCTGAGCAACACGGAGATCAGAGAGGCCGAGAAGAACGCCAAGACGATGCGGGCCGTCATCCACAGCATGACGGTCGACGAGCGTGCCAAGCCGGACCTCCTGGCGTCGTCCCCCTCCCGGCGGCGGCGGATCGCCAAGGGCTGCGGCAAGACGGAAAGACAGGTGCGATTGCGAATGTAGTTCTACCTTGAATCTCCGTGCTCTTTTCTTGCTCAATTGCGCTAACTCTTCGTGGTTTTCAAACCCATGTCGTTTGCTACCTGCTACGTTTTCTCTGTAGCGTCTTCTCTCACGGTGAGTTGAACGATAACGATGTCAATCGGATTGCTTTTCAATCTTGCAACTTGGCTGCTGATGGAGCATTGAACATGGCCCCTGCAGGTGAGCGAGGTGATCCAGCAGCTCTTCACGATGCGCGCGCGGATGCAGAACCTGTCGGCGATCATGAGCGGGAAGACGGCCATGCCAGGGATGGGCGATCTTCAGGCGGCCATCTCAGGCGGACGCAAAGCTGCGCCAGGTACGGCCAAGCGGAAAAAGAAGCGGTCCTTGTTGGATTCCGCCAGTGAAATTAGCAGGAGGGAACCGGTCGCGATCGCGGGGAGGAGATGAGCAGGAACATCACTGTCGCGAAGATTCTTGTAACATTATACACACAAATGGGTTGGGGATAGGCGTTGTCGACTTCTTTTGCATGTTGCTATAAACACATGATCAGGCTTGTTCAATCAACTGTCGAGATCTTGATTTACCAAGTCGGTTGCGCATGGCACGGACAGGGCCCAGACAGGCCCGGCCTCTCATGCCCGTAGTATAAGCACGCACGATTCATTTGCATGCCCGAATAATGGCCCACAAATTGTGCTTGAGTGCTACTGACGGCGCGGAGGAGCCGCGTCGAATTGTATATACGCCCCTGCATGCATGTGTGTACGACATTACTGGAAGAAACTAGGTAGCTGCATCCCCAACAAATGCATGCATGCGCTCAAACCTCCCTCTTGTCGATTCTGGTCCATGCCGTGTATGAATGGAATAGGCGAATGAGTTTGATAGTCAAAACGGAGAATGGTCTGCACGTATCTAAACATGAGGAGAATCAGGGCTGCGCGGTTGAATGCAGTACATGTGCTAGCTTTAATTTTCAATGGGTCCCGACTCGGCTAGTATCGTACTCAGAGGCATGCAGCTAGCGCTCGGACTCAAGCTAGGTCATCAACTTCGAGCAGGCCTTCCTATAAGCTAATCAGATCAGGGTTGTATATCTTCTGCAAGGTCCACACGTCCCTTTCTTTGACGGCAGACACGTCTATACATGTGCAAGCAAACACGCATCAAATTTTCTACAATGTTCAATGTTCCATGATACAAGTCTCACCCAGCAAGCCGCGCTTACGTACTAGAGTCTTGAGGCTTGCAGAGGAACCGCACTTCGCTGCTGCAAGCTCGAAGGCACCCGCCCCTTCTTGATGAACTCCAGCGCTGGCCGCCAGAGCGCCTCTTTCGCCCGGCTAAAGAAAAACCCGACGTGCCCTACTTTGCCGTCGAGACCAACATCCGACGGCTTCAGATGTAGGTTCACAACCCGGGCGCTTTTCAACAGATCGGTAAACCCCGGAAACGCGGACGGCTTGGCGATTTCGTCGTCAGCGAACGAGATGCCGAGAACGTTCCCGCGCCAAGCCTCCCCAACGGTGCGCAGCTCCCGTTCGCTGAAGCAGTAGTCGGGATGACCCACCCACCGCAGCCATTGCTCCATCACGCCCGACGGCAGCTCCCCGAACATGAGGCCCAGCTTCTGGGTCGGCGCATAACTGCGAGAAAAGCATTCGAATGTTTCAAGAGAGCTTGTTTTTCTCCCGAAGCAACAAGTGAACCGTAAACACAGGAGGGTTTTCACGGATCGGGTTATTGGCACGTCGCTCCCCTAAGCTTGCCGTTATGCAGGTTCTTGCACAACTTTTCGAGAGAGCGAGGAGGCTGATTATTGAACGGAGGTGGCGAACGGGCCTTTCAGTGCGGCTACAGTTCAGCTCATAACTTAGATTCTTTCTTTCCTTGTCTACTGATACCACAGAAGACAATACAGCCCCAATCAATAGCCGGCAAACTTTCCGCCTTCGAATTTGGAGGTTGAAATGACTTTTCGTGCCGTGGCAAGTTTCACAAAACAGCTCCAGAGATACTCACCCGTGCATGGATATGAGGATCGGCAGTGCAACTTTCAGGTAGGCATACGTCGCAAGCTGGGACTTGACCTGGTGATGTCGATAGTAGGCGCTATTTACAGAAATGAATAGGACACGTGGCACGGCGGCAGCCAGATGGGGGGGCAAAAGCGGGGCGATATGGCCTCCCACGGAGTGTGCGACAATGACGACTTCAGGTTTTAAAACGGCGCCTGTAAGCGAAGAACAATCGGACCCGTTGAAAATGTATTTGAGAAGAGTTCGGTGTCATGTGATTGCGGAGGAAGAGGCAGCTCGAAAGATAAGTGAGCCAAAAGTCAAAATAAATCAGCTTTTCAAGAGCTCCAGAACGTTAGAAATCTGGAAACCGGCCTCTGGTTTCAGATCCAAGATCGAAATCAATTTCATTGTACATTATGCGCTACAAGAGGAGCTAGCAATAGACTCGCTCAAAGGGGAGAATACACTTGATGTCCCTATCTAGCACCTTGCTCTTCTCTCAAACACAATCCTCAATGATCAATGAAGAACAGGAGAGGCCATTGTATGCCTACCTGAAACAGCCGTCTCCTCTTCCACAGCAGAGTCGCGGAGGTAAGCCAGCAGGTAAGACAGGGCTGCTGGCTGGTCAAGAAGTGCCCAGTCGCTCATGTCAGCATTGACGTCCACAAGCGGGTGTTCAGGCAGTTTCTTCCTTTTTGCCTCAGGTAAGACCCCCTCATTGCCTCTGTAGTCATACATCAAGACAGGCCAGCCGGTCTCTTGAGCAACAAACGATGCAAAGCGGGAGTAGAAGGAGCGGCCAACACCTGCGAGGTGCGAAGAAGAGTTGCTGCTCTTGTGAATTGGATAAGGAGCAGATTGTCAATCACAGATGCAGCAATCCTGAATCACGAAATCTGCTTGGTTTCAAGAGCGATGGATAGAAGTTTTGAGCTTCCATGTGACATTGATCAAGCAACTCACGAAGCAGCTGAGGCAAGTTCAAGGAACAAGTACTTTGAGCTGGTATAGAATGTTGTGTACAATGTTGTGCAGATCTGCTGCAGGTGGCCCTCACGGCCCTCAGCAAAAGGTCTCGTGAAGTAGGAGACTTCTTTCATGCCATTATAAGAATCAATCATGCTGGATAGGGAAGACAATGCTAACTTCGAAGCTGAGAATACCAAGCAAGCCTCTTGCTTCCTTCTTCAACCCTGGCTAGCCTGGTTTTTGCCCAGATTACCTGTTGTGTATCAACGGACACAAAGCATCTAACCTGTAGCTGAACTGATAAGCACCCCTCGCGGTGTGGTGGTGCTCGCTGCTGGTTTCATCTGAGCCCAGGGCCAAAACAACGTGCCTTTCAGAGGCCAGCCGTCCTCTGCAGAAAAGCTGACATTCTCAAGTTTCACAGGGGACTTTTTGGACCCCTCTGCCATGTCTGACAACCCCGCCCAACGACTCCTTGAATACGTCAGCACACCCAGAAACCCATGATAATCTGAGGGGATCCCTTCAAAGGGGGAAATAGCTGGTCCCAGCTGCTGCTTCCAACTTCACTGTACGGCAATTTATGGGGCACCGATTGCTTGTCTTCATGCAGTGCGGACAGCAAAGGCAAGAAGCAGTGTGATCAAGCCCTGAGCTGTGCAATCAAGCCGGAGCTCTTATCAAGCCCTGAGCTGCATCTTACGGATCAGGGTGCAGAAGCCACCCACTTTACGCCCGTTCAACATCGTTTAAGCATTCGTGCCCATGCCAAAACTTATGCCACTTCTCTCAGCCTTTTCAAGAATGTCCAGCCTCCAGGACTCGGAGCACCCATATTGACCTTCTCGGCAGGGCCAATTTCTGCATTGCTGACTGTGTGCTAGGTCAGCTATTCCCAGGGCAACTAGAAAAGCAACAAATGACGGGCGTGGTCGGCGTGCTGCAGCCTGCATAAATTATGCAGAATGTGGGCAATAGACGGCACAGGTTGCCGTCTATTTGCTCTCTAGCTGCTTCGAAACGAGACGTTGAGACGCTCTTGATGATAACGGCATATGGAATGGGAATGGTTCTTTTGACCTCCTACGAGGGGCTTGCCTTCCTCAGTTAAGGCTCTTAAAAGCCTCAGAGTCAGACTCTGACTGAGCTTGCAGTCAGAGAGTCGGAGACTCCCTTCTCGGAGTCGTTCGAAGAGAGTGTTTGGCGGATAGCCCAGGTGGGTCTGAGCAAGGGAAGGGAAGGGAGGGACAATGGCGGCCGCATTGGGCTCGCTGGCAGAGTGCTTACAGGCTTCTTCATCTTTGGCTTACCGCCAGAGCTCCTCTCAGTTTTGCTCCACGTCATGGTGCCCCACCGCGACCTTCCTTGGAACCCCATCCATAGGCAGTGAGAGGAATCATGCTTTGTTGAGCCCTGTCTGTGCAGCCAAGGGCCCTACAGAGGTTGTGGATGATAGGAGACGCCAGTTGTTTACGTCACACCCTCGAAGATTAACACGTCGCTTGAGCTTGTTTGCAAATGGGCCCGCCCGAAGGCCGACGGCGGTGCGTGCAAAAGGGCGACCGAAGCGGGAAGAGGAGGAGCCGCTTGAGGATGAAACGGACGAGCCGCTAGATATGGAGGTGGTCGATGTCGGTGAGTGGTGCACAATGACTGCCGTGATTGCCTCTCCGGAGCGCGCAAAGTTGCTGCAATTATTGCTATGAAGCACATGCTCTAAAGGATACTTGGATTGTGATGCATTTTCAAGTTGTGTACCAGGCTTGCGTGCGTATACAAGGACCTTTACCCAATGAGCAATTGACCAGTGAGTGAGTACGGTCTGGTTGGCCGCCAGCCAGCTGCATTTCGCCTCAGTGGCATTTTGTACGGGGTTCCGCCTGCTTGGCTGACGGATTGGTGCGAAGGCAGCCCTTGGCTTCAATGCAATCAGCCGCGGTGACACATCCTTCCTTCCAACCTGATTTAACCAGCGGTGCATAGGCAAATCTGCACAGCCTCTTGCCTGAAGACTCCCCGAAGAATAGTTCTACGTTGCTGGTGGACTGCATATAGCAACTGTGGTCCTCATACACTCTCTGTCTACTTTAGTTTGTTTACCTGGAATCCGACTTGACTAACGCCGCCCAGGAACTGACTAGGATTTCAGCAGGTGTTGCTGGACCAGGATCGCCCGTTCTTTTGTCTTCCAACTTTGTATCGTGGCAAGGACGGTGTCAATGTGAATTCTCTGGGAGCTATATTATTCCCTTCCAGCCACTTTCTTGGCAGGTTCTTTCTTCTTGCTCCTTTTATTTTCTAGTCCTCTATTCCCCCCAGTCCTCAACAAGCCTCTCGTTGCGATCACCCCAAGTCTGCAACCCCCCTCAAAGGTCCCTTTGCTTTCCCCCAGGCGAGGACCCGTTCAGCGAACGCGACCTCGACTTTGAGGAGGCGCCCGTGAAAGCCGCGAAAAAGAGCATGGAAGAAAAGATGGCTTACCAGGCCAAGGACGACATGAAGAAGCGCACCGAGATGAAGGAGTTCACGGACCGCTCAGGGAAGAAAGTGTTCCTCGAAGTTGCAATCCAGGACAGAACGCCCGAGGAGCTCGACGCGATCGCGTGGCAGGACCGCAACGAGTTCGACGCGGAGGTCGAGAACCCGCACAACTGGGACTCGCAGTCCATGGACCCGTTCAAGTTCAGGTGCGACCACTCTCCGGATGGTATAGCGTGCTTAGATCAGCAAACTACTTGTGTTCTATCTCTGAACTGAGGGGCTTGTGTGGGTCGTAGCCCCTTGCTGGATTCCACTTGTATCATCTACAGTGGGAAAGGTCAGGGCTTTTTAAAGAATTTAAAAAAGTCGGTAAAGTTACAGGCCCGTAACACATAGGAGGCGATAGTAGGACCTTGCGTCTGGGCGTAGTTGCAGACGGGGATTGCATATACTTTTGGGGTCGAGTTCCCTGTCCTCGCGCTGCGGAGTCGTCGCTGTGGTGTTATACTGATGGGAATTTACTTCAGTGCCAAGATTATGGCTCCATGCCAACATCGGGCAGTGCTTTCTTGCTCTGCGCGTGAGGAATTTTGACAGTTTCATAAACATTGTTGGACGGTCAGGTGGATGTCGGACACTCCTTCCGTTTTGCTGTGGTCGAAAGGAAGCCATGCGCCTGATCGTTGCGGTGCCTTCCCTTGCGGATTCTTTGATTTCCTGGTAGCTTTCATCAAGCTTGACCTTTTGATTATAATGCAAGAAAGGCAAACCAAACTCACCAACCTTTAACCTCAGGGCCAAGCTGCCGGAGGCCGTCCACGACAACGACGAGTTCGTCTTCGAACGGTACCCCGACGTCGACGACAGCGATGACGAAACGTCCAACTCGATTTTGCGGGACGACAGCGCGAACCCGCACGAGGAGTGGTTTGCGGACGACTGGGCGGGGCCGCTCACGGTCACGGAGCTGGAGCACACGCGCTTCATGATGCCGTCCGCATGGGAGGGCAGGCTCGAAGATGGGCGGGAGATCTACGTCAAGCACAGGTGAGCGCCGTATTCTGAAAAAAGCTGCCGTTTTTGCCCCTTTCTGAGCGAGGTTTATGGGAAACCTGCTTCTTTGGGGTCGAAAACGTCGAAGCGGGTAGCGCGGGTGACGTGTCTCCGACTTCCAGGTGATTGAGGTGACCGTACTGCGACGGGGTGGACAAACCAAAGGGCGCCCCGGCGCCCTCCTAAATCTGCTCAATGAGAGAGAGTCGGAGCTGACGCAGTGGGCCGAGAGGGCCGTGTACCAGTCAGAAAAACGACTCTACAAGCTTACAGCCGAGCAAGTGAAGCAAAGCTTCTTTTGGGCAGCGTTTGACCTGCCACATCATGGGTGTCGAGAAGGATCTGTGTGCGAGCCTCTTCTGCCCACGAAGCGCGTAGATTCGAGGAACGTGACACGACACAGACGGCCACCCCGCCGTCATTCTTCGACCGCAAAATGATGGGCAGTCGGTCAGATGTCAACAGAAGCATCGTATCCCGTGTGTTCGTTTCCGGAAAGGAGGCGCCTTTGGTCTCTGCACATCCCGTCGTCAGGCCAATCAAAGAATCAGTCAGGTTACAAATTGGCGTGGCATGCTCTTTCCTTCGACACTGACGAACTCGCGAAATTTGCCGCCTGTCTTTACAGGTACGGAGTCCTGAACGTGATGGTAATGCATCAAAAGGGCTGGCGCCGGAAGTGGAACACGGCCTACTACCTGCTCCACAGTCACCACCTCAACAGCCAGTGCACCACGCGGCGCATGCGCGAGCTCCTCGAGGGCCGCATTCTAAACTTCGCGTGCGAAATCAAGTTTGCGGACCGCTTCAATAACGTGTATGATGTGTACGAGGGGTATGACGTGGAGCGGCGCATGCTGGATGGCAGCCAGGGGAAGAGCCATCCCAACTGGGAGTACCGGACGGACTTCCCGCAGCAAGATAAGGTGGAGTTCCTGGAAACAGCCAAGGAGCAGTACTTCGACAAGCAGGGCCAGCAGAAGCACAAGCTGTGACCGGGCGCTTGTCAGTGTCGTAATTACAAGAATACGGTATAATTGTCGGAAGCATTTGCCAGCCAAGAATCTCTGCCAAGAATCTCTTGACACGGCCTTTCGTCATGACTCATGAAGCAGCTGCATGTCAGAATTGCGTATGCCAGGTCCTTCAAGCTGTTACCGAAGTTTATGCAAGTATGCCCTGATGCATGTCGTGTGCAATGAAGACGAACTTATGCAGATTGATGCATGCATGGTCGGCAGTTTATCCCTCCCGCCTTTTCATGGAGGCATTTATGCATGCACATGACAAGTGCATCATTGAGGTAGCTAGACGTACACGGATATTCTTGATCCAAGATCGTAATGATGCTGCATGCATGTGAGTCGGATTCGAAAACGGTGACCACTTTATTGGAAAATGCAAGCTGTCGTCGGATCTTGAGATGCCATGCAGGCGCCTATAGGGCCGTTTCTGATGCGGACCCACAACTATTGCACATGAGCTGTATAACTGATACATGATGATCCACGGAGCATGCTACACAAGTCGCTTGTCCTGGCCCCTTATTGTCGCAACTTTCGGACGCCTGTGCCTTCAGTGCGTGGAAATTTCGTGACGGCAGCTTACATATGGGCCAATACGAGCTAGCAGCATCAAAACAGGCTGGCGGACCGGCGTACGTGTCCTAGAAATTGGGCCCAACTGCACATCCGGACAGGATTGTGTAGCACCCGCTATACAAGCTAGATCCCTGCAAATGAGGACCTCGGAGATAAGTTTGCAACGAAGCGCTCCGAGATGCTACATCATGGTGATCCAGCACTGCGAGACTCTTGTCCTACAGAGTAAGCCAGACTTTCAAACGACCTTCGTCCGTACATCCAGACACTCTCCTTAGGCGTCACCGAAAGTCTTCTTCATAGACACATACAATAACCCACAAGCAAAGCCTTCAAGTGTTCACTCCAAACAGTATCTCCCACGAGGATGACAAACAGAGCGCCGACAAGGGGTTTTCCTTCCCATTCTCTGCACGGCAACAATGCGGCTTACCGGAATCTGCTAACTACCAAGTCAGCTTGTCTTTCGCTCGTCACGACCTGGCTCCGGACCAGGAGCGGCGTCAACGGCAGCCTCAGGCGCAAGAGCTCCTCAATTCTTTGGGATTAGGTAGGGCATCGCGACCGCTATACCGTCCTGCGCAAGCAGCCTAGGCTGAGCCGGTAGCGAAAACTCGAGGAGCTGGCACGTAGGCTTCCTCGCCTCACAAATACCCGCACTCGCTCACTCTAAAATGATAGAGCGGCCCCTCGCAACGCCTTGTGGGAAGGCCAGAGCATCCGCTACGAACTTGGATAACGACTTTGCTGGGCCACATCGCAAGCCTGACATCCATCACAACAGTAGGTCGAAGATGCCGTACGCTATTGAACCTCCACATTAGAGTCCTCATAATTGTCCAAGAAGAAAGACACAACTTAGTGCTCACCTCGTTTTGCACCTCCCTCGCAAGCCGCTGCGCCGCCGGCCGTAGTTCCACAGCTGCCCGAAGCGTTGCCACCGACCGACTCACACCGGCCGCCCCCCCGGCCACTAATTCCGGCGACGTGAGCGGCGGGGGAGAGCAACCGAGGGAGGCCAGCAGCCCCGCCCAGTAGAACTGGTCGAATAGAAAGGGGCACGTGACCTGGGGGATCCCCGCGCGGATCGCGGCGGCGGTGGTTCCGCTCCCGGCGTGGTGCAGGGCCACCGCGCACTGCGGCAGCAGCCAGCGGTGGGAGACAGGGCCGCGCAAGCAGAGGAGGCGGCCCCCCGGAAGGAGAACGCCCGCTTTCAGATCGTCGGTATCGCCCGCCTCTGTATAAGGGAAAGCCGATTCCAGCTTCGGTTCCGGCACGACGGCGCGGCTTCATAACCACTCATGGAGCAGGACACCCAGCAGTTGTTTACTACGCCCATGACAACCTATGGCAGCGAGACCAAAGCTACCCGCGCTCTGAGCTCTGCAGACTTTTGATGATTCGATCACTGCCAGATGAAGAGCTTCAACCATCAGCTTTGCAAGCAGCACGTTTCAATTGAAAGCGCGCGGAAATTTTTGGCCCACCCTGAGATCCGTTCTGGGCCGTGTCTGCGCCCACCGACCCCTGTCCCCGGTCCCGCCTTGCCCAAAGCTCCGTCTCTAGAGAGGCCGACCCGCTTGTGACCAGGATTCCGCTGAAGTCGGCAGCCTCCAAAGCCGACAGCAAAGATAAGATGAGCGGCTCCGCAGGGGGGAGCAACCCCATGCTGCAACAACAGGGGGCAGACTGGACCTTGGCAAAGTTTGGAGTTTGGTAAACGGTGGCAGCTCTATAGCGTCAGCATGCGAGCGTTCGCCCTGCCAAATATTCTTGCTTGCCAAATATTGTTGCCGCGGGAAGAAGCACGATGCAGGCTGAAAGCAGTAAGCTGATACGCAAAGGTTCTGTCAAAAGCAGCTGCAAGCAACAATTCTCGTAACAGCAAGATCTGAATACTTTGCTCCAGGAGCACTCGTCGAATTCTGTGGACATTTTTGAGACATGCCCAGTAATCTTTTCACAGCCATCCGATGATCCGACGGATGCTTCACGTCTCGGAAAAATCACATGATAAAGTAACAGGGAAAGACGAACCTCAAAACATGGTGCAAAGAACGCCTATTTCACCTGCTTTATACTCCTGGGGCCTGTTTCCAGATCGAAGCGACGTCGGAACAGACGCCCCAAACGCCCAACTTCTGCCAATATTCTTTTCCTTCAGGCAAAGCAGGCCACTCCCGCAACACACCAACATTCATGCCCCCTCGACCAAGGCAAAAGGGGCCCCTCTTTTTCTGCAACTTGTCAAGCTCACCTGCCGACTGCTCCAAAGCCGATGTAGACAAGCGGACGGGCCACATCACGGCTCGCCGCTAGAAACTCATGGAGGCTTTTGGGGGTCTGCTCCTGGAGATAGTCGTCCCAGGATTGGGGAGGAGGCCAGAAACCACAGGCACGAACTGTGCGCGGCCAATAGCCAGGGCATGGAACCACCGCCTCGCTGAAGCCGTAAAGCAGAGGGGGGGCTCTGGAACATGCAGAGAGGTGGGGAGCGTTTGAGGAGCGGATATGCGAAGTGAATGTCAAAGCGCTTGATGACAGTGAGCTTGGCATGTCCAAGCTCACTCCTTGCCTCTTCTAATAGTAGCATCGAATGTTTCGGGGGGGAAACAACCAGGCTTTAAGTGTACAACACAATTTGGATGTCCTTGGCGGCCTGGCAGTTGTCAAGTACGCATCCATCCAAGAGCTTTGCAACCCTGTTCACTTGTAGACGATGAACAGTCCTTACTGAGGCAGGCGCACATTGGTCCACAGTCGGCGAGGCAGTTGCAGAGTGCGCTCCCGAAAGTCGCCCCATCGTGCATCATCAAACAGCGGCCACATCCAGTGCTCCACCTCAGCCCAGCCAACCTGCGGCGCCAACGAGTCCTGCAAGAAGAGATTTGGATGGGGGCCAGGAGTCCGCCTGGAATGCAGAGACATGGGTGTAAAGTGTTCATCAAAGAGAAAGAAGCCCTGATCCAAATCAGGAAGCTGCGGTGTCGCACAAATGCGTCACATCGTCTAGAGATTGTTCTGAAACTGGGACTCAAATTCATAACGAGGGCTTATAAATCAGTTGCAGTTCCTTTCAGTGCACTTCAACATTGTCTCCAGCTTCCAACCCCACAATTCACCTGGAGAGCCGTGTGCAGCTTTGGCCACCGGCGCCGGAACGTGCGCTCAAAGCCCGCTGGCGGAGCATAGGGGATCAGGTAGGGGCTGGCTGCTGAACAGGGTATGCCCAAGCGCTCCGCGATGTGATAGGCCTCCAGCGCAAAGAGGTTGAACACCAACATGGCAGTGTCATTTATCTTCCTTTTGCTCAGTGCTTCGCTTGCAAACTCCCAGCTTTCTTTGAGTTGCAGCTGAATTATTGCCCCGACTGTGGCAGCGGGTTGCGGAAATAAAGGAGCTCCATAGTTTATTCCTCCGATCAACTTACCGGGCGTGGCCTTGGTGCATTTCAAATCTAGCAGGGGCTTATCAGCGAGTATTTGCTCGCCGGGATCAGTTGCAGATGGAACACTAGTCGCTTGGGTACTTAGGGGGGATGCCGAGCTTGGGATAGAAGCCGCTATTGCATCATCTGGCTGCTCCTGCTGAAGTGGTGCCACAAAGTCAATGCGGCGCTTCTTACAACACACTGGGTGTTCATTGGAGAGGACATCAGACAGAGGGTCTGTTGTAGCACTGGAAGATACCTGTCACGAAAGGGCAACAAAGGCGCATTGTCAGAACCCGCATAAGCAGACCCTTATAGAAAGTATGGACACACAGCTGCTCAAAGAGGATTGCAAAAGCAGCAGGGTGAGTGCTCTGCAGCAGCGCGACATCATTGCTTAGAATCAGAAAGATTCAATGATTGTGCTATCAGGAGGTCCTGGATTGCCACTCTGTTTCCAGAGCAATCAACTCAGAATGACTGTTTACCTGGCCTGACGCAGTGCTTTCCTGAGAGGCCCGTACATCTCGATCTTCCACAGGCACCACTGGCCGACTATCGATGCCCCTGAACTGAATAGCATGGCCTTGAAACATTTGCTCCAAGAGTGAGCAATGCGTGGCGTGGCTTGCAAAGGACACACTGATGTGCAAACTGGCGTCGGCTGCAGCGCACGCCAAGCTGGCAAGAGGGAGAATATCCCCTAAAGTGCCGAAGGCGAGAAAGAGTAGGTGATGAGTGCCAGATGGGACGGAAGGCAACGGCATGGACTGGCCTCTACCAGCCCCAGGCGCCGTCATGTTCTCCGAGTCCTGGCAGGATTCCGGAATTCACATGCATTTGAAGCGTTTCAGCATGTGTTAATGTATGGAAGGCTGTGCAAGCGTCCGAGGACTTATTTTGCGCACTCCCCCAGGAGTGCCACGCTGGAATCGGCAATGGAACGATGAGCGTACGATACGTTTCCAAGTCAATGCTGTTGCTCATCGGATGGTCCATATTAGTTCAAGCGATAATCACGGCGGCTCCGCTAGCTGACTATGAGAATCGGAAGGCAATATGCAGATCTAAAACCGCCGGCGCAAGCCTGTCCGGGTAGCGTCAAGCGCTTCTCCTGCGGCCTTCCCAAGCCAGGCAGGCCAGAAGATCTTCCAGCACAATGTTCAAAATCCTTGAGAGGTTTTGTTGAGCTATTTCTTCAAGCTGACCAGTCTCATGGTTAGGAGGACAAGGTGTGATTCTCCCAACGTTTGTTGCGTGCTACCAACATGGATGGTATGGAAGGCATTGCGAGTGCTTTTGGTGGGATGCCCTTCTTCTCCCCCTTCATGATGATCAACCGGAGCGGGACGTGCGCCGCCAGCAGAATCTTGCAGCTGCGCGAAATGGGCGTCTACAGTTGCATGGTGGAGGACAAGATTGCCAAGGAAGCGCAGGTGGGCTGACCAACCTGGTGACCTGATAAAACGATAAACAAGCCTTATTTGGGATGTCCGCTACCTTTGAAGCAAGTTATGCTCTGCTGGATGACTCTCTTCTAATCAAGCACAACTGGAAGCTTATAAGTGTGGTGTTCAGCTGCTCTACATTCCATCAAGTCAAGGACTTTCCAAACAGTAGACTGAAGGGACGCCTTGCCTACATTGCTGAGCGTGGTCATGGATTGCGAAAACTTTGGCAAGGTGCTTTTGAATGCATTACGTCTTCAGCAAATCAAGCATGTCTGTCAGAGGTAATTTGCAAGGACGACACTAATCTTCGGCTGCAAACTCTTAGTGGTGAAAATAGTTCTCATGAGGGTCACTGCCTCACACCTTGCTACAGAGGGGCAATGCAAGCGGTGGCCTTATTCCCCGTTGCATGATCAGATCTCTGTAGGGCCACTGGACATAGATGAGGAAAAGGAGGTTGCTCAGTAAGTCATGAGTCCACATTTCACCAAGGGTAGATCAAAGAATCCATGCATTACAGTTCACACCACACCGTGCTTAAGATCAGAAGCTTTTGAGGTTCCCCTTGTCTAACCTTGTCTAGACCGGTCACTACACACATCCCGCAACCGCTGATGAAGCTTGCCCACTAAATATTTATTGCCAGTCTTGCTTTTACAGGCAGGCGATCCAAATTTCAAGCTGAGACTACAGTGCGTTAAGGCCGTCAAGCGCAGTTGCGACAACGACAACGAGCGTTGCTGTGTGCTTTGGCGCTGGCAAGTTTGTGAGGGAGCAGCAAAGCGGGAGAGCGACTATGGGGAGCTGGTTTTTACTGATACAACCACCACGCGATTCCTGGTCATTGAGACACACCGCCGCTGGCATGAGAGCGCATGGGAGCACTCAAGAGCGATGGCCAAGCAACTCTTTTGCCTGCTGCGGTATATCGGGTGAGCATATGAACGTACATGAACAGCCCTCAAAGAAAAGTGGATTTCGAGTAGCGTTGGTCCTGCGGTCAAGCAAAAGATGAGAGTTGTGGTAGGATCGTTGTTATTCAGGTTGCCTCGAGTATAACCTCCACAAACATGCATCTGAATCCCTGATCCAACAGAAAAACTTCGAGTCTAAAGCACTGAAAGGCCCGATTGTGCAGCGAGTCCAGCAGCATCGCTTATGGTGCAATCCCCTCTTGGGCTTCCTTCTTTGACTTCTTCCGTTCTGTCCCTAGGTATGATCCAGAGTACGTTCGCTATGCTGTCTTCTGTGCGGACCGCCCGGAGATGTGTGCGGCCTTGACCAATGGAACGGAGTATCCAAAGCCACTGGAGGTAAGCCGCCATCTTAATTCCCAAAGAGGTGTCTCTCATCTCCATTCGCAACCGTAGTGCCGCTTCCAGAGATTGAACATGCTGCCAGTATTAGTCTCTGGGCTCTGGAAGGAACTCGAGTTGAAGCAGCTTGCGTCCTTGGGTCTGCTACAATCGGATCTGGCAACAATCCTCGACGGTCTTGCGCAATTTTGAAGTGGATGATTTTTCAACAGCCAATTTCCAACAGCCATTTTGATATTCCAAAGAGGTCTCTTTCATCTCGATTCGTAACCGTAGTGCGCATTTCAGAGATTGAAGATGCTGCCAATATTACTCTCTGGGCTTTGGAAGGAACTCGAGTTCAAGCAGCTTGCATGCCTGGGTCTTCTCAAACATGTATAAGCGCTCTTACAATGTTACAAGAGCCCATATTCATGGTTGACACCCGCCCACGTCATCGTCCTGGCATGTCAAGGACTGAACGCTGTCATTGATTGTGCTTTGGTCTGCTACAATCGGATCTGACAACAATCCTCGGAGGTCATGCGCAATTTTGAAGTGAATGATTGTTCACGATCTCTGATTGGAATAGAGGGTCCAAAGGGTCCAAGTAGCGACCCCTGGACACCCATCTTTTCCCTGTTCCCAAGCACCAGACTGTGCGGATTGCCAGACAAGATAATGAGGGCCCGAATCCACAGCTTGCAAGAAGTCTGCATCTGAATCCATCAGAACTTCGTGTTCAAGCACATTGCTTCTTTAGTCTAACCACGTGTGCTTGAACATTTGAAGATACCTGCAGCCGGAGCGTGATACCATTGCTGACGTCACCTGACGACCAATTCCTGCAGCCGGAGCACCCAGGCCCGACCAGCTTCGGCCAGATTGACGTCAGCAACTGCACGCCAGCGCTGACGCCGTCCACCGTGAGCAAGGTCGACGTCATCCTGTCGCGCAGCGCGTCCGTTCTGCGGTCTGCCGAGGCGTCCCGAGAGAGAAGCGGACTGACGAAGGAAGGGCTGCTCGAAGAGGTGGTGCTACGGAGCAAGGAGGGAGCGTCTGCCAAGGTGAGCGAAGCCTCTTGGTTGCTGAGCAAGTTCGGAGCCGCACTCTCTACTTACTTAAATCATAGCGATATATTGTTTCACGACCTGACTGTCTGAACAACCCTCTGAATACCGCTTCATTTTCGTCCTGGTTCGGTTGGCGGACTCGACCTTTCAGCTCGACATCACGTAGACGACTCAAGTCGGGCAAACGAAGATGGATTGTTGCGATAGCGATCTGACGAGTCTGATGCGGTTGTTCGTGCACCATCGCGAACGAGACCAATCGCATCGGGTCCTGTGTTCCCCACCTTCACGAAACATTATCCTGAAACAGGGACGAGAGGAGTAGATAGAACGATATTACGAAAGGAGAGCGCGGGAACGGTAGATGAACGTCTGAAGTAGGAGGACCGGGCGTTTTGAAAAGGGCTTGGAGAGGAGCGGCTATGCTGTCCCCGCTGTCTATCTTCTCAATGTCGACATACTAGGCTGTTTCGGTCCAGGCCGAGCTCACTGGCCTGGTCCTAGTTACTCCGAAGCATACAAACCCAGAAACATTGGACGAATTCTTGGATCTCGTTCTGACCATCTGGAGAGACTGTGATGTCTGCCTTCCGAATTGCACGGCTGAGAAAGCTAAACACTTCGGTGGCTCCTTACAGGACAGGGCCGGCGACCCGAAGCTAGTGCAGTTCTGCGCCAACTGTGAGAGCACCGCGGAGGAGAAGCACGTGGATAAGCTGCGGCGGTGTGGGCGCTGCTTCATCCCGTACTACTGCGGCGTCGAGTGCCAGCGCGCGCACTACAAGCTGCACAAGCCGTACTGCAGGCAAGCCGCCGGGTAGACCGGCAGCCGGGAAGCAAGGACTCTTTCGGAATAGTAAGATCATCAGCTTGGGACGAGTAGATGGATGGGTGGGTACGGGTGCGGAACAGGTTGTTCTAATAGGTTAGGGTTTATGTGTTTGGTTTTGAGCTTACTTTTTTGAAGCTTACTATTCCTGAAGTGTCGCAACATGTAGCCAAAGTCTTTGCGGAAACGAAGGTACGAGATCATGTAACATCAAATGGAGAATGTTGTTTGTAGGTTAAAAGGAAAGGGGTAGAGGAGGTAGGTGCTTATGCCGGCGCATCATGCGTGATTCGGAGGCAGTCGGCGGCTTAAGCGAGTACTATTACAAGAACATCCGGATGAGGCATCTGCGGATGAACAGTTAGGGCGTCGTGATTGGAAGCGCTTGATACAATCATGAACGAGAACCGGTACCGAAAGCGTGCATGTGCTTCGAAAGTTGAAGAGGTGATCATATTGGCTGTTGAACAATCTGAGTCTACAAAGGTTTTGAATGTTGTCTACAGCAGCTAGCCGGAACAGCAATGCAGTGGTTCGTGCGTTAAGCTACACGATCAGACACATTGACCAGCGGAAGCATGAAGCCTGGCGCCTGCGTTGCATTTTCAACTTGGCCCGTGCAAATCATTACTGCGGATTCTACGTTCTTCTCGACATGGCGTCATGCTTTTCACGTCCATAGTCGTGCCAGATATATGATACCGCGTCTTCTGGTTGAGAGATCATCAAAGCCGTCTCCATGAGTTTGAGTCATGCAGCGGAAGCCCGCAATCAAACTTAGTAGCTACTATAGCCGCCTGCCATGCATGCTTGGGGAGATCAATATCATGCGGTGTCGCGAGAGCCGCTATATGTAGGCGCCCGGCCTCCGTCTGGAAAACATGTACTGTTTATCGTATTCAGCACCCGGATCTGGTGAACCTATGGATTGGAAAAGGATGATCCGCGACGAACTATAGCTACCGCTTTTCTTGGAACTTGAGGTGCGTATAAGCCGCGCAGAATGATTGCTTCTGCACCTCCATCTCGATTTGGGACTACGTTGGCATTCGCATTGGGCGACCGCGAGCCCTGTACGTACAAACAAATGGCCTGCACAAGCGGCCCGAGCTTATCGTTCTCAATCCAGCATTTTTGACAACAGCTCTCTTCACCAGGATGGCCTTCGAAAGCCTGTTCTTGACCATTTATGTACATTCAAAAAATCCACCATGCAGCGTTCTTCCCTGTACAAAATCATACTTCAATGTCAATCATCTGACAAGCGCTTGCCACTTCACAAAGTGCAACATTGAAGAATGTCAAAAGAACCGCATCAAAAGTACGGCCGCCTCGATTCCCCCAGACTCCCCGCCCGCGTCCACTCTCGTAGCACTCCCCTTTCTCGTGGAGACAGACTGCCCGTCTTAAGAAGCGCTGCCCCTCGGTAGTCTGTTCGCGCACTGGAGCTCCGAGAATACCCTCCCCCCGACAAGAGCCCAGTCGAATCGCTCGACAGGCGTTCCAAAACCGGGCCCCTCGAAACCTGCCAGTCACGCGCCTGGGGGGGTCGTTGAACAGACGCGGCGGACATTCGAACTGGGTTCGGAGAGAGGGGGAAGGACAATCCCCTGCCGAGGGGTCGGCCCCCCTGGACGGAGTACGCAGCCCCCCGGGGGGGCGAATACGCTATGGTCGAGCCCGGGGGACTTCGCACGCTAAGCTCGCTCGTGAGCCGCGCCAAGTCCCTGGAAGTTTGCGAGACCCCCAGAATCCCTGGGCGGGTTTGGATGGTTGAGAGGGTTGCGGCCGTCGGGCGGCTGGCGGCCGCGGCGCGGCTCGCCAAGCGGCTGGTGCTGTACTCCCGAACCGGGGCTGGACCGGTAGATCCTCTACCGGGCGCATCTTCTTCCTCTCGCGATCGGGCTGACATTTTTCCGACCGATCCTCCCAATCCACGCTCCTGCCACTTCGAGGCCGACCGCAGGCTTACACTCTGATCTCCGCTGTCTCCCCTTCTATTCGGTTCCTGAATTCTGTCTGGCTCGTTCATTCGACTGGCCGGGAGTGACCGTGTTCTGATCCCCACGTTTCCTCTCTCCCCCCCGTTTCCCCTCTCTCGAGGCCCTAAGCTTGACGGCCGCCCTGGAGCATCGGTCCTCTGCTCTTCCTCGTGTGCCTCCATCGAGAGGGGCACCCCGCCCGCCACGTCTTTAAGCATGCCCCCAGTAGACTCCCGCGACCCAACCGGTTTTGCTCCCAATTCAACGTCCGACCGGCTGATGGGAAAGCTTGCTCGCCTGGCGCTCAAAACCGGCCCACCGGGCATAATCCCGGAGCCCCGGCTCAGGCGGTCATTCTTACCTCCACCGGTCTGGACGTTTCTCCAGGCTAAAGAGCCCGACGTATTGGGCGGCTTCGATTCTCGGATACCGAGTTTGTGGCCAGCCGTCGAGGGGCGCATGATTTCTCGGAGGATATCGTTTTCCGACTGTCCCAAGGTGCACGATTTGGCGTCCTCTTCAGTGTCGCTCTCCGTATCCGAGTCGCCCTCAAACGGCTGCACTTCGCTGCCCGTGGTGTTTCTCTCGGAAGCTCGCTGATCCTGCAAGGGACCGAGGAGCGAAACGAATCAGTGGCTTCCTTTGAGCACGACAATTGTGAGACACAAGGATAGCAGACAACGACTTCATGGCTGAGATTGGGCACAGCGCTCGTCAGCTCGATATCGTAAAAGCAGATGAAAATTGGACAAATCTGGTGTAAGCGTATGAAGGCTGCGAATTTCCTGAGGAGAAGTATAGATATATGCGGATCCGCTGAGGCATTAGAAGATGCTGATGGATAAGTAAGGAGCACAGGAACCTGAGATTGTTCGCAGCGTCTTGGAGAACCAACCGACAGAAGGTGGCAAAAAGTGTGGGTGGCTGGTACTCAGCTTACCAAGCTAAAAAGGTCGCAACCGCCGGAGTAATAGTCTAGTGCAGAGATTGACTGTTTCGAAGAAGGAAACCTGCTTCACCATCATTTGGACTGGAAGCGCTACTCCGGGCTGTGGAAGGGGACCTCAGGTCTAACTCAGCATATTAGCTACCCGTCAAGACAGGCGCCTTTTTTGGGTTTACAGCCCCTCTTACCGTAGCAGCCGCCGTCGTGAATCGCGGCTGTTCCGCCCGCGGCCGTGAGCCCCTCTCCTCCGCGAAGCTCCGCAGCCGTCCGGGAGCCACTTCCGGCAGCATCTCCGTCAGTCTGCGCTTCGCCGCCGTGTCGAGCAGCGACTGCGCCTCGTCGCTCGGGCCCTGCGTGCCAAAGGAGTTCTTTGACTTGTAGAGGACTCGTAAGTCTACTGGAGCTTCAATGCCTGTGCAAGACGTCGCACCCCGTCAGACAATCTTCTGTTGGCTACCGCCGTTCCTCAATTTCTGTAGCACCCACTGATACGTGGAAGTTCAGTATTGAAGTTGGCGGACAGTATGGGGAGCTTGTGTTGCCGGAATTTCAGAGCTCAGCTTGGATTCTTCTTCACCGACCCATCTTACGTCAAAGAGTGAGTCGTTCCGTTGCCGCAGGAGCAGCAACTCCACAATCTCAACCTTGTCAAGAAGCTCTAACCATCGCCAAAAGTGGAGGCCCCAAACTTCCCGGGATAAGGGTTACCGTTGCTTAGATTCGCCACAATAATCCCCGGGCGGGCTTGAGCCAGCGCTTTTGGATAGTGGGAACCGCAATAATTACGCGGACTCCGCTTACGGTGCGCGAGCAGACGTGCGCAAGGTTGACGATGGCCATGGAGTGCCCGCGCAGCGCGGCCTGCCGGTAGAACTGCGCGGCGAGCGCCACGTCAGCGGTGACGCCCAGCCCGTCCTCATAGCAGATGCCCAGGTTGTTTAACGCTGACGCGGACCCCTGCGAGGAACAAACGATGATTACGAGATGGATCGGAAAGGAGTGCAACGGTTGCTGTAGAGTTCTGCACGAGATGTTTCTCATGGCTCCTGCTTGGCTTTGTTGCAGCTTTGACTGTAGCTCCAATCAGGGAAGGAAACCACTTTCGTTTCGGATGAAAGGGCGGGGTTGAACAGACAAGGAAGCACTAGTTCGAAAACCACGCAATTAAGCTTTGCTGAGATCAGATAAGGTCAGCACTGACTACTTCCAAAATGGTATTGCTGCCGACACTTGAGTTGACGCGGACGATTGGATGCTCTCAACGGTGCTCAAAGGCCAACAATTTAGCTCGGGCAATGCGGACTTCGGGGCGAGCTTCAATCGAGAAAAGACTTTTGGCAGCCCGCTGTCTCCGCCTCTACGCGAAGGCCAATACTCGAGCGGAGTCGTCTTTCTGAGGGAAATGTCGAACTTGTGACGCGAAAGGCGCAATGGGTTTCAGCTCACCTGGGCCGCGCTCTTGAGGAACCACCCGACTGCTTCGATCTGGTTCCGGGGCACGCCCCGGCCGTCGAAGTACATCTTCCCCAGGTTGTTCTGCGCCTGGGGGTGGCCCGCCCGGGCAGCCTGGCCGTACCTGCAACAACCGGGGGCCCAGAAGCTTCAGGAGTGGACGCCGGGACTTTGAAAGCAATCCGAAGTTGTGGGTGGACACGGAGTAAACCTTTGTGTCTTATTAGGCCTTTGGAAAAGTCGTTCGTAGCTGGACGTCGAAGCCCCTTTTTCAGCTTAGCGTGTGGCATGTGTGGACGGCAAGCTGGCCACCAATCGTGAAGCTTTCACAGGGGTTCGGAAGCATGACCTGTATCTAGCACCGTGCCTCCCGCTTGTCTAGACACTCAACTCCACTACGTTGAACGTCGACCTTCTGCAGTTCAGCATGAGATACCTACTTCCAGCAGCTACCGGCTTGAAAGAGAAAGAGAAGGCAAGTGCTTCGGAGTAGCGTACAGCTACGGAGCCCCTCTCAGCGCCAACACATGCGAAGCGCCTCTTTCTTTCAAGCCAGCATCAGTCACTACACTGGCACCTTCTTCGTGCTCACCAATGAACGGCTTCCAAGTCATCGCGAGGGATCCCTCGCCCGTGCTCCAAAGAAAAACCGAGGGCTGCCGCCGCCTCAGCGCTCCCTTGCCCGGCACTTCGCTGATACAGTCCCGCGGCGCCGGCAAAGTCGCCCCGCGCTTCCGCTTCTAGAGCTGCCTCCAACAGCCTGTCGGCACTCTCCACCTCTCTAGCTCCGTTTCCGTAACTTTCCCGGTTTTCAAGGGCCCCCGTTTGCTTGAAACTTGCCGACGGCTCTGCACCGTCCTTTTGCTGCCTCACACGTGTCCCGTCTGGAATGTCCATTCTGTTTGTATCACGATTATGCGCCGGTGAACTCTTTCCTATTCCAGATTCTCCTTTGCGGGAAACGCTACCAATTTTGTCGTGCCTACTCGGACTCTGCTTTTGTGTCCTCGAGCTCGGTCGTCCGTCCGATTCGATTCCGTTTCCTTCGGACTCGGCCATTGAACGGCCGGAGATGGCCGGCCGGTTCTGGCTGGCCAGCTCGTCCGTCGGATGGCTGAGCACGTGGTCCAGCTGCTGTCGGTATGACACGGTTGCCAGCGCCGTCTCCTGTCACAGCCGTGTTAAGAATGAAACATTCAAACGGCTGGTCGCCGCCAGGTAGTTCGAGAAACCAGGAGGCCCTACACGAAGCTCCCTTGGAGTTTTTGCGAATCTTCTGTCACAACTGCCATACGCAGCGGAAAAAACCTGCTGCAGAGGAATTGAGGAACGTCTGACAAGGCCCGGTTTTGCTCATGACTATCGACCTGCCCTAATAGCTACTCTTGCTACTCATTGCACAACCTCCTTGCTCCACTCGTACAGCTCCGAATTCCAGTTCATCGAGATTAGATCAAACGTATGTGCGGTGGCTTCTGCTCGAACCGGAACCGGGTAGCCGAGGAGCTCAACCAATGGTTGTACTTTGTCTGGAGACAAAGCGAATCGAGAAAGCGGGACGAAGCCTTACCACCTTCCCCACAGCCCCCTCCGCTTCTTGGAGGATCCGCTTGAGGGTGCGGGTATGCAGCCAGCGCGGGGAGAAGCTCGAGGCACGCCCACTCAAACGTCCCAGCAGCTCACGGGACTGCACATGTGGCCCAAAAATAGGTGTTGCAAAGCGAAGGACCTGGGCACGTTACTTTGTTGCGAAGGTGCCCGCTTGAGGCTCGAAGAAAGGTACCGATAAAGTCGAAACATTTCTTCGCAGCTCAATTGGAAAAGCTGAGCTGAGCTCGAGATGCTGCGCGAGGCCGTTAGCCACAGGAAGGTCGGACGTTTTAGAATATTTCGTGGATACATTTCGAGTCGATCAGCTATCATCCTCAGTCACGACTGCTCGAATCCGAGTCCTGCTAAGGCCGGGCATGACTCAGAGACTCCGTTGCTCTTTAGGCCGGATCTTCTGATGGACCAACGACCTTGCAGCTCGTCATTTGCGGTCCGTGCCGAGCTGCTTACAGATGCCGACAACTTCCATGACTGAAAGACGATACTAGGTCCTGTAGCTGTCTCGAAGATTTGCCGCTGAACTACAAAACAATCAGTCCGAGCTTACACCCTCAAGCATACGCTCCTTCCTTTACTTTCCCTGACCGAGAAAAGTAGGAGCACACGACTTTGGACAACCAACGGTGAGGTTGGAAGCGCACCTGAGCGACGGTCTTTTCCAGCTTGCCGAGGGCGCTTCTGACCTCCTCGTGATGCTGCAACCGCTCCAAATCTTCAAGGTGGCCCAATAATGGGGCCTGCATAAGCAACAAAATTGTTCTTCACACATGATCCCAAATACGGCAGGACTTGCCGGCTTATCGACTTAGTAAAACGAAAAGCGGTTGTGGATCCGAAGAGCTCATGAAGGAAGCATCTAGTCATGTCTAAAGCCTCTTTCACTTATCATTGATGCTTGAGCTGCAATGTTGCAGGGTGAGAGGCTCTAACGCGAAGACTCGAGGTTGCTGTCGACACATTGAGAGCCAAAATGAGTATCCCCGACTCGATTCCCGCCGATGTTTGAGCTGCAAAACAAAATCCAAGGAGAAGACTCACCTGCAGCCGCACACACCGCTGCCCAACGTCCATGGCGGCCTTCACCGTCGACTTCAGGGCACAAGTCTCCGACTCATCGCACAACCGTACCAAGTCTCCCACCACTGCCCACACCCCGCCCAGGCCCATTTTGGATACAACTTCATCCCGTTTCGTCTGCAGCGCTGGGGGCAAGTTCTGTCTGAACAAGGGCGACCCTGTGGATCCAACTGGGCTCGTTGGGGAGCTGCTAACTCGTTCGTTTTGGGGGGTCTTTGTCCGTGCTAATCCCGCCCGGGGGGAAGAAATGATCCGGGCTAGAAGGCCCATGCTGGCGCCCGCTTCAGACCTGGGCTGTGCCCAACTTGGCAGCTGGCGGCCCAGATGCAATCCTAGACTTGTATGGAGCAGGGCACCTGGGAGTTTCAAAAGATGCCCACAACTTTCGACAATTCACAAAGTGGCCTGTTAACAGGCACGACCAGTCTTATCTTCGTTATCCACGTAATGCTGTCGTTGCCATTGCGGGCCACTAGGACAAGCTTCTATCAGTGCCTGAGAGCGTGCTGGCATAAGGGATCCTGTCTCAATTGCCCTGTCAATCTTCTTTGATTCCCAAGTCCGCGTGACTTCCTGATGATCTCAAGCACAACGTTTTCATTAAACCCGTTCGTCTCCATTGCATGTTGCAAAGCAACGGCACTTCTTCCAAAGGTGACAGCAGATTCCCAGCGGTGAAGTCTGTTCATTGTCCGCAAATGCCTTCACGTCTGACATTCCAATTACATGTCGTACTCAATGCATGCCGCCCCTGATCACAAGGCTTTCCTGAAATGATGTCGATAAGCACGGCTGCAGCCAGTGACGCTCCTTAGTTGCTAAGAGACAATCAAGAGCAGTCGTTCATGGTTATAAGATGCTTCAATCAATTCTGGTATAGGCCTGGATACTCCAGGATCATGCAATGCCACTGATCCTTGATTGCCAAGACTCATCAGGTATCTATATCGAAGTTCATAGATTATCATCATAAAAGAAGTATGTATGTATGTATGTATGTATGTATTGGATCCGACCCCTGCCCTTCCCTGACCTGTACCTACCGTATTAGGTATCGGATTATGGCCGAAGTGCGGTACAGCCAATGGTCGACCCAGGCGCTAGCCCTGGATGGTGACGGCCATGCCATTGTACCGTTTTACCGTAGGTACCGTACTTACCGGTACCTAGACTTCCGTCTTCTTTGACCATCGACTCAGAGTCATCGCGAGTGCACTGCGCATGTGCACGACCCAACCCAGAACTTCAGAAGCAGAATCCCATCTGGCCGCGGGTATTCAGTTGCACGCACGCTTTAGGGTACACTTCACCTCTTGAGAACGTACAGCAGGTTTTGCCACGGGTTTATTGATCACCGGGCGCATTGCAGGCCTTGAGAGCACCTTTTCGCCACTAATACCGATCTGGGTAAGTACCGCAAGCTCAACCTCAAGTTTTCGTTAAAGTCAGCTTTGATAGGTCCTAATTAATACCGTTGTACCCAGATGCCTTTCACCTTCAAGTTACTGGCTATGCCACTTGGCGCCAGCATGAGGCCACCAAATAGCTAGCAATTGGTAATCATTGCTGCCAATTGGCGTCGCGAAGTGAGAGCCACAGGTTTTGCACGAAAATTTGAGTGCACGGTTCAATCCTGACGTACTTGTGTGACGCCACCGGGTCAGGTGTCCTCCTAATCAACTTGGGGACATGCATCCCCGGAATTCTCAAGCTGCTTTAAAACCGTCAGATCAACCTAAGGAGCATAATCGGGCGGTCGGAAAGCTCTCCATAAATATTTGAGGTAGAGAAATATTCAGGCAGAATGCGGCGACAAAATCGGTCACCTGCTGCCCGGTCACCGGGTCGGCCGGTCACGCACTCGCCCTCAAAACTTTAGAGTCTGACTGAGGAAGGGAAGATGCTCAATTATTGGGGTGGGACGTGCCTCCAAACTTCCCTGAAGGCGCCATTCCCTTCGAGCCACTGGCAGACGCTTCCCTAGAGGCGCCACTGCAACTTATTGGAGATGACCTCAGAAGGCACATGCACTGGCAAGGACCGCTGAGATTACTGGTAATTTACCGCAGGTCATACTTCGACCAGCTTGCAAACGCCAGTTGGTAGTATAAGGCGAAAGATGGGAGCCCCATGGGAGTCCCATTGTGGGTTGACATGACTCTGCAGCTAGACAGCAAATGAGGGAAGCCTTTGGGAAAAGGATGGTTATGCATTGAATTGTAGCTGCTTGCTATTATCTTTGCTCAACAGGTGCGAGTAGCGCGCCCTCTGTTATTTCTCATGAAGTCGAGCAGCCTCCTGAAGACGCCCTTCAAAGATGTCTGGTGGCAAAGCCCGCTTGAAATGGTTGGAAGCAGGAGTTTACTTGGGGACTTGAGAGGATAAGGAGGAGAGGAAGTAAGAGAAAGCTTGGCCTTGAAACACGAGAGGAGCTGGTTTGCAATAATGAGAGTCCCTAGTGCCAAGGGATCTTACATTGAAGGACGGTATTGACAGCTTGGCTTTGCACTATGCGATAATGGCATCGAAGAAGCTGCCAGCAAACTACATGAAACGGTCGAGGTTGAGGGGGAAGACATTTAGAGCATGGCTGAATGCTGCGATGTACATCTACCTTGTGTGTGGCCTGAGTTGGGTGAGTTCTCAATATAGAGGTCAATTCTTACAAAGCCTTGTGTTGCATTCAACAACTATCCATTCTTTGTTACCTGAAGGACTCAGACTACTGAAGAGCTCAGGGAATGCATTTTAGGCCCTCCGACTGGCAAAGGTACAAGTACTGCCCGCTATTGGCGGGGGCTCAACAGAAAGACCGAGGTGGAACAAAACTGTCCAGTAGCGCCCCATTGGTGCTCCAAACAAAGGCAGAACCTGACACTTGATCTTTATTCATGTAGCACAAATGCGAAGGAGATATTCACAAACAAACGGGAATGCGTCTACCAATTAATCAACCATTCTCAATGTAGGTTGCCTACAATTGTCCTGCAATGTACATCTCAGAGAAGAACGCGGAGCTGGAGGTGCTCAGCTACAAGTGCAAGAACCGCGCGTCTGTCCTGCACACAGAGATGCTAGCCAACAGGAACTCTGTTCAGGTACAGCATAACATGGTGTACAGTCCTGCAGCCTGCTTTATCTGAGATGAAATGGTGCACACAAGTCGTGATCAACTTTCCCCTCCACAACCTGTTGTATTGTAGTGAAAATCCAGAAGCAGACAGTGGTTTGGCAGATGGTTTGGTAGTAATTGGTTTTGATGGTGCATTCCCTGGTGATGACATCAGTTGGTTTCAACTATATGTGAGGGCATCTCAGGGAGGGCCACTGGATCTCAGGCTTGAGAACATACTTCTGTTGGTTCGAGTGTACTTGCTGGTGGTAGTTCAGTTTTCGGTACATATTGAGAAGGCTACTGAAGAAAGCCCATGTAGAATGTATTCTAGCATTAATTGGATAGCTATTGGGACGCCCTCAAAATCAGGTTCTAAAATTTCCTGAATGGACGGTTGGCGGATGTACCTGCAGATGGAGCTTCACTTTTTGACTTCTGTGTCGATCACAGATCTTTGGAGAGACACAAACCTGAGATTGAGCCTTTAGGGGTTTGTTCAAGGTTGCAGCCAGACATGTTTGCTGCCCTGTAAAGCATTATTCAGTGCCTATGTTCAGGGCTTGTGTCTTCATTTTGCCTCTCTTTCCTTGTGGTGCATTGCCGCTGCAGATCACAAAAGCACACTTTGCCAAGTAGATTCCAGCAGCAGACTTTACCAGGCAACAAGAATTTGCCACAGGTTCAGGTGGTCAAGCCCCGAATGAGAGAAGCTCAAGTGGACCATATCAGAATCAAAGCAACAACCCTGATATCCCTCAAGCCAGATCAAGCCTTAGTCTGTGGTAAAGTTGAAGAGGCTGCGGCGGCCATTATGTACTAAGAACCAGCGCCTGTTGTCAATATGCTTACGTGACTCTTTCCTTCAATCCAATAGCTGAGCCATCACTTCGTCAATCATTGCCCAGGTTTTCATCGGTTTTGTCACGAGCGTCCCCAACATAGGCAAGGAAGTGTTTGAGCGCTTTGCGATGGCAACATCCGATGCACGTCCGCTCATTGTTGGCGTTGCCTGGATTGAGATTGTGAAACATGAGGACCGGGCGGCCAAAGAGGTGGAGCTGGAACATACATTCATGGAGCTGGATTACACCGGTTCAGTGGAGTATCTGACGGCCGATAAGGTGAGCTTGCAATCACTGAGAGAAGCTGGCCTCTGGTTTTGCCAATGTTGGAGGCTGGCCACTCTCCTTGTCAATGCGCGTTGGGAGACTCTCAAGTCACTATGCCCGTCAGACGGGGTGGGATGTTGGCGACTCAGACAGAGGGGCCGACAGAGACAAAACTTCTTTCTGAACCATCCACAAATTGAACCAGTTCTTGCTTCGCTTACAGGGCGTGAGCAGATCATCAATCTGGGTCTCAACAACGCCTGTCTCTTGTGCTTCACTGCAGCCGCGAGGGGTCGCTGAGGAGTACGGAGTGGTTATCTATTCGGTGATGCCCGAACTATTTCGAAAGGTGGTGCGGCCTGGTCTGGACGTGTTTCCACTTGCGTCACGAAGGCCGTTCCTGGACGTGTAAGTTAGATTGGGGCTGCTCAACGAGGTTAACGATGTTAGCCTAGTACATCATGAAAAGCCTGCCACCAATGAGGCAAGACTTTAATCAGATGCATGCTATAAAGTGTGTCATGGTGCATGCTTGTGGGGTCTAAAGAATGGAGAAGAGGGTCCTTCCAGTCTTTCTCTTGCCATCTTCATTTTCGATCTTCTGGCAGCGGTATCCTTCAAGGGAACATTGGGAAATCTCAATCGGAACCGCAAGCGTAGCCAGGATGTTATATTGCTCAGTCTGTGGCTGCTCAGGCTGCATACATGTACCGTAGATTCCTAGTGGGCATAACCAAGAGCATGTGACTAGTAAGAAGTGGAACAGGAACCGACTATATCATGGAGAGTCAACTATCTTTTTCAGGTCCTGAAGTCTTGTCTCTACTTATTCTCACCATTTAGCTGTAAATTGCAAGATCAGGATCAAACTCCGCGACGTTTCTCTGATTGTTAGCAAGGCCTCCCCTAATCCGGATAGAGGGTGCTGATTGATAAGAATTTAAGGACAGAGTTACCGATCAAGGTTCCCGCCTGGCACAGGTCTCGCCGCACAGGGCAAGCGGTGCACACGGGGCCGCTCGACTACCTGAAGAGGGAGAAAGGCATGGAGGGCGGCAACGGCCACGGCTTCACGGCCTACATGCCGTGGTACAACTCCACATCGGAAGAGGACCTCAGGTGAAGAGCATTGCTGCTTGGATCGCTCTTTGCGGGTTGCACAACCCCAATCCGAAACATGACGGACTGGACAGCGAATAACTTTGGTCCTTCACTGAGTGGCCGCAATGGGACGTGGCAAAGACGTAAACTTTCTGGACAGAGGAGGAATATGCAGGGCCCCCACAGGCGAAGCTCCGGCTTACATGTTTTCGCTGCCAAGCCAACCGGCAGGTCAAGTGCTCTTTGCTTGTTTGTTTTGGTCTGGTCGAAAACGCTACAGTATTTTCCGGTGCATTAAGAGTGCTCAAAATAAAACTTGTGCCACGGATGCCCTGCAGCCCCTCGCTGCCAAGCCAAGCGCAGCCGAATGCTCTTTCCTTGTTTGCTTTGGTCTGGTCGAACATACCACAGTACTTCCAGTAGTTTCAACTTGTCAAACTAAAACTGTGCCACGGATGCCCTACAGCCCCGAGCAGCGTTGGAAAGCCTGCCGCGGCTGGCTGGCCGCGGTGTTCGACATCGAGGCGATTGCGCGCAAGGTCCTCCTCAACTTCGCCGCCGAGAAGCACATCCTCATGCGGCTCTACGACGCGACACCTGGCACCACGCCGGAAAAGGGCCTGATTTACGATCCGCCCGAGTCGCCGCTTCCAGACGATAACCACGACCAAGAGTATGGGTACGTGCAGCCGTTTGAGTGCGGGAGGCGCACGTACGAGGTGCGCTGCTGGGACCCGACGTTCAGCCGGTGGCGCCTCATCAAGGTAGGTGCCGAGAGGGCAGGATGCATCATAGCAAGTCAATCTTAGGATCTGAGATTTTGGCGTCCGAATGTTCGTTAGGCAACGTGCAGAACGATGTTAAAAGAGGTCTGGGAGGGTGTCTTGGAGCCCAGATTTTCCTCGACTGGCGATTGCGTTCTCAGCACAGGGGAGGCCTCATGTAGCCTTTTGTTTTGTTGATCGGTCCGACGTGGCATAACTTTCTCGCTGTATGAAAACAGGTTGGCCCGTTTTCTGAGAATGTTTGTTGAAACCAAGATGAGCAATTGAGCTTAGAAGCGAGTCTGGAATTCGTCATTGCTTTGCAGACGGTGCTGGAGTGGTCGGTGTTCCGCGTGCTCGTGTTTTTGCTACTGGGCTACGTTGCGCGGTTGACGGGGAAGCGGTTGAAGGAAGTGGAGCGCGACTTTGAGCGGATTGCCTGCCTAAACGAGGAGCTCAAGGAGGCGAAAGTAGTTGCGGAGGCGGGGGTGCGGTCCAGGAGCAGCTTCATCGCCACCATGAGCCACGAGATCAGGTGGGCTGCTTTGAGCACGTAACGGGTTTCAATGCAAGAGCTCTGAGAATCTGCAATCAGCGTCGGAGTTGGGCTTAAGCTGGGGAACTCTGACTACTGACCGCTGTAAGTCGAGTGCCCCTTGTTGCTTCAAGCTTAGTCAGACTATAGCACCCGCTCCCGCTTCAAGCCTCTCAGGTCCTTCCGCCCAGTTTCCAATAAATCCTAGCTCAAAAGTCCGACCCTGACGTCGTCTCAAGAAATGTGTACTACTGTGCATGTCTGATCACAGTACACGTCATCAGACTCTCGTCTTGCGTGTGCAGGACGCCGTTGAACGGGCTGCTGGGCATGCAGAGCCTGCTGCTGACGACCGAGCTGACGCCCCTCCAGCTAGATTATGTCAACACGGGCCAGGCCAGCGGCTCCGCGCTGCTCAGCCTCATCAACGACATCCTCGATTTCTCCAAGGTAATGTGGCTTAGTGGGTCAGCTTCATCACATGGTCAAGCCGTTAAATTAGATCTATTCCAATGATGCTGGGGTGTAAGGGTCACAGTTAGAACCTGTGGTTGAAACATGTGTTGATACTCAATCGAGAAGGGGAATCAAAATTTGGAATCAGACAACTGGGCTACCAAGTTTGGGCAGCCATTGACGCAGGGAACAGCCCCGCTTGTGACAGCGCTTTGCTCATCAGGCCCAAAGCCTGCCATTCCCGACTAAGTTTTAATATCTGAACCAATGGAAGAGAGATATTCCTTCCAAAAACGACAACCGCTCTGTCGCTCCTTTCTACCTCAACTCTAGATATAGCCGGTGTCAGAAAGGGTTTGTCGCTTGCACATATGCTCCAACCAGTTATGCGGGCACCGAAGGCTTTTTAACGTCTCCGCGTGGCTTTTTCCTCCCACAGATCGACGCGGGCAAGATGGAGATTGAGACGATCCCGTACGATTTCCGTGCGGCGGTGGACGACGTGCTGAGCCTGTTCCAGGACAAGAGCCGCGAGAAGCACGTCGAGCTGGCCAGCCTCGTGCAGGATGCCGTCCCGGAGCGGGTCACCGGGGACCCGCAGCGCCTGCGCCAAGTGCTCATGAACCTGGTGAGAAAGCGACCGGGGGGCTGGAATGCGCCCGGTTCAAAGCAAGTGCCGAGATGCAACAGAAACGAGGACTGGTGGTCCTTTAATATCCAAGATGGCACGGATTGCCAGTTGGTATGAAACTCTGGGAAAAGCAGTGCAAAGCGAGGTTAGTACTGGCCAGGTCATCTAGAATAGGCTGCTCGTACAATAGAGGCTTACGTGAAGCCAAGTCTTAACCCTGCGGGCCTAAGACCTTTGACTTGGACCAATGATTGCGTATAAGCTCCGTGATGTCACGATTGTCGCTGTGCTCTTTCTGAAACCCCCTGTCACTTCCACCACTCTCTTCAAGCTGGCCGGCTGTCAACGCCCTTGCGTTGTTTCCTGTTTCCCCCGTTCTAACACGTTTCTGTTTGGTTGCAGGTCTCGAACGCCGTTAAGTTCACCGAGACGGGCAGCATCTTCGTGTGCGCCCAAGTGGGCACGTTCAGCCTCAGCACGCTATCCTCCACTGAGCCCTCTCCTGGGGGATCCCTCCGCACCCCGGAGTTCTCTCCCAAGCCCCCCACCCCGACCACCCCCCTCTTCAGCACGCTCCGCCGCCGCTTCCGCTCGTCCTCCGCTTCCTCCAGCACCTCCGAACCGCAGCCGTTCGATGAGGCGCTTCTCACCCCATCGACGGCCCAGAGCTCCCCGATCACAAAGTCGGCGAGCTCTTCCGGTTTGATGCACTGGTCGTCGGCCAAGAACACGCCGCAGATCCAGAGCGCGAGCGATTTGCTGATCCCGAGCATGTTGGAAGAGGACTGCGGCGAGGCGGACCCCCGGGTTTTGCAGAGGTTCAAGCAGGCGCATTCTGGCGCGCAGCCCGGGGAGAAGATTCGGCTGCTGCTCTCCGTGGAGGACACCGGAATCGGGTAAGCCGGAACATAGTTTGGGTCGATTTCTTCTTTTTGGGCGATGCCGCGAACAGTTGAGGTTCTGAAAACTTTGTTTAATGGGTCGGAGGACCTGGTAATGAAAGGCAGCAAAGATGGATGAAGAATGTATGTCTTGAGAGCTTTGAGTGGAGGTGCCAATGGGCTTACGGTTTTGCTGTACGGAGCCCAGCGGCAGTGCGAGGGGCGATATGCAGGCCGGTTGGCAAGGGGGGTCCCCTTTTCGCACTTGCAAATAGTTTGCCTTCTACGTTAGGAAGCGGATTGCTGGATTTGTCTCTGATCCATCGGTCCGGAATCGCAAACTGGTTTTGGATCACGTCTTTTCATTTCGCATGCAGTATTCGAGAAGAAGCAAAACCGCGGCTGTTCGAGCCATTTGGGCAGGCGGAGAGCTCGACCTCCCGCCAATTTGGGGGTACGGGGATTGGTCTTCCGATCAGCCAGGTGGGTCACCGCAGAGTGTGTAAAGCTTCCTCAAGGGAGTTCGGACTTCTTTTCCTCGAATCCAACCGGCCTGAATAGTGGACGAGCGCCATCTACGCACGTGACGACCGGAGCACACAGTGTGCTCATGGCAAAACTGGACGCTTGTACTCAAATGTCTTACCCTCGTCTCTCGATTGTCGCGACAGCACGAGAACCGGATTCAGGAACGCTTTCCGTCGCATTACACGGGGCTTAGGCCCTTGCTGGACCGCTCCGTCTCGCTCTCTCGTCGACGCTGTTACTCGTCTTCACGGTCTCTTTGCGGCACTTTGCGTTGCACAGAGATGTTGCTCAGTACGTCCACTCTCAGAAGGTAAAAGCCTCTAGAGAAAAAAAGCGTCTTCTTCATTGGACAGCTTCTCGAAAAAGCAATAAAAAGACAATTATGATGAAACGACTTCCACGGAACGGCGTCTCAAAAACGCACCGTCTCTCTGCGTGCAGCGCCTGGTGGAGCTGATGGGCGGCACGATGGGCGTGACGAGCGAGCCGGGCCGGGGGTCCACCTTCATCTTCGACATCGAGGTCGGAGTCGACACGCCACCCCCCCCGGAGATGGCCAGCGCCAGCCCCCGCGTCAGCCAGCAATTCCCGGAGCTGCACGATGTGAGAGCCTGCCGCCTGAGGTGGAATCAGCAAATTCTTTTAGGCGTCTCAAACGGGCCAACAGGTTGCGTCCTTTTCCGCAGCAGTCTTTTCGCGAAATTGAGACTCAGTGGTCCTGATCATATGGAGACCCGACCGGCAGAAGGCCTCAGTCTCTTGCAGATCTAGGTAGTCAGCCAGTTCTGACGAAAGTTCGTCGGGCGGCAATGTTGGATTTCTTACAAACACTAAGCTTTTCTCCCCGTATGTTCACCAGCTAAAGCAAAATGTTTTCCCGCCGCAGCTGCACGTGATCGTGCTGGAGCCGTCCCCCCTCCGCCAAGAGATCATTGCGTGCTGCCTGCGCCGGCTGGGCCTCTTCCCCGTCTGCTGCGAGACCATCGAGGAGGCGCTCGACCAGCTGCCCCGCCCCGCTGACGTCACCCCGCCCCGGACCCACGTCATCCTCGTCAATGTGCGCGCGCACGGCGGCCAGCTGGCGCGCGACCTGCTCGCGCACCCCGCGCGGAAGGCCGCAAAAGCGCCCGTCGTGGGGCTCAGCACGGGCATGGACTCCGCGGAGGAGAAGCGAGAGTTGGCGCGCGGGTTTGCGGGGCTGCTGCAGAGCCCGCTGCGACCCGCGACCGTCGCGGTGTGTCTGTCGGGGCTCGTGAACAAGCGCGCGCCGACGCGCGTCAGGGCGGTCAGTGAGGAGGCGCCCGCGGTGTGGCTCCAGGGAAAAAAGGTGCTCGTGGTCGACGATACGCTGGTGAATCGGAAGGTGGCGTCGCGCATGCTGCAGGTGAGGGGGGTGGACGGCAGACGTGGCTTTGGGAGCAGAGATTAGGTACTTAGGCGGTCGGTCAGCGACTGGAAAAGGGGAGGAAACTTAGATGAGGTTTTGAAGGTTTAAGATCTAGGGGACTGGAAATGTAAAGCCCGATCGAGGTTTTTGGAATGAAAAAGAAGGGCGTGAGGGTGCTCACGCGGAGTCTAGAGGAGGGTTGGAAACAAAGGAGACTGAGCCGCCTTGTCTTGAGCGGTGTATGATTGCGAACTTCACTTTATCAGCTTTTCGCATGTCATAGACTGGTCCTTGGCTGACTTTCGGCTGGGGCGCTCGCCACATATTCTTGCTGGCCCCTGTGCAGGTCTTCAAATGCGAGGCCGTCGGTGTCGGCGGAGGTGCGCAGGCGCTTGACAAACTTCAGGAGTTTGGATTTGGAGCGTTTGACATGGTCCTCATGGACGTTCAGATGCCGGGTGAGGGGCGCTTTCTTTCATGGCCGACCTTAACATGGCTCTTTAAAAGCTCTTGAGTGGTTTTCCGTTCCGCCTTGACCATAGCTTCCTGATCGCTTGCCTTTGGCCTGCTTGGAGCCAATGTTATCGGGACCCGTGCGACGAAAGTGGACAAAACTTGGTCAAAGCTGGTACAACGATCAGAGGATGGTCATGAACCGTGAGAATAGCTGGCCTGGAACTTGTTCTGATATAAGTCAGTTCAATCTGTTGCAAGTAGAACCGATTCTTCAATGTTCGCAGCCACAGTGACAGTAGCTCGACCGCATGAGATCAACCTCTCGAAATAGAAAGTTTGCCCTCCTTTCCTCCCTCGCTCATGGCGTTCCACTTTCCCCATGCTCGAGAAACACAAGGAAAGGTTAAGTCGTTATATGCAAGCCGTTCACGGGACGCTTTCTTTCCCCTCTCAGGCATGGACGGGTACGAGACAACCCGCCGGATCCGCCGCCTAGAGCACGAGTTTTGGGCTGCCAGGAACGCCCCCTCCAATACCGCCGCCCCAGATGACGTCACCCCCCCTGCCGAGACCGACTCTTTCAGCACGGACCTCCCGAGCATCGCCGAAGCGCGTGGCCAGGGGGATCCCTGGCCCGGGGCTGCCCCCCGTGGCAGCGACATCGAGAGCCACAGCAGCGCGGAGCTCGACGCTGACGTCAGCGGCCGGCGGGACAGTGACGCCAGCCTGCGACGGGAGAGCGAGGCCAGCAAGAGCGCACCGAGCCCCCGGCTGGCGCGCGACAGCTTCCGCTCGAGCGGGAGTTCCAGTTCGAGCAGCTCGGGGGAGCTCATAATCGCGGGGGGAAACAGCTTCGATTCGGACGAGGGGCGGCTGAAGCTGCCGGTTCTGCGGACGTCCGACGGCCGGCGCGGGCCGACGGGCGAGGGGCAGGAGCGCACGCTGTGGGTGGAGGGGCGGCAGATCGGGGCGCGCCTCCCGATTATCGCGCTGACCGCCGACGTGCTAGCGGGCACCCGCGAGCAGTGCATGGAGGCGGGCATGGACGGGTGAGCCGCTGACGTCAGCTGCTGTGGGTGACGTTGAGCATAGTTGTACCTATAGTGACTTACTTGGAACCAGGTTCGAACTAGATCATGTTCGAAACATGTCTGACTATCAAAACTCGAACAGCTTCCTGGTCGTGTTCTCTGCTCCGCTTTCGCATCGCCCCTTCGTTTACGTCTGCTTCTCCTCTTGCCTTCGTTCTTACTTTCCGTCGGTATTGATATCAATCCTATGGTTTTGAAAGCGTATCTTCATCGTGTGAAACCAGAACAACCGAGCTGACTGCCAGCAGAGACACCGAGTTCAAGACAGCCAGTGTGATGATTGGTCGAACTTGTTGACGAGAAGCCCTTCGTTATTGCATTTCCAGAGCACAGCTGACGCATCTTCCTGCCTTCCCAGGTACCTCTCCAAGCCTTTGGACCAGAAGCTCCTCAAGGACGTGCTGAACAAGGTGTTTGGATCGTCAATGGGCACGAACTTGACACGCTAATCGAGCAGAATTTTGTCAAAATTAGCAGCGTAGGAATGCGCGCGCGCGCTTAGGTTGCGTAGGATGCACGCAGAGCACAGCGGAGAAACGAACGGCTTGACGCCGTCGAGACGTTGCTTGATGTACGGGTCGATTCTTTCTAGAAAAGTTTCGTTACACTGCATCGGCATATTGGACGGCAATAACCAACGGTGGTCGCTTGGATAGACAGCAGCTTATCTTAACCTGTTACATGGCTGACCCACTGATACTAGCTAGCTAGCATTGGAAGCGTGCGCTACAGACAATGCGCTCGGAGCTGACTGTGGGTTATTGCTTAGGATACAATCTGTACAATCCCATGGGATTGCTCCCCTCTAAGCTTCGCTTCAGTGCACGAAACGATTCTGCAACGCATGGATAGATCTAAGCTACCTTATCAATTGCCCATGCCAGAAAAGTCTGGCCGTTCTTTCATGATGCACCGTTGCCCTCGCTTTCATGCATGTCTACTATCTCAAACTCAGGATTCAAGTGTGCTTAATTGTCACGGTCCTTGCGAATGCAAGCATGCAGCCGTGACTTTTTGATGAAGGAGCGCATCGGCCAACAAGCTCGTAACTTGGTTTGCAGTCATTCGGGTGGCGCATGAGCGGTCCTTCGGTGCACGTGCGCGGCAATAGAGAACCAATCATGGTCTAGTTACCCTTTGCTGGCACGGTTTTGCATGTACAACCATGTGTCTCACGTGTAGGTGTACCACCGCTTGACTTGGATATTGGCTTGTCTCTTCCCTTCAGGAAGAGGGCATCCATACAAATCGGGGGTTTTGTCGCCGTACGGCGCCGCTCTGCGGGCCCGCCAGTGGACCTGCTTCGCTTGGCCCGTTTCGACGGTATAACTCGTCATACGGCCTAGAAAAATGACACATAAGGGTGCGAGATCTGGCCCAACTGGGCCCGCGTGCACGGCGCAGTTCGCAGGTAATACGAATTGAACATCTTTGGTCCAACCAGTGCATGTTGCAAGTCCCAGTGTCGAGCTTCGTGCATGTTCGCGGACTTCGACGCCGAAGTTTCGTGCTTGCTTGGTCGGTGGTATTACGGCTAACAAATCCACACCGTGCAAACGAGCTTTCGACGATCGAAAGCAAAACCAAATTGTCAACCGTTGATCGGATACATAATCAAGGAAGAGACAAGCGTCCGCCGTCACAAAGACGGCGACCCATGTCTTCCATCTCACGTGCCGTACTTGTATACCGTCTGCACGCATACGGTGAGTTGCATATTTGAGAAGGTAAAAAGAAGCAGTATTGCAAGGCGTAGGAAACCACAAAGCACTTCCACCAGGAGCCTGATCGGGTTGCGCGCTCATTCACCAGCAGCGTTCGAAAGCTGCCACGTCCTGCATGCTGCATTGTCAGTTGACCCGTGCGAAAGTGCAAGCGTCACATTACGGGAGCCTTCAAATTGGACGTGAACTTGAAAACGGACGTCATTCAGTGCATGCGAGAAGTGAGGGCATTTTGTAATGAAATGTTAGACAGCTGAGCAGATTCAAGGGTTTGGACATGAAGATGCATCCGCCCTTCTTTGGTCAACAGACGCGGAGCTCATTTTCAAAGCAAGTCGTTTTGCAGACAGTCCGAAGCATAAATATAACTTTTGCCAAAGCTAAAGCGTAAGGAAAGCCCATGTCTTAGTGATGGCACCAGGGCTGAGTCTGTGGCTGCGCAAGAGGGGTCCAGGGAAGAGCGCCATTTAAGCTCATAATATAGACCTAAACGTCGGCCCTGCTGGTGCCTTCTCCAGACTTTTCAAACCGCCTTCTTTGAAAGACGTGCATGGACCGAGGCATCGGAGCGGGACAGATGCCGTTTTGAGCGCAACAAAAGTGCGGAGGTAGCCTCGAGCCGTACCTTCTAAACCTGCAGTGCCCACAAGCAGCTTCAGCAGCCTTCGAGGACACGTGGCAGAAGCTAGACATTGCATCCAACGAACAAGAAAGCGCCACGTTCCTCGACATGCCTAGCGCGTCCGACAGCATGAGGAGGCAGCGGAGGAGGTGAGGCTTTCGATCAAAAATGGAAGATTTAGGAGTAGCAATCTTGAAGATTGATGAAATGACCAGCCTGGGATGGGTGGGGTTAGTTTCGGAATTAAGAGTGGGTACGGGTATATGCAAGCAGGTGATCGAATGGTTAGGGTGTTGGTTTGAAGTTCAACCTTCTGAAATCCAAAGCATCTATTCCTAAAAGCGTTACGACATGTCCAGATAGAGGATGGTAGCACCATTCCCTTTTATCAGTTAGGTGCTGACCAGAACATTCCGTCGTGTGGTTACGTGAGAAGCTTCCATGTTGGGCGTTTGAAAGTGCCGGGTGAAAGGCACGAACTTCAAGTATTGCTAGTTCTTGATCCAATCTGCCTTAGGGTAGTTCCTCTCAAAAAGAGTCTCTAACGATTGGCCGCTTGGAGGTGTCAGTTGCTGCCAAACGGTCGGGATACCTTGAGAGGCGCAGGGTTTTGATGGGCGATCAAAAGCTGTTCTGCCAAGAACTTTTTCCACTTCAACCATTCCTTATTGGAGAACGGAAGGGAAGCCGTCCGCTGCTGAAAAGAGATTCCATCTAAATATATCATCAGAAATTGTTCAAAACGGGGAAATTCATGGTCGAGACTCTCAATGGCCTCGAAGCAATAACGCCGTCTGATCCCGTCACGGAATCACGAATCGTTTGATGACCCAATCAGTTGGTCTCTGAGATAATCCACGCCTTCTGTACACCTCTAGCGATCGGCAGAACAGTCTCCAGGCGCTGAAGAGGGACTTTGACGAGCTGGCTGCGCGCGCGCACGAGCGGATCAGGCGGGACGAGGAGCGCCTCCGAGAGCAGCGGAACGAGCTGGAACAGCGGCAACAAGAAAACGTCAGAGGGGTAAGGAATCTATTCCCCCGACGGCGCGTTCATGAATACGAAGAGTGTGTTTTCCAGCAAGTTTGAGGTGGGCTAAAATGAAAAAACACGTGGTGCTTCAGTATTTGAGTTTGTGCCTTCGGTTGTACCTTTACAGCCGGAGCCGTCCTCCATCCTCTGAATGTCCACAATCTTCTGAGGCCATCTCGTGGTTCATTTCCCTTCTGAAAACTGAAATAAAAATGGAAAGGAGAAACAGAGTTCGCATCTTAAATTTCTGATCGTTGATGTTCTTATCCGGACCTCAGAAGACTTCCCCCTTGGCAAAACTCGAACGCCTCAAGAGAGCCCTGGCTTTCTACTGGAACTCCCGGGTCTGGCTGCCACATGATACGCTGCTCTTTTCTCCTCAGACCAACGAATGCATCGTATGCTGCGAAGAATGGAGCGACACTGTGGTCCGTCACCGATTCGAGTGCGGACACGCAGTGACCCGCGGAGACTGCTGTAAGGTTTGGCTGGCGAAGCAAGAGGAGCCCCAAAAGCGGCAGCGTTATCGTTAGCGATGAACTGCGACCTCAAGAAGAACAAGGAGTTCAAGCCCGTGTTCTTGGGTTAGATGTTTTGAAATGCCCGAACGTCGTGAACGCCAGTTAGGGAGTGGTAGAACTTCGGCAGATGGGAAGGGTGACTCTACGCTCTAGATTTTGTGCGGTCAACGGCGGACAATCATGTAGCACTTTTGTCTATGCTTAGATGTGCTTTGGCATGTAAATAGGCAGTCCGTAGTCACAGGAAGGCAATGCAAAGGGATTAGTCGTTCGCATAACGTCCTAGGGACTTTCTGATTACCAGCTACTTTCGCGTGCTGACTCCGTTCTTCGCAAAATATGGATATAGCAGATCGAGTACTTCTGACCAGATGCAGGGGAACTGTACAACAGCTGATCTCTATGTCAAGATTGTAGGACGCGATTGATTCTTAAGGAGTATCCGCACGACCAAGTTGTATCATTTTGCAAGTGCAATCATAGCTGAAAGTGTCCGCAACGAAAGAACGGGAAACAAGGTCATCCAGTGTCGCTTCATAAGGTTGAGCATTGGAAACTGGACCGCTTCCGCTCATCGAGCTTAGATGCAGATTGAAGTTCGTTATGGTTCCTCGATCTTTTGACGCCGTCTTAGCTCGATCGACTGGCTGTAGATATCAAAAGTTGCATAAAATCTATTATAGCTTACAGGACGTCAAAGGAACTCATGTGTGTTGTGAGTTGCCAGCTGGCTGAAGTCCATCAGAATGGATGATTGTACGCTTGCGGGTTTTGCTGAGCGTAGTCTGCATTGTGATGCCTGGATCCGAAACGTCCCTCTTGGTTTTGTGTTTGTGGCAGATATCTCCTCTCATGTCTTTGGCTGTCAAAGACGTCTTTGAGCACAAAACCTTAGTAGGGGCCTTTTCGACAATTTTGGACGGCTTCTTCCATAAGTGCGCGCCAGCCATAGATTGCGGACCCATGCATTTCATAAATTGCGAATCGAAGCCGTCAGATGGACGCCACGTGCTACCAACAAACGGCCGGAAGCGATTTCGAGTCTTTGTCTTTCGCCCACAAAGAATCAGGACAAACAGTGCATATACAAGCCAGCATTCTGCACACGGTTACACAACGGATCGATCTGGGGCGCCCCCCACTACAGAGGCAGGACCTCTGTCGAGGGGACGAGGGGTGCTCTATACGGAGCTCCCCCGGAAACCCTCTCATTCCATCCGACCCCCGTCACAACCACCTTTACTCATACCAGAAAGCTCTACGAACAGTCTCACGTGTGATAATTTACACTGAACAGGCACCCCACCGTATAATCTACCCACAGAGCTACGGTTTGATCAATGTGTAGTCTACCGTCAAGCTTTGTCTGCACACTTCGAAGTCTGCAAGAGACTCGGATCCGTCTTCGTGGCTTTTGCCGTCACTACCTTAGATGTTTGTAAGCAGACACCGTGTGCTTTGAGCAACTGTTGTTGTTCAGACTTTGTATCCAAGTCACGTGCAACATCCTGACTGGTAGAAAATATCCATGGAAGAAAAGATGGATCCAACATCCACTCATTGGACCAATCCAACATTTGGCCCATGCTCTGCCAGCTGTAATGTACTTGCTACACCAGGCCACAAAGCACGTTGCCATGGTAACGGTGAACTCGCGTTCTCGACCCGTGACCTCGCCTCACGAAGCCCTGTTGCGATACTGGTAACTCTTGTGTGCCCTAACAGCTGTGTGCCCTAGGATTAGTAGACCCCGAGCAACCAAACCAGAAACCCTAACCCAACGCCCGCAGCAATGGGCACCGCCGGACTGGAGCCGCCAGAGGGCCTAGCGAGGGTTATTGGGAGCGGAGTAGATGTGGGCGCACCGGCAGGGACACCGGGGTCCGACGCCGACGCGCAAACGTACGTATCGACAACGGCTTCGGAGCAGCACGAACCCCAGGGGCTGTTGGTCGGGCAGTTGCAGCTCCCAGCAACGTTCTTATACGGCCCAGCGCCGCAAGTTCCACCGGTCTGGTCTGGTACGCAGCAGGCGCCGTAGGGGGTCCCCGAGTACACCGATCCGTTGCCACAAGTTGGGGACGGGAAGCCCGCGGCGGGGGCCTGGCACGCGCCCGCGCCAACGGGGCAGAAGAAGTAGTGTTGGAAGTCCGTGCAGCACGAGAAGGCCAAGCCGGCGGCACAGGGCAGGCCGATGTTACAGTTCCTGTTGACGTAAATGCCCGCGCAGGTGCCAGTTGCATTGCAGCAGCCCGTGTAGAGATTGGAGGGGCAGGTTCCCGAGGGCGCGCGCTCGCATGTGTAGGACGTGACCAGCTTGCGCCCGCCGAAGTAGTGTGCAGGCGACGCGAGAGCTGCACATCACCATTGAGCGAGGGTGTGAAGGACTGTGTCATGGAGGCAGCTATGTCAGGACAACAAAGCCAAATTTATAATCATGTTCCTTGCATTGGGATTTGTACTTAGACCCTGATTATCTGAACCGGCTTTGAAAGACAGCTGCGGTGTCGGAGAAAGCAATGATTTTGCCCTTGGTGGTATTTCAAAGTCTTGTTTTGGCTTATTTTCCTCAGATCCTCAATGGGCACTTCTTATCTTCCTACACCCCCTCATTTCAATTCTCACCCACCAGAAGCTGTAAGAAAAGAGGGATGCTTGTGGTCGGAAGCCCAGAACACAACTCCATTTTCCTCCCGTAGATGGAGTGTTATCAACGTTGATGTGGTCATCCAATCTATTCTGCTACACTCAGGTAGAGTGAGGCACCCTATGCTACGAGCCCACTGGGCGCGGCGGCAAGCACCGGAACATTATTGGCGATGCTACGATGCCATGCGTATATGTCAGGGGGGACGTTGTGTATGACTCACCATCAAAGTCAAAAACTGCAGGGCCTGTGCCTTCGTGGAAAACTCTATGTTCGTCCCCAAGGGCCCCCACTATATACCCCTCGCAGAGTCCCCCCTGGACCACTGCATTGACCACGATGTTTATAGTGCTTGTCAATTGCCTGCCAGACAAGGAACCTCAAAATGCACCACTGTAGATATCACGCAGCAACTGGGGGCAACATTGAAACATTGTCAGCAGGTGATGTTAGCTTCCTTTGCCCTGCTAGCGAGGAAAAAAGAGGCAAAGTCATCAGAGGGATCCCCCTGTGGTGAACGTGTCAATGAACATCTACATGAAAAGCATACGTTGCAAGTTTTGAGAAGGTAAGTATATCAGGTGCCTATTGCACAAGCAGGGTTGAGTCCTAGCAAGTCCGAACAAGACTTCCACATATTCATTGGTCTTGAGTATTCTCGCAACAATAGACTCTTGCTGTCTTAAAGTTATAAGCAGAGACTCCAGCAAAGTCGGCATATGTATCGCCAAAGTCCGAAAGCAGTGAGAGGCCCACACCGCCGGCCGAAACCTATGGGACAAGCATAGCTAGCACATGCTCGCAGTGCTAGAGCAACAATCCATTCCCTGCCCTTTTGTGCGGTACTGTCCGCATGAGAATTCTTTGCACTGGCCTTACGACGTTGCACACCAAGCTTTGTCTAGTTGCTAGGTACGGTCCACGACTCCACCAGAATGTATTAACCTGCGCGCAGAACTCCTGGATCATATCAACAAGCAACAAAAACCAATAGGACTCACGAATCGATCAATCAGCCAGCCTGTGACCGCTCTTGTTTTCAGTGTACATTGGTCTTATATCATGAGGCGCTACTGCATGAAGTACTCACCCAAGAACGACAGCAACACCAGCGCCCTCTCCATTAAGGCTCCCCATTTGCCTGGTTGCGCACTCCTTAAAAAGCAAGACACCATGGTTGTTGTCGTACAGGGAGTGGAGCAGTTCCAGTCGCGAAAATCGAGGTAGTTTGTTCGGCGTGTCTCCGGCCCTGTAGTGGTGTTTTCCTGTTCTTAGCTGGCGTTCACTCGTTGTCAGAAGTACTGCGGAAGGGCTGTTTTTGATCCTTTTTGCTCAACTTTCAAACGAAATGCTCTCAGCCCTTAGTACCGCGTTCTGATGCAAGGCAAGGCAGTTGGCAGGCCTCGATCTACATGAACACGCCTGTAACCGTATATTAAATGAAAAGTTGGTGGTACTTCGAAGCTTGCGAACATGTTATACGCAGTGATCAGAAGAATCCACGTTGGAGTCTTGGTTAGAGTTTAGTGCTATGGTAGTAGAAAGCAGTGGCCGGAGTCTGCTTGCCAAACAGCTTCAATATTTCATTGTTGGGTTTCAATATACACTGACAGCATTTCCGGACCCTGGAGCTCCGGATCGGTGCCAACTGGCATTCGTGCACTGCTTGCAGTTCGAATGTCGACACAATAACGACATGGGAATCCATCCCCAAGAGCAGCGAAAAGTACAGTGGTTAATGAGCGTTTTCAGGTTTTCTGTAAGCGGTGCAGATTCCAAAATCCAGATAGTCATTTATTTTCCGGCCATTATAATTTTCTCGATTTCTTCATCTCCTTTTCTCTCCAACTCTTCTCTCTGGCCTGTAATTGAATTTTGGCTTGGCGATTGTAGAGGCCAGCCGCCAGTTGTAGACTTGTCACGCAAAGTTCAAACCAACGGCATGACCGTACAACGTCGCTCTGCGGTCGTGGGTAGCGTCTGTCTGCGAGAAATACTCGTGTTCGACGATAAACGTACAATTCGGCCCGGAAAGCGGCCAAATTTTTTGCGCCACCCCACCCTCGACTGCCCAGTGCCGACGCAGATTTCTCGTTTATCGTCGACCGCAGCCGACGTGGACCCGACCGCGCAGAGGGAACGCTGTAAAGTCAAAGTCAAAGTCAAATTTGGTCCTCTAGTCGGCCTTTTTCTGTCGGCCCAACGTGCCAAGGCGGCCCAAGACAGAGAATTGTGGATCGGCTTTTCGCCCACTTGATTCACAACAGTATCCTGATTGGTCCACTGCCGGCTGCATCCATGCAGTCGGTGTTAGACTCGTATGATCGTATTGGTTGTAGCAGGGGCTGTAGTTTAAAAACAGTTTATACCCGCCTGATTCATGTTCCGCCGACTTTATAACACTGGTATGATCCACCAGATGTCGCATGCAGCTACTCTCATACAAGTAATCCTGCCCATCTCCACCGAAAAGAGGAACGCCAATGCCATGGTGAATCTTCAATTTAGCAGAAGTAAGCTTTAACAGCAATAGTTAAATTAAAGGTGGCCAGCCTGGAACGGGTACAGTTAGTTTGGGGGTTATAGGGTGGGTCCGGGTGCGGAGCGGGTGATTCTGTGGGTTAGGTTTTAGTGTTAGTGCAGGAGCTTACTATTGCTAGAGCTTACTTTTGCTAAATTGCAGAGACATACTGCTGCATGCCCCTTGGGCGCGAGCCATGTTGAAAAGATGAACTCCTATATCGCTGCATATGGTACTATAGATCAAGAACGGTATCTTGCATGAGACTTACCGGAACAACTGTATACGCAATTTAGGTAGGTACTTCAATCACCCATACATACTCAGGACTTGCAGGAGTCGAAGAACGAAGTTAGATATTTTATAACATACAAACATTTCTTTTACAGCATTCCGGCCCCGGAGAGCTCCGAAAACGGTGACAATTGGCCTTTGTAATGCATTGGAGTTTGGATGTCGAACTTAGGCCCCGGCGACTTAGGAATACTTAGATGAGACGTAGGAATACTGTAGATGAACGGTATATTCATGAGACTTAAATGAGTATACGTATTTTTGAAACTCTGTCAGTATGTACAGTTACCTCGTTTGTCCGTGTCCGCTCATGATTCGTTCTAGGTGACGACAATTCTGAAGACACGCTCCTACTGGCGATGCTCGGCCAAGAACGCGTCGATTTTGGCCTTCAGCTCTGTATCGGGCTGCAGCATCTCGGCCTTAAGGAAGCTCCGGTTGAAGGGGTCTTTCTGCAAGGTCGCCGCAAACACACGCTCTCAGTCGAACACTCCAACGGACTCATTGCTCGACAAGAACCTTCCTGGCGCCGGTGCAAAACAGCTTCGGAGCAGAACCAGAAGTAGAAGCGAGACAACGTCCTTGACAAGCCCGTATTCTTGTCTGCTTTTTCAAAGACAAGCCCGTATTCCTGTCCACCAAAACACGGAACAACAAAGCAAGCAAACCGCCTGCCTCCTCCAAAGAAAACTTCACCCGACCCCTCCATTTACCATCCATCGTAAACAAGGGGGATCCCTTTCAATGCTCCGTACACTTTCCACCCGCACCTCCCACTCACCTGATCGCTGAGCAGGTGCCGCAGAATAACCGCCCGATCCACCACGGTCTGGGAACTCGGTAATATCACGGGGTCCTTCATCAGCGTGCCCATGATCGGGTCCAGAAACTCGTCCGGAATTTCACCCAGCGCGCCCTCGATGTCCATCGCCTCCGAGCGCAGCCCGCGCACTTTCTCCCCAAGCTCCGCGAAGGACCGGACGGTCGGCTCCGGACGCAGCATGTGCGTCCGCAGCAGGTCCGCGGTCTCCGGAAACGCCTCCTCGCGGTACGAGCGCTCGTCGGCGCCCACCGCAGACGCGAACGCGTCGTCGCGGTCGCCGCGGAAGATATTGACGTAGATGTCCACGATCTGGGGCGGGAGTAAAAGAGGGGTTGCGAAAGTGTAAGGCAGAATAACATTCTGCGACGTATCTCAAAGGTTTCCAGAAAATAACGAGCCGGGAAGCGTGCATTTTACATCGTCAGGAAGATGTTAACTTAAAATGTCCTCGATCTGGGGGGCTAAAAGAGGGGATGCGAAGTGTAAGGCAGAGTAACAGTCTGCGACGCATTTCCACACCCACCCACATGATAACGAGCGGCGTATCAGCCTGCTACGTAATCCAAAACGTCGTCCAAACAGCACTTTGCTGCCTATCCTTCCGGACCTTGCTCCCGCTGTAGTCAATTAAGTAGGAATGCTTGAAAGCGTAAGAGTATACAAGCCAAGTTGGTTCCTCACCACAAGCAACGGACGAGGCGTTCAAGCAGCCGTCCCAGCCGTTGCCTCTGAAACCCACAGCTTTGTCCTATCATTTCGTTTTTTCTGCGACTCGCCCCCAGATCATAATGGAGCAGTCCCGATGCATTCAAAGAGCCCGCTTCTCGAGCACAGGCAGCCGCAAAAACAACCAACAACGCCCGACCGTTCTGTGTAGTGCGCTGTACGTGTCAAATGTACGTCGAGACAGGGCACGTTGACTTTAGGGCACCGCCGGGCGGCCGGGTGGCTTGAGATTCACGATCAGTGCCGATGCAAAGCGTCTTAGCCTTTGGTTCACTTCGTGAGTTCGTGCGAGCCTGGGGTACCGACTCCACTTAACGTAGGCCTGCTTTACCGCAGGATCGAGACTGATGTGCGCGCACCTGTCCGAGCAGCTCGCGCGGCTTGAAGCCGTACTTCTCGGGGTCCTTGACTTTGAGCACCTTGCGCTGCGGGCCCGTTAGCTGCAGCAAAAAGTAGTTGAGCATGGCCGCGAGGCGCTCCACCATCTCGGGCAGCAGCAGCGGCGCCACGATCAGCGCCGACGTGTAGCCCAGCATCTCCAGGTGCTTGCCGGCTAGCTGCATGTCCCACCTGGGGGAGAGCGACGAGTGTGATTGTTGGGTCCCGTTCTTGGTCCTTGTTCGTTTGCTTTTCTGTTCTTTGTACTTTCTTGTTCAAAGGTTGTTCCTTCTTCTTGCTTCTTGTTCGTCTGATTGTTTGTTTGTAGTCCGTGTTTGAGAGTTGACCCTTGTTTATACTTTTGGGTATCGCTATTCGTTCTCGCTGCTTCCCTTCGATTCCATTCTTCTTCCTCTTGAACGACGTTTTTCCGGAGTTTGAAACCTATACACTGTTCCTCGGATGCAAGGTTGCTTGTCCAGCGACATTGTCCACCTATTTCCAGCCCACCTGTCGCCAGCCTAAAAGCAACTTGTCTGAAGCACGTCATGATACTCTTGAACAACCTCAGACAAGGCTGCCAACTCAAGTGACTAGACGCTGCAAAGCATGCTTCCCGATAGAGCGACCTCCAGCATCTAGCTCTGCCGCCAGTCGCCGAGCACTCACTTGACGTTCTGGATGTTCCGCTGGTACATCTCCTCCCGCTCCGTCCGCGTCTCAGCCGGCTGAGCTTGCCACCTGCACATGGTGCCTTAATAAAGAAAGTGCACGGCAAAGAATAACACGCTTGGCAACATCTCCACAAGTAACTCGTGTCCAGCATCTTGAGAATCTCAAATGACCAACGTCTATCGATCCGGTCATGTCTGCCGTCACGTTTTCCGCTGATGATACCATCCTGGACCAGCGAAGCCACCCGAAGGTCAGGCCTCAACAAGTTCTTATGTTTTAGCCCATCTAGCCTGTCCTTTTGGGCTCCCTTCTTTCCCATAGTCCATAAGAATAGAGCGCCTGCTGTTCTAACAACTCTGACTACCATAGCAGGCCCTAGTCGAAAGAGTCTTTCATCGGCCCTGCTAGGATGAACAGCCTCTTTGAGAAGATGCTTAAGACCATCGGCTAGGGCTTATAAGAGACCCACCTGCCCACCTCACTCTGTTGGCAACTCCTCCTTTTCAAACGCAAGCCTCGGAATTGCATCTCAAACTCCTCAAGCAAATCTGTATATTCTTTCGCATGAACATGAGCCCACTTCGCAGACCATGCATCGCAGCCCTTCCCCATCATATGCCGAAACCGATCGCAATCGAATTATAGCCTAAGCTTCTGTCGAAGACCTCAAAAAGAACCCAACTCGCCCACCGGCCTCTACAACCCGCTGCACGGCCAAAAGGCTCCCAGATTTCCTTGTCGTCAGCACCAGACTTCGCCCACTAACGTGCTCAGCTAACCAGTCCGCCTACCCTCTATTTCTGCCCAGACAAGGCCAGTCCGCTTAACTACTCAGAGAAAACCAGTCCGTTGACCATTCCGTGCTCATTTGAAGACCAGTTCGCTTACCGCTCGGTGTCGGCCATATCCTCTTCGGTCTCCTTGAGTTCGGGGATGGTTCGTAGCGCTTCGTCTAGGAGATAGATGGCGTCGTTTGCCAGCATGTTGATGAAGCGCAGGTAGAAGCCCTTTTCCTCCGCCACCGCAAAGCGCTGCCACGCCGCCTGGTGCGCGGGCACCTTCCACAGGTACTCCAGGATGTTTGCGATGTTGTGCCGGATGTTGAACTTGTCGTAGAACTGCGGCGAAAAGGAGATTCAGTTTGTCCAGAATCCGTTTGCCCTTTTTCCCTTGTGCTTCGCAGTTCCACACACAAATACTCTAGACTATTTGCGAAGTTGTGCCGGATGTTGAACTTCTCATGCCACTGCAGCGAACAGGAAAGTTCAATTCGTTTAGCATTCGCTCCCCCTTTCCCCCTTCCATTCTGCAGTTCCGGATTACTTCTGATACTTGGTCTTTGAGCGAGCACTGTCGAGGGGCAGTATCTATCACACTTGAAGCTGCAGACGAGCAGAAAAAGAGAAAAGAACCCCCCATTGCTTGATGCGTGCCAACTCTTAACCCCTCCTAAGTTCTCACCTAAGTTCCTTACCTAAGCACCCAAATGTTCTCACTTATCGAAGCTTCCCTCCAATGCTCTGCTGTGATTCGCACCAGCGGAGTAACGTCCCCCTCAGACCCCTCCCTCGTAAACCCCTTCCCTTCCCTTTGGGACCCGCAACTACAGAACAAAAGTACTCCACCCCTCTTCTTCCAAACACCACAAGCGTCTTCCGCCACGTTCAAGTCTCACCTGCGTGTGCGACCCTGTAAACTCGATATCCACGTACAGGCGCAGCAGGTTGGGCACCAAAGACTGGATCGCGAGGGGGTGCCCCTCAAAGAGGCCGGTCATGATGGTGCGGATGCTTCCGGTGGGACACCGGTCGGGCAGCCAGTCCGCGAGAATCTCCACAAACTTGGAGCGCAGGTACGGGTTCTTCATGTGCAGCGGGCTGCCCAGGAATACCACCATGAAGCTCGTGAGGTCCTCCTGCGGGGGGCAATAGAGAACCGGTACTTGTGTCAGCTGTAGGTCGACTAAAGGATTGAGCAACCTTCCTTCTTGCATGCTATGGTGCTTTCGACGATGCAAAAGGAAATTGGGTGGAGGCGTCGGAGGAATATGAGCTCTGGTGGCCCGACAAAGGAAGAACAACACGTCGACACGTTGACAAAAATCCGCGAGTCTCTCTCGCTTTTTGGAAGGGATACACGCCATGGACGTAGGCAAATTTCTGCCCCCGACCGCTCTTCTTCTGAGGACCTTCGGACGGGGTCAGAAGGGGTCAGAAACAGAATTGCCCGAAGCAAACCTTAGATTTGCAAAAATTCCAGTTGTTCACCCGAAGCTACCGAACGAGCTGTTCAAAAGTAGAACTCAACCCGCTAAGCTCCCATAGCCTCACCAAATTTGCGCCTTCGAATGCTCGAGGCGCCCGCCGCGCAACGTAGAGTAGCAGATCGTCCATGTCCTCCACAAAATGCTCGGGCATGGACGAGAACTCCATGGGGGGGGTTACCGGCAGGGGCACCCGGAGCCCCCCGGCCTGGTCCGCCAGCCACATGGCCATCAAGCGGTAGTAGCTCATGCCAGACTGCAATACCGAATAGAGCTGGTGGATTGAAGAAGGACTAACTCAAGAATTGCGTTGAAGGAATGGATTAGAAGCATTGAACCAATTGTGCAAGTAGAAGGCTCAACCAAGTTGCGATTGGCGCAGGGCCCTGTTTCCTCTTCCAGTACAGTTTGCGTCCATGAGTCATTAGGCGTGCGGAAGGGGTCAAACGCAATGCTGAAAGCGCCAACAGCAATCACCGCCCAACCACGAAGCAAAGGTATCCACAGGAAAACTTCCTCTTGACACCTCGTCATGCAAACCCATATGCGAAGGCTGCCTCAATACGGCGCGTATCACATCGTGCCCCAGGAAAGTAGTTGACACTGTTCATGACGAAGCACAAACGGGCGAAGCAGGTGACTAAACCGTATCATCATCAAAAGCAAGATGTCGGTCTGCTGATCTCGGCGGTTCACAGCGTGCGCTCGCTTCCGGCTGTTTAGCAGACCGCTGTTGTGCGCCCCTTTGCATTCAGGCACGGCCACCAAAAAAAAGCCGGGACTGTCAAGGGAGGCGTGATGGGCGAACGAAGATTCAGCCACGCTCGTGACTCGAGCAGGTCGTAAGGCTGCCTCATGTGTGAAATTTACTGGAGGAAGAGCTTGCTACGCCCAACACAAACGCAAGGTGAGAATCGAGAGCATAGCTTGGCACAAAAGAAAAGGTGAGGCTTTGAAATTGACGGACAAGTTGCTGGGCGATGTGATCAACGAGAAAGATGTGCGTGCAGCCGCTACCAGAGCATTGCTTCAGCGGGTACCGAAACAAATGTGTGTTGCAGAATCTTGAAGATTTTTGCGAAGTCCCAAGATGAACAACCCCAGTCTGATCGAAGCAGCCGCACCGGTTTGGCTACATGACCCGTGCAAGCTGCGTAAGGCAACCGACCTGGATGAATGACACGTCGCTAAGGGCCGTCTCAAAGAGCAGCTGCATTTGGATGCGCTGGGTGACGCCCTTTTTGTACTGCTCCAGCTGCGCTGCCTCCTGGGGGCTCAGCGTCCCCGCCTCCTTCGCCGCAGCGAGCCGCTTGTACGTCGGCATCATGCGCCCAAGCGTCTGGACATTTCGCATAAGGGCGTATCAAGACTTGCTCTTATCGATACAGACAGCCTTCTGGTGCTTACTTTCGGTCAGCAGAAAGAAGGTGAAAGTCTTTGGATCCCAAAACTCCAAAGAAGGTCGTCAAGACTTGCTCCCATCAGGCTTCCGGTGCTTATTCTTCTCCGTCAGGTGAACGTCTTTGGAACCCAAAACTCCAAAGAGAGTCGTCAAGTGTCGTTGACAGCTGCTGACGGCGTTCGCCACCGGATGCTCAGGTTCAAAGGAGTAACTCAATGTTGCTCTTGCGGGCCTCCTCGATTCGCATAAGCTATGCTCAGCACGCCAGTGCATGCAAGCGCAAGGGATCTGAAACATCACGGTCCCTTCCTCACCACCCGCTTGGAAGCCATTTCCATGGTGTTAGAATCTGAAAGGTTTCTGGAGGAAAACCTCTGCAGTTTGTCATAGGTGGGCCTAAGATACAGTATAGCTTTGAGCGTTTCAGGGCTGCTTTTGACTAACTGACCCATCTTATGAACAAATATGAACAGGCGAATCGCAACCCAGGCGCACTCCCAGCCTTGGTTTTCCAAGATCATGAAAGCCTGTAGAGCGACCTTGGACCCGCCCATAGGAGACCGAGTCTCACCTGAGTCAAGTGATGGTATTCCGACAAGATCTTCGCCAGCCCCAGGTTCAGCGCCCGCGCCGTCAGAAAGAAGCACTCGCAAATGAAGTGGTACCCCTGCCCCCCCCCAGGAGACGGGGGCGTCGACCCCGACGCCCTCCTACTGCCCGGATTCCTGGCGTTTTGGGCGGGCGCAGAGCTCGTGGCCCCCTGCGCCGACAGCCGCCGCAGCTCCTCTTGCTCCTGTTCTTGCTGCAGCACCCTGAACCCCTCCGTCCGAGCGTAATTCCGCTTGTCGACCCACGAGGCGACTTCTTCCGACGACGCTGCGAGCGCCGTCAGGTCCTTGAAGTTGACGCGCACGTTTTGGAGGACGTACCCGGGGTCGATCCGGTCCTTCTTGTTCGATGCAGGGTCCAGGAACGGCTCGCACAGCTTCAGCATCACCGCCCCCAGGTTGTGGAAGAAGCTGTGGCTCGCCACCGCCTGCACGTCCGCCTGCATTTTGCTCCGCCCCTCGTTTGCCGTGATGACCGCCGCGATGTACTCGAGGGCCCGCTCCCGCGTGTCCGGTTTCCGCAGCAGCGCGAGGAACACCTCGTGCAGCCCCTCGTGCAACTGGCCCAGGAGCGACCTCAGCGAGACCTGGCTCGCGAGCATCTCCTGCTGCCGCTTCGGGTTGATCTCGAGCATGTCCCCGTCGAAGCACTGCTGGACGACGTCCGGTTTCCCGCCGCTGAACACGTCCGGGAAGACGGACAGCCGCAGGAACGGCCCGAGGATGCTCGACAGCTCCAGCATCCGCCCGTTCGGCACTTTCGGCAGCCACTTTGGATGGGCGACCAGGACTTTGGCGACTGCCGGGTAAGCAACTAGAGTGGCGAGCGCTTTGAGCGGGCCTTGGAATGGGCCGAGGGGGGACACATTGACAAGCCGCCCCGGGAGCTCTGAGAAGACAGGGGTGAATATCTCCTCTAGCCCCTCAGACTCAAATCGCTGCACCAGTTGGTCGAGAAACCCTGGGGGCAGGCCGGCGGCCCCCCCGGAAGAAGGAAACCCTAGGGGGCTGGCTTCGGATGAGGGGACGATGAGGTCAAGGAGGGAGAGGGTGTTGCGGGCGGTTCTGCTAGGGCGGGGCTGGGGAAACATGTCGGGATGCTGCAGCATAAGGCCCGTGTAGGAGACGAGTAGGTCCTTAGCGGTGGCGAGCGTGTCCTGGATTTGGAAAAGGAAACTCATCAGGTTGTGTTTTTCTGGTTGGAGTGGTCATGTCATGAAAACAAATGGAAGGTTGTCCTTGCTAAGTTTAGTGGCAGATCAAAGATTCCTCAATAGAGGTTCAATTTTCGCCAGCAGCATAGCATTTGAACGAAGTTTTCAGAAGGCGCCATGCACAAGCTAACCAAAACCCTCACCAGACCACCATCAGAACGCTTAGCAACAATCAAGTTGCAACCTCTCTCATGAAATTCTCCTCATGATGCGCCAATAAGCTGCTGTCTGCCTAGCTTTTCACCTGCAGCTGCGCGACCAGCTCCTTATTCCTGGACGCCCTGACCCTCCTCGCCTCATCCCCCGCTCGCCGGTAGCTCTCCACCAGATACTTGAGCGGCGTCTCCTGCGCATCCTTCTGGAGCGTCTCCTGCGGCATGGACAATCTGTCCATTAGAATCCTCTCGAGATCCCCCCGGGCCAGCAGCAGCTCGTGCCCCTCCGAAAGCATCTCTGCCGCTAGTTGCTCCATGTACACCGGAAGGGCCTGGTTGTTCTCGGGGTAGGTGAGCGTGACTTGCAGCACTCGTGAGAGCGTCGCATCTTCCATGACCGCGGGGGATTGCTGCGCGCTGCGAGGGGAGGTCTTGCTCTTGTCGGGGGCCTTGGAGGAGGGTGTGGATTGAAGGGTCGCCATGATGGCGTCGCCTGCGGCCTGGCGTGCACCACTGCTCTGCGTTCAGAATTTCCAAAACCTTCGAAAGAGCAAGGAGAGAAGGAGCAACTATCTCTAGCTCGGTCAGTCGGCTTGGATCCGGTTTAGGTAGTACACTGTACAGTAACCCGGAGTCTGCATTTGGGCTCGGATACTAGCGGGTTATGCACAAACCATCTCTCTGCAAAAAACGGTTTGTGTGTGGGTCTGGTCAGAACCAATTTGAGATTCTCAATATTAAAGTTTTAGCTTGGCAGAGACCCCACAACTCATTATTAATATAGGTGGTCACAGAAAAGTTGGGCGGCCATCTTTGGTTATTTGGCAGTGTTGTGGTGAGCACGTTGAGCACAATCACGTGGGATAAGGTGGTTTTCTTAATAGGACTTGACAGCATGACAGGTGCTGAGTGTACGGTGTCCGCTTCATGCAGCAAGCTGCTCATCAATCAAAGTTTTCGGTCCCAAATCCCCCATAGAGAAACTCTTAGAGGCTCCCAAAGTTGCAGGAGTTCCACAATTGTGCATTGCAGGTCTGAGTCGGTGCCAAAGTTCCATAGACATGCTCAGAAACGTAGAAACGGCGCAGCATTGCACAGAATCGATGAGCTGCACAGGAACAGTCCATGGCAATTTGCTGGACAACATCGCTCTCAGCGGCGGACTATAGTTGGCAGCAGTCTCGACACTGAAAGAAGGGCAACAGGCAGGGGGCGCCTACACGGAACGGAAGGTGGCAGAGTTTTGGAAGTGGTTGGAGAAGAACGGGGTGGTTGAACAGGGGAAGACACCATTCCGCATTGCAGAGGTGGGGCGTCACTAGGCGCCTTAGTGGAGGCATCTTGAGTGACTCTTTGCAAGTTTACATCAAAAAAAAGTTTCTTCAAGGGGCTTATGTGATTTCTATTGAATCATGGTTGCCCCCCCTTCTCCTGGCCCCATGCGTCACTCTGTGCACTGCTTTCATTGTACTCTCTGTCTCTGATGAAGTGAACAGAAGCATAAAAAGTATGGACAGGGGATTCCGTCAATGATTGCAGCTCATTGCCCCTTGAGATTTCTTCTAAGAATGCACCTTGACCACCACCATCAGATGAAATAGACGTGAATCTTCGAGACCTCGCCAGTCCTTCTTACAAAGTAACCAAAGCAGGAAAGTATCGTTGCAAAATCTTCTGATTCATTGCCCTTGGAAAGCCTTGAAAAGGAACTTGATCACTGACATCAAAGGAATGAAGCCCCACCCCTTGGAACCTTGCCAGGTGCCTGAAGGCCTGGGTCTCATAGCAACGGCCCAAATCAATGAGCGCGACGAGCTGTTTGCAATCCCAGAGTCGTTGCTTTTGTCCGTAAGCGCCGCACAAGCTTCACCGGTGCGAAAACACCTGGCAGATCTGCCCGCTTGGATCGCCCTGGCACTGTTTCTGTTGCATGAGAAGGCGAAACCCGAGTCACGGTGGCGGCCCTACTTGGACCTACTGCCAGAGGAGCTGGATTCCCCCTTCTTCTGGTGAGCTGCCCGTTTGTAATGGTTCCATTGTTGCTTATACTGCGTTGCTTGCAAAGAGATCGTGTCTTTAGGAGATTGAGAGCCATGTGATCTCGAAAGATAAGATGGATGATAAGATGGAGGGGGGGAGAGGAAGACAGAAGAAATTCACAGATCACGGTGCGGGGGCTCAGGACTTGGTGCGCATCGATGGAGTTTTCGTGGGGAAGCAAAGGGGGTTCGATTTGATGGACAAGTCCCTTCTGTGGCTCCCTTTCCTAAGCAGATGCTAAGATCGAGTTATCTTGTTGATCACGAAGGCCCGTTTCAAACAGCATCAGTCTGAATTGCCAGCAGTGTTCGTCTTGTAGTCGGCCTGAAAGCACCAGCTCTGTGTTCTGATGTGCAGGGAGGACGACGATCTCAAAGAGCTGGAAGGTACGTTCCTCTACATCATGCTTGCCACCTGTCAAATTCTACCAACTTCGACCTCAGAACATTCAAAGGGATTCCAGGTTGATGACAGGGACCTCGTTCTGGACTGTTGATGTACTGGACTATGCTCCAAACCTGTCCGCGCTGAGAGGTTCAGGAATTGGCTGATACTGGAAATTTTGAGAAGGTATGATGCACGAATGTGGTCGGCCCAAATCGGGGGCGCTGATGTGGGTTGTTCCCCGTAGCAAAAGTGCCCGGGAATGTTAACCGGCCAAATACGTGCATTGAAATCGAAACGGACTTCGTGTCGCGCCCAAACTTTGGGACTGCCGACCGTGGACAAGTTTGTTACAAACTCCAGTAAGCCTGCGGCCAGTGCTTTTATGCAGATCATGCCAGCGCCCGAAGTCCTTCAGAGTCACCCTTTCGAAAAGCTTCTCCGTATGCTGGCGTGCATGTTGTAAAATCATTTGCTTGAATCTTGCGATCCGCATCAGTAATACAGTATCCCCTGGAAACCTCCAACAAGAATATTGCAATCGGAGTTCACGATATCTTCATGAGGGCATCTTACCATGTCGACGATCTGTGTCCTGGCCTCTTTTGGTGTCTTTAAGAAGCTTCTTCCCACAAGTAAGCCTTTGCTAACCCTCGTAAACCCCATCCTTTCTCGTCATTTCATCCCATCATCCAATTGCAAAACAGGCACACAGCTGCTCGGCAACGTCTTGAGTTACCGAAGCTTCATCGAACGAACCTTCGAGGAGTCGGTTCGCCCCATCCTCGAAAGCCAACCCCAACTGTGGCCGCAGTCGGTGGCAACTTCAGACGCGTTCTCCTGGGCGTTTGGAATTGTCCGCTCCCGAACGCATCCCGCGCTTGCTGGAGACGACATTGCGCTGGTACCCCTGGCTGACTTGGTGAGTCACCAGAGCTGTTCACGTTTTTGAGGTGAAGTGAATTTTGAGCGCTTCAGATTCGTAGACTGCGTACTGGTTCTCGTCACGTCGCGAATCGCTGTCGAGCGACATTCGTATACGCAGGTCTAGTCATCAAAGCCAGTCCTAATCTGTTTGAGCTGATTACGTGGCAACGTTTTGCCTAGATTTACAATCAGGTGACCTCAAACCCCCCGAATTTTCTCCGTGCCTTCCAACCAGCCATCATTCAGAACTAGCATAAAATGGACTTTTCATGGACTGACATACACCGTTCGGAACCTTCTTGCTGATCGAATCATCTCCCTTTCTCTCCCTAGATAAACCACGGCAACGGGCCGTACGTGGGCGCTTCCAACCAGGACTTTTGGGCGAAGAAGACGGTGGGCTTTTTCAACGCCCAGAAGCCGATCGTTTGGGATGCAACCCCTGCGAGCGTACTCTGCCGGGCAGCAGATCACGATGGACTACGGCGCCGAAAAGTCGAACGGCGATCTGGCGCTTGACTACGGGTTTGTTGTAGACGGGGGTATTGGGGAGGGGACGCGAGACAAGTTTCAGCTGACGCTGGAGGTTCCGGAGGAGGACCGCTTTGTGGACGACAAGGTGAGAGCCCTGCTTTTCTGTATTGTTTGCATGCTACACACGCACGTGTCGTTTCAGAGAGGGTGACGGTTTGGTGAGCTTCAAGGAGTGACAAGACAGACTCTAAGGAGAACGGTGAGGGGAACCGTGAGCAGCATTGAGGTATGCTAGATGCCGCTCATACGAGATTATGAGAAAGCCGTGATTTTCTCGATGTATCTGCTGAATGTCGAGATGCGAATATTTTTGCGCGGTTGGAAGGTCCTCCTAACGCTAAGGTCTTGTTTGTGTTGCCGCTTTTTTCATCGCCCTAAGACGTCTCTCTCGCCTTAACACGTTCTTCTCATCGCTGGGTTGGGCCGCAATCCTCTGAAGACCGCTCTTGCTTCGCCTCTAGAGTGGCCATATCGAAAGAAGTCGCCCAGCAACAATCCCTGCTGACGTCACCCTCTGACGTCACCCTCGCAGCTGGACGTCGCGGAGCTGTACGGGCTGGGCCAGGTGTGCGAGTTTTCGCTGGAGCGCGGCCTTGACCCCTCCTCCCAGCTGCTCGCCTTCATCCGCCTCATCGCGCTCGCGGGCGCCGACGCCTTCCTGCTGGAGGCCATCTTCAGGGATGCGGTGCGTGTCCCGTGCCGCCGCTGACGTCATCACCTTTGATAACATCGTGTTTGGATTCAACTGTAGATTTCACTAATCCAAAGGTTCACGCATACCGCAACTATCCAAGCCACCTACCTAACCCCACCCGTCATGACGCCTTCCTGCTGGAGGCCATCTTCAGGGATGTGGTGCGTGCCACCGTCGCTGCTGACGTCATCATCTCCGCCACAAACGGGCTTGTTCAACTTAAATCACTCAGGAGAAAACTCACGCTTTCCGAACCCGTACCTATCCTAACCACCTACCTAACCTCACGCGTCTTAACGCCTTCCTGCTAGAGGCCATCTTCGGGGACGCGGTGCGTGCCGCTGCCGCCGCTTACGTCATTATTTCCGCTGAGAACGTGTTTGGGCTCAATTTAAACAGTAACTCAAACGTTCACGCGTTTCGCACCCGTACCTGTCCTAAGCACCTGTCAATTCCCCCCGTCCTGACGCCTTCCTGCTGAAGGCTATGTTCAGGGACGCGGTGCGTGCCCCCGTGCCGCTGCTGACGTCAGCACCTTCCTCTCGCCAGTAAACCCGCCCGCAGGCAACGTCAGGATCGAGATTCGTGCATGCTGCTTAGGATTCGCTGCTCCTGACATCAGCAATGCGGTACTGGGGTTTTCCCGAGTTGGGGCTTGCTTTGGACTCCGGAGTTGGTCGTTTTTCGCCAAAAGTCTCCTCACCTAGGTCTTTCAAAGGATATCGGATCAGGGGGTGATGTTCTCCGTGCTCTCCATACCCTCGTCAGGTGTTGGAGCACGTGTGCCTGCCGGTGAGCCGCGAAAACGAGGAGAGCGTCTGCGCGTCCATGATTGACGGCCTGCGGAGCTCGCTCAGCAACTACGAGACGACGATCGAAGAAGACGTCCGACTGCTGGGTAAGTGCTGAGTCATGCGTTTGGCGTCTCTGCATGCCTTCCTTCTATTGTGTTTTGTCTGCGGAATGGTATCCTGTTCTCAAGGCGGGTATGCCGAGGACGTCCACCTGTACTCCGAATTATCTGCTTTCGGACAGGTGTAGATTCAGGTTTCCCATTCAGAAAGTGAAATCCGGAAAGCTAGATATACCTAAAATGGTCCCCGGAAAGCATGAAACCGCCAGAGTCAGTCTAAAGTCCCATCCAAAGTGAGAACATAGGGCATACGGATTCTTGTCGGAACCAGCATAAGCAGATTCGCTTTCTTGGTCGGATTGTCGGAGAATGTTCCGAAATCGTTCGGAATTAACACGTTGGACTACACGCTTGAGGTTGCCAGATCCATCACGGGGACATTTGTCATTCTGATCAGCTTCTTGTGTCGTGCATATTGAGGAAGCAAGCTGAACTGACGACTCGAGTTGGGACGTCCAAATCAGGGCATGACCGTCGATCCGCTTGGTCCAGTCGAAGTACACGGGTTTCCGAATCGAGCTTGTTTCTCTAGTTTCAAATTACGAAAACGAGCTAGCTCTTCTGGAATGGGTTTGAGTGCCTGGTGTTGTTTTCGAACCTCAAGAGCATACTTCCGTCTGTTGCAGGTGATATAGACGGTGACGACAGGGCCACGAGGCGAAAACGGATGGCCGTCAGCGCCCGCCTGGCTGAGAAACGGGTTCTAATAGAAGGCCTAGACTTCTTCGAGACTCGGCTCAAGGACCTGGACCGCCTTGAGTACTATGCGGAGAGGCGGTTGAAGAGTCTTGGGCTGCTGGACGACAGCGGTGACGTCACCCCCTGGGACGAATTCCAAATGTAGCGACTTGAGTACGTTTGCTTCCATCTCGTATACAGCTGTTCGTAGAGATCAACGGGCGTGCGGCTTGCGCGTTTTGTGGGCATCGCTTGTGGCTTTCAATGGTCAAGGTTGACTGTCTGCGCCGAGACTGGCGGTTGATCTTGTCAATGCAATTTGTGTTGAAAATGCATTTACATCGTGCACTGATGGGTCGGTCCGCTTTTCCATGTTCGAAGTTGAGGTGCCAGTGCATGGTCCAAAGTACATGAAGAATGACTGATAGGCGGCACTCAGATGCCTTGGCCCGTATGAACTGACTCAAATTGACTGAGCAGCGACCGCCCCTGCCCTGATCAATATTAACAATAGACTGGGCATGATCGAACTTCGCAATTGCATACGACAATCAGGCCGGCGCCCCTGCACAATGTGCAGTGTGCGTGTACGTGCCTTGCAGGCCGAATGCACCTTCATCGGTACGTCCTGCCAGGCGGCCCGTATGCATTTTACCCTAGTACGTGATCTGAGATCTCTAAGCCGTCATGCACCAATCATGAGCAATCTGCATGCCAGGCGGCAAGCCATGGCAAATCCCATGCCAAGTCAATCTCGGAGGCTATGAAGCAGCAACAGCCAGGCTCAATCCAACAATTAATATATTTAATTTGCTCGAAAATTAATTTGACTCAGCACGGGACCAATACCTGCCTTGTGCCACATGCCACACAAATGGAACATAAACCCCCCCCCACTAAAACCCTAGAAACCCGGCAGGGACCGTATGCAAAAGTACGCATGCAAACTTTGACGGAATTTGACCCGGGCGACGACCCGGAGCACAGCCACAATTATCATGCACCGCTGCCGGCGCTGGTCAAAATCAGCCGTCATGCAGTCTGCAGTCAACAGGTGCCTCGGATCACCGAGGCAACTAGGACAAAGTACACTAATTATCAGCTGCCAGGCAAAGACCAGCTAGCACTGTTGCAGAATTGCAGCACCCACATTGTTCCGCAGCTTTACTGCCGCTTTACTAGCTGCAAACAAGGATTGCACGAGAAGCTGCAGTGTGACTTTCAAGTCCGCCCTTGAAAGCTTTTAGTAGCAGTGTTTGACCGGAATCCCAGGTGTGCTCTGCGCCCAAGTATAAAGCCAGCAGTGTGCGTTCCTTTTTTCTACATTCTGCATTAGCCTTCAGCCTTGAGCACCAATTTGAATATATAGTAAACATCCATTCAATTTCAATCGCAAGCATCAAAAACCTTGCTGCAGCAATACTGCGATCTCAGCGGCCATTCCCTTAATTAGCCCAGCAGCTCTCAGTGGCATTCGAGGCTGACTAACTCTCACCAAGCAGACTGCAGGGCTGACCTTTACGAAACACCACTGCCGGCATATCAGCTTGAAGTTTAATCCTGTCGCCGCTTCTACTTCGTCCAGCTTCCTTACGTTGCTGATCTGTCGTGCTTAGTGTACTAGAGAGAGAGCCGCCTTTTCTGAAAGCCCGTCGACTAATTGGCTCTGCTACTCTCGACGTCGCATTCAAGCGGCTGACATTGTTAGACGTCGCTCGGGTGTCACTCCATCTAGCTGCGCACTATGGCGTCTCCGTTGCGGCTCTCGATGCGTCTCTCGACAGCTGTCGCCTTCCTGTTGGTCGCCAGCTCCCTCGCCCCCGCGTTTGCAGCGAGAGTGCTGCAAGACACGTCGACCACTCCGGCCCCTGTCCAAACACAACCCGCCTCTCTAGTTTTTGGCACTGTCACGGGGCCGCGTTTTCCGTGGGCTTCGGTCTTTGGGTCTCCTAACACGGCGCCGTGCTCCGGTTCTGAATGCGTTAGCTGCCCGGAAGACACTGGCTACGCTTTCACACTGACAAACAACGGCAAAATCTGCACGAAGACTTACCCGGTCGCTCAGGCGAGTGGCCAATTGCCAGGTGAGCTTTATATGACTGCCTCAGACGCGCGCAATTGCAACCTGGTTCGTCCTTGGCTTGGAGTCGACGTCCTCAATAGGCGAACTTTCTTGGTTCCGGTAGATGAATTGTAAGGAGATGGTGAATTTGACTGAGACAAGGACCGATCAGAGGCGTTTGCAAATGACTAGTTCGACGAGCTGGAAGGTGGGGCAAGTGGCACGTCTAGTGCAAGCCTGAAGCCATGTGTTGAGGATGCTTCTGTGAGTGATCTTTCTCCGCCTCTGTGTAGGTTCGAAACGATTGTGAAATGAGAGGGGCTGTACTGAGATGGACGAATTTCGGAAACGACCTTTCTGCTCTACGCAGATGGAAGAATCTTCTGACGCAATGAAACAGGCTGTAGTGCGATCTTTCGAAGGCTACTGCGTTTCATGACGACCTGTCTTGGCTTTATATAGATCGTGCATGGGTCTCAAGCCCCCGGGCCATTCTTCACATCAAATCATACACACCCTACCGCTTTTTTCCCGAGCAAGTCCTCAGATCATTCAATAGCAACTGTTTCCGTCTAATCTCTGTCATAAAGTGATTGAACTCCGCAAAGTGATCAATCATCCCTGAACTTTTGTCTAAACCTCTTTGGTTTTCTTAATCTGCAGGCCCAGATGGAAGTTTCACCGGGCCCTCCAAGACCGACTCCTTTGGCCTCGGCCGTGACTTTTACGAGCGAGTAAACGGGGACATTCTGGAGACCTGCTTCTCATCAACGAAGCAGATTCTGGATCAGAACCTGTATGGCAAGCTCAACCCCAGCATGTACCTTGTAACGGAAACTCAACAGTTCGTGGACTCTCTGCCGGCGATCCAGAGCTGGTTCGACATGCATTTCAAGGACAAGAAGCCGACAGTGCAGGTACGAAGCCTTCCGTCGAAGATTCCGCTTCATACGCAACAATGACCTGTCTGGCAGATACAGAATCTGCCCTAGAGATGTCCGTTAGGATGAAGCCACTCGGCCGGGGTCCGATGACGTTTGACTCTAAGGGGTTATGCTCCAAGGACAGTGAATACTTAAATTGTCTCGTCTGCGGTCAACTCGACCAATTTTTGCCACGACCAAACAAGTCCATTTGGCCAGCCGTTGCGACAATCAAACCGCGATGCTTGACCCCTGCTTGATGGCAATATAGTTCTGTGCTTTTTGGTGGTGCGCACCTGAATTCAGTGGCGATCTCGAATTGGATCTTATCCCGTGGCTTATCCTGTCGCTGTCGTTATGCAGATTTTCGACGTTGGTTTCGACACGACACAGACGCCCAATGCTCCATCTACTAGCACATACATCGGCGTCTCATTTGTTGTCAGGGCGGAGACAGACGTGCAGGTGGTTACCTTTAGTACTTACTGGATTAACCCTGTCACCGTAACCCAAGATACGTATGATAAGTGGACTCTGTATAGCGTGAGAAACGTCAAAGTAGCAAATAAAGCGTAGCAACCCCCCTCATGCGGAGTCATGCAGGCAGCCGATCGCCAGTGCATTGGACCATGTCGATGCCAGATAGTACAATCATTTAGGAAAATCACGATCGTGACTCTGATTCGAGTCGGGACACAATGGGGATATAAACAAATTATTTGTCTGAAAATGAATGGACACAATATGTAACAACAAGAATATACCTTTTTAATTTGATCACGTTGGACAACATGTTCCCCCAGCGTACACTTTCCAACTTTCTTCGGGGCTTTTGAGATGCAGTTACTCTAACGTAATCACGAGACAGACCATCCCAACTTAACCTCTTGGACCTGTAACATAAAATTGTTGATTTCTTCCTCCCGGATGCCTATCCTCCTTTCTAGCTCACTGATTCGTTCCAACCTGCTCAAGACCCCTGCTGAAGCCACTCCAATTGCCAAAGTCAGCAACACGCTTGGCCGGTATCCAGACATGTTGGCAAGTCAACCTTTAAGACTGGGCAAGTGCGCCAAAGATGATGCCTGCAACACCCAAGAAGATATTAAGAAACTCGGTCAGGCTAGGTATGCTTGGAAAGTGAGCAGCATGAGCTAGGATATTTTGATATTTTGTGGAGGACTGGTTTGAGGAGATGGAAAATTGGGCCCAAGAAAATGTAGGCCAGTCCAGCTAGTCTGAAACACGACCAATCATATTACCTTTTGCCCCAAAGAACCCTTTCAACCCCTTACAAACACTGACAGCACGGAATCTCAAGATCACACCACCTTTTTAAACTTAGAAAACCCCAAACCCCAAACCCTAAACAACCAACCAAGAAAGTCTTGACACTCACTTGAGGAAAGATGTTCTGCACCGACAGCACGTCGTTCTGGTAGCAATAAATGTACTAATGGAAAATTCTACTTACAGACATTATTGCTAAAAGCGTTCTAGATCGAGGAGCTGCACACATATATGCGGCACCAAAACAAAAGGGCGACGCGGTCGGCGGCCCATGTCTCATCCCGTTGAAGATCGTCGCATGTAACATGGTCATTTGCCAATGTAATCTACAGCATCACTAGGATTCCACGTGCCCTACACATGCATGGTGAATGGCAGACATGTGTTGGCCTTCTCTTGGACTCTTATCTGCTGAACGACTTTACTTGCGTGAACCTGCTAATTAGCTTGTTTGTGCAGCTGCCGCAGCGCTGGCAGCTTCCCTTCTAGCTTTCCTGCCCCCTCTCTCCTTCTTTTGCAGGGGGGCTTTTTCTGGTGGCAACGTGTCAAAAACCTCTTGCGGGATGGTGACCGGGCTTTTTAACCTCACATACACCTTCTTCCAATCAGGCTCTCTGTAGAAGTACGTTGTGGCCCCTTTTCGCTTTTTCTCCCCCTCGTAGTTCAGCGTCTCTAAGCTTGCAATCTCAAGCCCGTAAACCTTTTGCAAGAAGGCTCTGATTTCAATCTGCAAAGGACGGGTTCAGACTCTTAATAACGTTAGCGAGCAGACTGGCCAGGTTCTTGCAGTTGAAAAGCTGTCTGTAACATGTCCGGCAGCAAAAATCTCAACACAAGCGAGAGACCTTTGAAACTCGAGCGAAACCGTCTTCGTAGCCCGAAGAACCAATCTATGCTATCAAGTTCTACCCACTTTCCTGCGTCTTCTTTGGCTGATCAACAGCGCACAGTTGAACCCGAAGTGAAAGTAAAACCACCTGTCGCATGAGAAAAGCAGAGGGGCGACTTCAAGATGGAGTCCTACATATTTGACCCCACCTGCCGGTCGATCAGCATCCTTACAAACCAGATAAATAGTTACCCTCCATTCGAGCTTCAATTCTGCAGGGGTTTTCATACTTCTACGAACTATCTATCTGGTTGACCGAATCTAATACTCCCTTCCTTAAAGGGGGGCGTCCTGTGACCCGTAACGCCTTGGCGACCAGATAGCCCGTCCACCAACCATTTGGTCGCTAAATTTGGTACACGTGATCAACTTCTTGGCGAGACGAGAGCAGAGTATCATGATAAGTGGCCGCCGCGATACCACGTGATTAGACGCCCTCTTTAAATAGCTCCGCCACAAAAAAAGGAGACGAAGAGCTGACACACCTTTGTGACACTGGGAATTGTCTTGAACACTGCTTCGGTGATGTTCTCGCGGAACTTGGGCCTGACCAGCCGCAGCGGCAGGTTTGCAAGATGGACCAGCCTCCCCATTGCAGCCCGCTATCGGCTGGATAATTGCATGTCACTGAAGAGCAAGAGTTGACGGTGATCGGGAGCTGCTTGAAAAGCATGGCATGAGGCTTCGGAAGATAATTCTAGAGACAGCCACTAGAGAGCGGCGTGCACAAACGGAGAAGTCGTTGTGCAAGTGAAGAACCTTTCGTCTCAGATATTTTAGAGCTTAGGCTGTACATTGATGGTGGTACCAGCACAATGGTGGTGGTAAAACCGAATGAGACGATTCGACCGAAAAACATTCCAAGCTTTCAACAGCCATCATGGGGATCTAGGATACGGCAAGGCGACCACAATGAGGCAGCACCAGGCAACCCTTGAGATTTTTTCGAGCGGTCTGTAAGAAAAAACAAGAACATCCTTGCAACTGGAGATTCACTTGCCAAACCACGAATATACCTGAGCTCATGAAGAGGGGAGCAAACAAGTAGGAAAGATGCTTGAAAATGATCAAAATTTGAAGTGGCGCTTGATCAGTGCTAGCACTCTCACAGCCTGGGACACTGTATCTCAAGCATCAGTGGCCCTCTTTCCGAGCAACCCAATCGCTCCCCTGAGAGCATCATTACGACAGCCTCTGATCATGAGAAGCTGCACATGAGCAGCAAATTGAAAAAAGCGGGAGAGTCACTCACCAATATAGGTTTATGCAGTAGGAATGACCCCCGTCAAACTGCAATACAGCGTACTAGAGAAGCGAGTGCGGATAGCTTTCCTGAGCGCGCACTGCAGCTCCACTTGCTTTTCACCAAATGCCCAACCTCAAGCTAGCCCCGCGATGGCAAAAGGCCAGTCTGCGGATCCTCCTTCAACTGCAAGCCAGGACAGCGCAGGGTCGACTACGTATGCTGTCAAACTGAGGAGAAGCGCGAGCTGCTGTCGTCTTGCATGAGAGTTTTGAGATTTCACAGCTCTGTGAGTCACAGCGAGCGTTCTGCTTTCGCATGCTGTAGCAGGCCATGCGTGGCTGCGTGCAGCTCTTGACAAAATTGAGTTCACAACTAACCATATGAAATCCGGCATAAAATCTGCCAATCTCAGGGTGCCACGTGTCCCCCCTTCCGTCTCTGCCGGTGGCCTTAAAATTCCGCTACGGGGTCTGTCCGACCGGGGTCTGTTCCCGAGTGGGACATTTTGAGGGCAAGAAAATGCGCCTCGCACACGTATGCTGCGTAGGGCCCGTTACGTATGCGCATTCTTTGGCCATACGTGCACGCATTTTTGACCTTAATTCTCGACCAGACTCAGCCTCGACTGCAAGCAAAATAACAGCGGACTGCGGGCCTAAATAAAATCTAAGTCGGCGAAGTCAAATTCTCAATTCCAGCATCCATACCATACCTTCAGCAGCAGCCAGGGCGACCCGAGTTGCACTGCTCCAAGCTTGGACCCATGGCTTTAGAGTAAAATCTCAAATAAGCGCATGGTCGGTTGATCGATGGATTGAACCGGCAGCATGTTACTATCCCAGCTTTTAGATATTGTTTTGACGGACCCTCATGTGCCTTCTGATGGAAACCCCTGCAAAAAGAGCAGACATGTACTTTATAACGTGAAACATGCTTTTTCAATCACTGCGCTTTCTCCGTTGAGACATTTTGGAGAGTACATGTACATTCCATGCCGGGAAACAGATACGATCAGACGTGATTTTTCTAGTCAAGAGTTTGATTGGGTAGTGTACCACATGTGGACTTGCATGATCTTCCTTCAAGATTGGATTTGCTACTGAGGGGACGGACATGAGATGCTATCAATCCATGCCATATTCCTATGATTGTGAAGCCGTTTGGGCGCAGATGCGCGATGTTGAGTAGCAAATGAATACTTACAGCTTGAAAGCCAACATGCAACGCTCTGCAATCGGGACATTGAAAGGAGTGATTGGCAAATGATTTTCGTCCGTAGCGAGAAAAGAGGGTAATTGAGCAGCGTCAAGTCGCATTTCGCAACACTTGTCACAATGCCGAGGCCACTCTTCTTCGCTCGTCATGCAATATCGCATAGGTGT